CAGGCTACGGAGTATCTAGAACATCTACTCTGTACTCCGTGCTCCGTATGAACCACCATATTGGGCCATGCAAGATCCTGAATCCGTTGGGCTTAGATGGTATTCCCAACAAGGAAAAGGGGGGAGGGAAAAAAAGACAACTGGGGCCATTAAGGTTGACTATGTGATAGAATGGAGCACTGGATGGAGTTGATGGGGCCGATGGAGACTGAAATGGAGACTCTTGGTTTTCTCCCGTTTCTAGCGCCATTCTAGCTGTAATTGAAACGGGTCCTGTACGATAACAGTCCAGTTCCACTACTCCGTATAGGAAGCTCGTTTCCATTGTCGGTTCCCTAGGCTTCTTTTTTTTTTCCCCTCTCACATTATTTCTTTAATTAAGGTCGCAATACGTAAATATTGTTACATTTTAGGTTCTGCCTGTGACGTCTTTTTTTTTGAATGAAAAAAAGGGACTTGATCAACAGAGGGTGATCAGCATAGGAGAAGTATAGTAGTCTTTCCCCTATCTTGAACATGTGAAAATGGATGTCTAGGAAGGCGGAGTCGGAAAGGAAGGCGTGAGAGAATGTCTTGTTTTAATAATGAGAATAGTGTGATAGAGTAAGCCACGGTGTTAGGATGTAGAGGTGAGATCGATCTACTCCGTATACTACGGAGTACTCCCGTTGGGAACCTTGAATCTCTGAATGGTAGACTGCAATCTACCGTACGGTAGATCATCCAGCCCCCGATTTCCACGAGGGAGACCCAGATTGAGTGCCGACGGGAGAGGAATTTACTCCTTTTGGCATGGGGTGGACACGGGGCTGAAACACGCCTACGAATCCCTTTCACAAGCTTGAAAGCTCGTAATGTGAACCCTGTCACAAATGGGGGTATAGTAATGGCCATTTTGTTACTCCGTACATGTGCTCCAGTGTGGCAAATAGGAGAGCTGACGCAGATACCCTTAATTACCTTGTAGACAGTCCGGATTATGGGGGTGGAGCTTCCTTTTAGAATGGAACCTTGGAATGTTTCTAGATGTTATGTTCTGTACTGTACGGAGTACATGCGGGCACCAAGGTTCTTATTGTCTTTACCCAGCTTCCCGGGAAAGGAAGGAAAGGCTAGAAGGTGAAAAGAATGTTCATACGTAACCGGAACGGGATTTCACTTTTGGGCTCCGTAATATTCCCTTTTGTTTAGCGTATCTCCACCCCCTATGATGGAGCCCATCGTAAAGATAATCATAATCCTCTTTTTTTTTTTTTTTTTTTTTCCTTCTTGATCTGCGTGTAGAGAATCATCAGACAAAGCCGACGGGAATGAAGTTGAAAATTGCGATACATTAAATTCGGTTCTGATGTGTCTCGTGTCTTATGAATTGTAAATTGTAGGGGGAATTGACGGGGATTGATCCAAAGACTTCCGAGACCAGGTTCGAAGTTTTGCGACTGGTCTTAATAGGTGAGTATTGCACGGGAGACCGCGTGAAAGAACCGGATGGTCTTAATTAATAGCCGAAATAATTTGGAGTATCTAGTTAGGTTAGCTAGGGGATTATTTACCTAGGCATCATATGTCATAATCTCCTTTGGTTATTAGGGTTGTGAGTATCTTGCTTCTTTCTTGGGTCTAATACTATTGTAGGAAAACTAAACTAGTAACCCCGATGGAGACCGACCACGCGAGAAAATAAAAAAAGAATAAAGAATAAAAAGAAAATACAATGTTCGGAGGGATCTGTTTCTCGTTCCTGCGGCTGTTTTTCCCTTTTTCTTTTTGCTCCACTTATGCACAAAGGCTGCCCGGAGATTTGGTTCCTAGCTTCAAGGTGGAGAGCTTCTACGGCTAGTTGATACATAACAGCGGAGACTTTTGGACTTCTGAACCTGACAGTAGTGAAGACATAGGTTGGATGTATCTCAGATGTACTTGTGATGAATCAAAGGGTACCTTTTTTTGAGGAGGAGGGGGGGGTATTATTTTGTCATTATTTAAATGCATATTTAGCTAAAACCGACTAAATAGGTAAGCCTATAGATTAGAAACGTTGGAGAAGAAAGGGGGGAACATTTCGCGTTCCTGTTCCCCGGGACCAGGGGACGGGAGAGCCGCTGTGCTAAACAAAGAAAATCCCCAAAAAATATAAGCAAAAATATAAGAAAAAAAAACAAAAAAGGTCAGATTTCAGATTTCAGTTTTGAGATTTTATTTTTTATTCATTTTTTATGGTATTGTATATTGTATATTGTACGTTGTATATTTGGATTTCGATTTGATTTTCCAATCCTTTATTGATTTTCTAAAAGGATAAATTTAAAAATTAAAAATCCATTGCTAAGAAAAAACCGTCTATATCAACGCAAATCCCCCCTTCCTATTTTCTTTTAAACATACAACATACTTGATAACCATCTTTCTACACATCCACCCCCCTACCGCCCTCCTTTACTCTCCCTTCTCCCTTGCGATACGTCGATTTGAACTTTGTCCGGATCGACCGGGGCTAGTTCCGGAGCACTTCCTCCTTTGCTCCCTTGCCGTCTTAAACCTCATATCCCTTCTGCCCGTTTTCTTGGTTCGGATCGCGATTTTTTATGGATTCGCTGCAGCCACCCTCGCGCATATCATTTTGAGAATTCGATTTATTATTGATTTATTCTTGATCTCTACCACTCATAAAAAGCAACGAGCTGCGACCTGTCCACCATCTTGCTTTTTCTCCAAGTGACTCCATTCTCATTTGTTGGGCCCATTTCGTCACATTCCTGCCCTACGATTCTGTTGGATCCCGCATTGTCTCCCAGTGGTGATTATACAAAAGGACCAACTTTTCCGATCCCGACTGCATTTGCATCTATCGCCTGCACCGCCGGTTTTTTTTTTTTTTTTTTTTTTTTTTANATTTGATTTTCACGGGTGGTTGGATTGGGATTCGTTTATCTGCTTGTTTCCCAAGTCTATATAAGATCCTGGCGTCGACGTCGTGTTTACTTGGTAAGTCTCTCATCATCTCATTCCTCACCTTACCATTGGCGCATTCACAAAGCACTCGCCTATTTCTATCACACAAATCCTACTTTCAGTATCTAACCATGACTTCCTCCGCAGACCTTAATATGATCCTTCGGGACCTATCTGCTTTCAACATGGGAAGAGGAGCTTACGACACAACTGGGGTGAAGAAGCCCGGTGTTCCTCCACCACCACCGAAATAAATTCATTCGGAAACAACCTCGTCATACTCAACATTGCTTTCTACACCACTCGGCCATGTTTCGTATGGTCTGGCGCCCAACAGTGGCTGGAGTTTTCACGCATATGCGTTTTGGAGTTTTACCTGATTTTGGTAAGATTTGCCAACTCCGAGCACACCTTTGGGCATCAAAATTAACCGAATTCTTAGATATCTGTAACACTATTTTTTTTTGTTCCCTTTGTCCTCATTACGGGCCATACGTTTTTCTTGCCTATTCGCTACAGGCATCGCGCGACATTATACCCTTTTTAATTTGGCTCGACATTCTGCCTTCAGCATTTTCTTTTCGGATACCAAGCGTTGACACATTTTTTTCCCTTTCTCGATCTTTCATCATTCGTCTTCGCACATGCGCCTTATCCTTATTTTTTCGGGCCTCAAAACCTTATTCCGCCTCACCTCACGTTCTACTTCATCTCTGATACGACTCGATACCACGGTCCCCATCTCAAAAAGTGCCTTTGTGTTTCTTTGTGTTTATTTCTTTTGTCTTTGTTTTTCGTTATCTACTGGCGTTTTGGTATAGACGGGACGGAATATTGATTGGGATGGGCTGATACCAAAATCTAGAGCCTCGACCTCAGGGTCAATAGCACGCTTTGATTGCTTTTCTTGTTTTACTATTGGATGGGCACTGCTCCCGGGTTTTTCTGTATGAGTATCTGTACTTTTTATTTTGACGTTGATGCCTGTGTATAATATTCTGCGCACAAAAGCCATAATTGTTAGTGCCAATGAATTATTTATTTATTTTCCTCTACATTCTCCATCCAGCTAGTCAAGACCGCCATCACCGGCTTCATGTACACTTACAGATGCATTCTGTAACCTCGAGTTTGCAAACTCGTACCTATCTCAGGTCGTACTCCGCTTGTACCTGACCGACCGCGGTTGCGCTAGCATCGGGCAGATTTGCTTGCCGACTAATGCCGAGACAGGAACAACAGCCCGATTGTTGATGCGGGCCTGGCGGGTGCATCGGTAGATATCTCCCGAGCCTGACCAGGGTCCTTCCTAACTGGAGCCCGACATCATCTTGCAGGCCAGTTGGGCACTAGCCCAATCTGTGACAGTTGTCAAGGTGCCAGGAACATGTTTATCCCGCGGCAGCCGACCTCTTATCAAGATATAGTACGTGTCTTCGGTTTCACCCTTTGCAAGTCTTCATACCCCGACAACCATGTCCATGTTATCTGCATGCCATCGGTGCTGTGTATCCAATGATGTGAGATGTCAACAATGCGGGAGATGATCCTGGAACATCCAATTTAGCTCTTCTGTCAGTCTCTTTAAATAGATACGAGAATTAAATGAGGCCTGAATAGAGGAAGTATGAGCAATGCAGATGCAAACAAGATAAGTATGTCAGTTGTATACTTCAACCTTGGACGGGCCCGTGACTGGTGACTGACGACCACGCTAATCCCAATCGAGGCACCCGTCATCATCCACCTCCGCCTCTCTCCAACTTCAGGATCAATCATTCTTGTCTCAGTGACGTCTATACTACACTTTGCATTTCCAATCCTCGACAAGGATTGAATTACTCTACCAATACGAGCGCAAGAGCAGCGACTCTTTTCCCAGCTCCTGTCTCACTTCTAGGCAGCCCCATTCTCCGAACTGTGGTCACCAGCTGAATCAACCTGCCACCTCATCCGGTCGCCTGATCGCTGATCGATCGAAGGTGAATAATCCATAGAAGGCCTGACTGTGATTACTTTGATCTCACTGTTATTTCCTTGTCTCAGCCATGTCCGAATCAGCGAGCGCAAATACCCCGAAGCCGAGTAGCAGTGTCAAGCTTGTACTGCTCGGAGAGGCCGCAGTGGGCAAGGTACTACTCCTCCATTCACCATGTTACACGATTATCAACAGCTAACCACCTAGTATTATTCGCTCATAGTCATCGCTTGTCCTCCGCTTCGTCAACAATGATTTCCAGGAGAACAAGGAACCAACCATTGGCGGTAAGATCTCTCTATGGATTTAGCCCCCACAAGATACGAGGTACTGTCCCTGGCAGATGAGATACTTTCTGGAGAACACAGGGGCAGTGTATAGTATCCAAAATTTAGTTGTGCCCCCCGCAAACGGGCTACCGCAACCCCTCAAATGGGACTTTGCACTAGGATGATCAACTAACGTCATCTTTCTAGCCGCATTTCTGACGCAAAAATGTTCCCTTCCTACACGCACGATCAAGTTCGAGATCTGGGATACCGCCGGCCAGGAGCGATTCGCTTCGCTCGCCCCGATGTACTACCGCAACGCGCAAGCAGCGCTTGTCGTCTACGACGTTACGAAACCCTCTTCGCTGACAAAAGCCAAGCACTGGGTCGCCGAGCTACAACGCCAAGCGAGCCCTGGAATTGTCATTGCCCTCGTCGGTAACAAGCTGGACTTGACTAATGATGGGGGTGAAGTTTCCGAGGCCGCTGGCGCTGCACAGAGCGAGTCTGAGTCGGCCCAGGATGGCGAGGAAGGCTCTGATGAGCAAGATGATGTGCAGGACGCCGTGTCCGGCGATGCTCGCAAGGTATCGACACGGGAGGCTACCGGCTATGCGGAGGAGGAGGGCCTTTTGTTCTTCGAGACTAGCGCCAAGACCGGTACCAATGTTGTGGATGTCTTCACGGCAATTGCCAACGCCATCCCCGAAAGCAGTCTGAAGACTGGCCGCGGTACCGGTGCAGGAACCGGCCAGACTTCGTTGGGTAGTCGGTCAGCAGAAGACGCACGGGTTAACCTGGGTGATCGAAACACTGCTACGGCTAAGGAAGGCTGTGCTTGCTGATTTGGGTCTTTTTGGGCAGATGTTCTTGCAATTATTTCCATGGATACAGGCGTCCCTCTTGCTTTTTTTTTTCTCATTTCTTGCTTGTTCCGGCTCCAATGGAGACTCCGTGTGCTCTTATAGTCCACAGTGTGCTATTCCCCGAGAAACGCCTCATTTCAACAGTGTGATTAGAGTGTAAATGTTTTTTTAAATTGGCATTAGCAATCAGAAATAACCTCCATACCTACATAACAGTGAAGAGTAGAACAATATGGCCAAAAAGAGGTCCTGGGGTAGTTACCAACCAAAGGCGAGTCGAATAGTGGATCCCTTTCAGCGGCAATCGGCCAATCAGCAACGAGCCCTAAGACGGCCACACTAAACTCAAATAGGAAATAGCGCACCCTAAGCGAATGCGCCGATCCCACAGCAAATTCCCATTCGATTCAATCTGCGAACCTCCCCTCCGTCGACATCACCACCAGCACTTCCCGCAGCACCCCGTCGCTCGCAATAATGGCTGCCATCAACAAGATCGCCCCCAACTCGCCGTCCCGGCAGAACCCCTCCGAGCTGGAGACCGCGATCGCCGGCGCTCTCTTCGACCTCGAGAGCAACACACAGGACCTGAAGGCCAGCCTTCGTCCCCTGCAGTTCGTCTCTGCCCGCGAGGTAAGAATTGGTGTCCGAGGCTCCCGACATGCGAATTGAATCGTTCTGGAATGGCGTCTGTGAATTTTCGAGGGATTTTCGATGCTCCGGGGTATATTGGTCGGATTTGTGGATTGATTTCAATTCATATCCACCAACGCCAAAAAAATCATCAACATGGAGAGGAATCATCAGCAAAGGAGGCAACACACAAATGGATATGAAAATTCGCAGAGCAAGACGCCGTTCCAGGGGGGAATTCTATTTCTGTGTGCACGACATTTTCAGCCGGACAACGCTCTGACATTATTCTCGCTATCTAGGTTGAGGTCGGCCACGGCAAGAAGGCCATCATTGTCTTCGTCCCCGTCCCCCTCCTGACCAGCTTCCACAAGATCCAGCAGCGGTAAGCAACCACCTGCCCTTCCAACACCCAGGGCCAACCAAAACACCCCCCCTTCGAAAATAAGGAACAACCCGAAACTAACACCAACTCAGTCTTACCCGCGAGCTCGAGAAGAAGTTCTCCGACCGCCACGTTCTCTTCGTGGCCCAGCGCCGCATCCTGCCCCGCCCCAAGCGCTCCGCCAACTCGCGCACCACCCAGACCCAGAAGCGCCCCCGCTCGCGCACTCTGACCGCTGTCCACGACTCCATCCTCTCCGACCTCGTCTACCCCGTCGAGATTGTCGGTAAGCGCACCCGCACCAAGGAGGACGGCTCCAAGACCCTCAAGGTCATCCTCGACGAGAAGGAGCGTGGTGGTGTCGACCACCGCCTCGATGCCTACGGCGAGGTCTACCGCCGCCTCACCGGCCGCTCCGTTGCCTTCGAGTTCCCCCAGAGCGGCGCTGAGTTCTAAATGCATATTTAGAATTCTGTGTTCACTTTGACTTTTTTTGGGGCTAGGGGCTTGGAATGTGCTCGGTTGATGCGTGGGAGAATGGCATTGTTTCTAGTTTTGAATTGTTGCTAGATTCAACGCCATTGATGGGTTCCAAAGAGATGATCTCCATAAAAATGCATTGACGGTTTTTTCTCTTTTCTTTTTTTGCCCCCAGTCACTGGTTGCATTGGTTTTTGTATCCGGTGTGAGCTCTGGGTGAGGCGATGGAGTTGAGTTCTCTCTCTGTCTCCCGATCTAATGAAGGTGGGATGGAATATCTGATAGTATTCCAATTCAACAATTCCGACTTTTCATTGCTTCTTTAAATGATTCTGTCTGGCTGGGATTGGGATCTAGCCTGCTTGTAGATTATAAGATTGATAACCCGTGGGTATCCAGATATAATTGTTGGATGTATCTCCCATGGTTAAGTGAAGTAGATTATATTCTGCTGTTATGTTCTATTGGCAGTATCAAATCGAAAGCTCACTGGACAATAGTATGTGGATGCTTCTATGAACGGGGAAAAAAACAAGTACACTCGGGGTATGAAAGGCATAAAACGCAAACCAGTCGACGCGAATATGAACAAGACGATAACATCCCTATTTATCTACAACGAAGCCTGAATCCTCCCCACACCAAGCACCATCCAATAAGCCAACTCCCTGGTAATCTTATCATCAGGTTTAGATCCCTTGCCAACATTCTGCTGGTCAAGCTGCGCATCCGCATCCCAATCCATATGCACGAAGACCGGAATCTCAAGCACATCCTCATCCTGCCTGGAAGCCGCAACAGCCAAGACATCCTCATCATTAGTCTCGGTATTGGGATTGCCATCGCCGCCTTCAGCACTACTCCCAGGCAACGTACCAGGGACAACCTCCAACACAACGGTCGTCCAGTTCCGGCCCTTATCCCATACCTTGCCTGCCTCGGGTACTCCGCGTAGAACGGCGGAGCGAGAGTCACTCGTTAGGGGTGCCGAGGCACCCTGCAACGCCTCGTCCCAGACATCGCTGTTCGCGCCAATCTCGAACTGCGGAGAGAGAACTGTGACTTTCGTCGCAACGTGGCCTGGGGTTACGGGGGGCGTGGCGAGGGTGATGCGGACGGGGTCGAACATGTGGTTTTTTAGGGTAAGAAGGATGTGGATTGGGCGCAGGGGTGGGAGGGAGTTGAGGTCAGTAGTTAGGGCCATGGCTGGGAGGACGGAGGAGGAAGAGGGGGCTAGAGGGCGGAGGGTTGGGAGGGGGATGTAGCTGAGGGCAATGAGGCGGATGCGGAAGCGAGTAGATTGCGGCTTGCTCTCGGGCTTCACGAGGATGTGCTTGCAAGACTTGCAGCGCTTGGCTCGCTTGGTGCGGAGGAGGACTGGGAGTGGGAGGAGATCGTCGACGAAGCGGGCGTCAGGTGATTGGGTTGCGCGCTGGTCTATTGAGGCCATACCATCCCAGCCACATTCTGGTGACTGAAGTCGTGTAATCATGTCCGTCTCGTTCTCTGGAGCGACCTGAAGACCCTCGCTTGCAGACAGGGCTTCGCGCATAACAGGTGGCTTGGATTTGGGCTTCTTGCCGCCACCATACAGCCCGCTTAGGCGCGAAGAAGATGTGTAGAGAGACATGAGCCGGTTTAGGGCGCCGGGCGAAGAGAACCCAAATTCAGAGCTAAGACGGTCATTTGGCGAGTTTGATGTCTCAGCGATCTGTGTACGGTAGAAGCTTTTCAGGGCTGCAAACCGGGCATCTGTGCCCATTGGAGGTGCAGCCGGGTCTTCTTTTGGTGTAGCTTGCTCTTCATCACGCTCGCGCGCATTTGCTTGCTCGTCAGCCGAGGCGAAGCTGGACAATGGATGTTTCAGATCTCCAAAGGTACGAGAAGCTTGCCTCGAGCGATCGAGACCAGTCGGGGCAGTGGAGTCTGTCATCTTTTGCAGCTGACTGCGGATATTTGTCGGCTTGTCGAATTTGATGCCGATGTCTAGCGTCGTCCAAAGACAGTATCCGCAAGACAACACCCACGGACCCTGCTGAGGCCCGTTCCCTGTGGCATTCTCAATAGTACTCACAGCCAGCGGAGCTGTACAAATAGGACAATTGAAGCAATTCCGACCACACCTATAGATATACACATGTTAGCGGATGCTTAAACACAACCCTCTGCACCCTCTAGTACGTACCGGTTGCCATCACTTCTCACCATACTACTCGGCGTTTCAAACAAGCAGCTAGGGCAATACCAGCTCACAATCTCCTCCGTAATACATCGAGGGCATTTGATCTGGTGACACTCCTCGCAATAGAGAAGTTGTTCAGGCGGATACAGCGAGAAGTTAGACCGCGGAGAGCGGGGATCAAAGGTTTGCTCTTCATCCTCATCCTCTTCTTGATCCTCCTCTTTTGCTGATAGCTTCTTGTCTTGGTCTGTGTCCACCCGCTCGGGTGGTGGTTTCTGCGGCGATTTCTGCGGGGACTCTCTCGACCTCCGCTTCCTGGCTGGGTCAGGAACCGGTGTGTCGGCGCAGGGGCATGATATGTAGGTATATGGGAAAGGACGCGACATTTTATCAACGTGGAGGGGCGAGCGAGATAGTGTGTGGTAGCTTTCGAGGTGTGCACTTGGATCAAATCATGCTTCGTCTCTATGGGTCGAGAGGTGAATATCGGGGTGGTGTAAACAGGTTGTCTGATAAAAAAGTCGTAGCTATGAGGTGGCTTCTATTTTTGGGTAGAAATATCTTAATTTTCAGGATCCCAGCCTTGTTGCGCCGAATCAGAGACCCTGAGAGGAACGTGTTGGCGCGTGGGGTCTTATTCGAGCAGGGGTCGCAATGGCTCTGTCACGCCTGATGTACTATGCACAATATGCACAATTTAGGAATCAAGAGCAATTCCAGGCCAAGTGTCTCGAAAGCACCAATTGCAAGAAGTCCACGGTCTGCGGAGAGGGAGCTCTTCCGCATCAACAATCGACGTCAGATCCCGCCATTTTCTGCCCGCTATCGCCGCAAACCCATGGATTTGCATGCTTGAGGGTTTAGAATCCTCTATATCCATTATACAGCCACAATGATACCTCTACAGACATTCCGTGCCAGCCTCTCAAGGCGATGCTTTACACCAACGACTACTATCCGAAGATATGCCAGCCAGACACCCGGTAACCCAATGCTTGAGGTCTTCAACCGCAAAGTCAAGCACCTCCAAAAAGATCGGGCAGCCCGGAATGTGGAAGAGAGTCGGAAAGTCGACTACCTGAAAGATGAAGTAGCAATGCGGTTATGTGAGCGCTTACTGGTAAGCCATTGAACGAATCAAGCGCAGAAGAAAAGCGCAGAAGCCTAAAAAAGACACATCAACTGACAAGAGCTTCTCTCGCCATGAATAGGACATTAAACGTGACTTCCCAAACGTCCTAGATCTAGGCGCAAACAGCTGCAACATTGCCCGGGCTCTCACATCCCCTAATGTCGACTCGGTCATGCCGGAAGGAATCATCACACCACCACTATCAAAAAAGATCTCGAAGCTGACATGTGTGGATACATCGCACGCGCTGCTCCACCGCGACGAGAACGAGCTGTTTAACAAGGAGATCGACATCCAGCGGGATGTGATTCCGGACCTGGAGACGTTGCCGTACGCACCGAACAGCTTCGACGCTGTTCTCTCGTCGCTCTCGATCCACTGGATCAACGACCTGCCTGCGCTCCTGGAGCAAGTGAACACAATACTGAAGCCTGATGCGCCGTTCATCGCGGCCATGTTTGGTGGCGATACGTTGTACGAGCTGCGCGGGTCACTGCAGCTGGCTGATATGGAGCGCCGTGGTGGTGTGAGTCCGCATGTGTCACCTCTGGCGGATGTCAAGGATGTCGGGAGCTTGCTGGGCCGTACCGGGTTCAAGATGCTTACTGTTGATGTCGAGGATATTGTGGTCGAGTTCCCGGATACCTTTGCGCTGATGCAGGATCTGCAGGCGATGGGCGAGGGTAACGCAATCATGAACCGTGACTCAGCACCACTTTCGCGGGATGTCTTGCTGGCTAATGAAGCTATATACCGTTCTCTGCATATGGAGGAAGGTGCGCGTGGTATCCCAGCGACGTTCCGGTTGATCTTTATGATTGGGTGGAAGGAAGGCGAGGGCCAGTCACAGCCGTTGCAGCGTGGCAGCGGTGATATTAACCTCAAGGACATCCTTGAGGGAGGTGACTTGGATAAACCATGAAGAATGGAAACAAAAGGGCAAAGAGAAAGAGCCCAATATTTTGTCACAATATAATATGTAAAACTACGCTTAAAGCGACACTGGAGAGATACCATCCACAGAGATGTATGGAATGCAAGCCTCTACCAAGACGAGAACAAAAAAAAAAACAGTCAGAATGTAAATCATAAGAAACGAACCTCCATCCGATGCTGTTTTCTCCGCTCAAACCGTCCTGCGATCAGTCATGACCCGCACAATCGACCCAGTACCAGCAATCTCCACAAGCCTCTCGTGCCAGCTCAGCAAAACGCTCATCTGCTGACCACCACCACCTTCGCCCAAGTTGCGAGCCTGAATCTGCGAGAAGCCCGTGTCCTGAGGCGAAACCGACTTCTTCGGCGACTGGGTACCGGTACCGGGAGCAGACGAGGACATTCCCTTGTACCTATGATCAATAAATCAGCAATCAAACCCACGACTTTCCACCCGACGTTTCCTCTTCTAGCAATCGAAACAGTAATTCCACGTACAGGTATTTCATCAAGCAATCCGCCCGCTCAGCCCCGCCATCCCCGCTGCACACACCCTCCAGGATGCGGGTCATCTCGCCCTGCCGGATACCCTGCAGCACATCGATGACGGTAGCAAGATGCACCTCCTTGGCGCGGTCGTCGCCGCCCAGTGGCGCCGTATCGAGGACAGTTCGCAGAGCGCCCTCCGGGTCACCGCCGCGCAGCATCTGGCGCACCTGTGTCGCGGCATTGGCGGCGTCACTGGCGCTTGCGGCTTGGGGGAGTGTGGCTGGGAGGAGGGATTCCATGGGGAAGTTGGCCGAGGACTCGGGGTCCAGGGCATCAATGTTGATGGTGCGGTAGTTGATTTGCGACATGGTGGCGGTTGGGGTTTCGGTGAGGGTGGAAATAGAGTAGAAATAAGTCTCGATCAAGTTTTTGGCCAAGCTAGTCGAGTTGATTTGGTATAAAGGAAGCTTTGTGGGGAGCTGCCTGTTAGTCTGTTTGGTACGGTATATCGGTGCGGTGGGCGGAAGCGGGGAGATTACTAGTGACGTGGGAGTCTCCGAGCGGTATGAGATCCAATGGGGATAGAATAACAGATCAAAGGCTGTTTGACAGACAGAGATCAGATTAACTGGTCGCAGATAAGTAAGTAGGTGAGTCGACAGGGCAATGCGGAGTCAATTGGGGAGTCCACGGGAGATGGAGCTGGACACTTGGTGGACGGGGTGTTGTGGCCTGAGGCAGAAACATAGTACTCAAACCCAGTTGCCTAGAGGCTCTTGTTTTCTATGTTGTACTCCGTATAGTATTGAGTATTCTAGTGAGTAAACCAGCTGCTGAGTTTCTGAATAATGTCCATGTAGAGAGAAGTAAATTTCATAATTACTAAATAAATCCAAGAGTGCGGTTTTTTTGGTGGTATATATACACATCATCTATATCGAATCCAGTGCTTTATATACAATTAGCACAACAATAAAATATCAAACAACCCACCAAATGCTAAAAACACCAACGCTAAAATAAAAACTAAGGAGAGGTCGTAATTGTGATAGGGGGCACCACGACATGAGGAGGCGTGGCAGGACGCTCAGGAGAGAGCTTTTGCTTGCTGAGGTCAAGACTCTCCGGAGCTTGTTCGGGATCAACAGACTCTGTGGGTGGCGTATTCAACTCAACTGCGTCTTCTGACTTCCGCTTGGTGACAATACGGCGATAGAAACGCTTTACAGGCCTAAAGAAGGACTTGATACCATGACCAATTGCCTTGCAGCCCTTAGAAAGCGGGCGCAAAACAACAGCCATGCCGCCAACAACAGCATTGAAAACAAGCCCGAAATGGTAGTCTGGGATGAGTCGGAGAGCGATAGCCCAGGGCAAGCAGGCAATAGAACATATAATACAAACACCCCAGAGGGTGCCGCTCAAGCGAGTCACGTTGAATGCCTGGCCGCCAACGTAGACGATCATGATCTGACCACCGATCATGATGGCATTGATTCCTAGGAACCAGTAGTTGCGGAACATGCCTTCGAAGATATTGAACTTGTTGTCGAGACGGCGGTTGTTGAATTCATTGAAGATCTGCATCCACACGAACGTATTGAATACCACGGTGGCGAGCTGCTTAGCGCGCAACTCGGGTTCGGAGCTGAGATGAGCACTGAGGAGCTTGTCGCCTGCGAAGTAAAGCATGAATGTGATGGCTAGCTGGTATACCGCTTGACCGAGGATCATTTTCCACATGGTCAATGTGAAGAGGGAGGCGTGTTTGGGGACAGGCTTGCGGTCGAGAATTTGTTCAGTCGGGGCGTCCGTGGCTCTGTATTCCCAAAACGTTAGCAAAAAGTCCAAGCGAAATATAAAAGAACATGGCAAGGCAACTTACAAAGCGAGAGCGGCGAAGGTGTCCATAATCAGGTTCACCCAGAGCAGCTGCACAGCGGTCAAAACACTAGTGTTATCACTGCTGTATACAGATGACACGAAGGTGAGTACCACAGCTGTGATATTGACTGTGACCTGGAACTGCAAAAACTTGGCAACGGCGTCATTGACAGCTCGTCCCCAAGAGATTGCTGTGATAATGGACTTGAAATTATCATCCAGAAGAATAATCGAACTGGCCTCCTTCGCAACCTCAGTACCGGCAATACCCATGGAGAAGCCGACATCTGCAGTCCGCAAAGCTGGTCCGTCATTAGTACCATCACCTGTCACAGCGACAGTTTCACCGAGGATCTTGAGCCGTTCGACCAAGATTCGCTTGTCATCGGGGGATGATCGCGCTAGAACTTGCAGGCGCGGGATTACTTCATCCATCTCCGCGTTTGTAAGTTGGCGGAACTTGGGACCTTCCATGACCAATCCATCCTCCGTCTTAATTCCACAAGAAGATGCAATGGCAGTGGCAGTGGCAACGTTATCACCAGTCACCATCTTGACCTGGACGCCTGCCGAGTGACATTTGCGAATGGCTGACGGGACTTCGGGGCGAAGAGGGTCTTGGATACCCACAACTCCAACCCAAGTCATACCATGGAAGAAATCCTCAAACTTCGCCGAAGCATCTTCAGAATGTTTGGCTTCTGTCGGAGGCCAGGTTGCGAAGTCCTTGTAGACCATGCCAATCGTCCGAAGAGACTTGTGAGCATAATTGTCAATAATCTCGAGAAGGTTCTTCTTCTGTGCCTCAGAAAGCTGCTCCACATCGGGTCTCTCTTTGGAGATATCAATGTTGACAATTTCTGTGGTACAGACACCGACCATCAACTCGGACGCTCCCTTAACAAGCAGTCGGTAGCCAGCACCAGGGACACGGTAAACAACACCCATGCACTTCCTAGCGGAGTCGAAAGGAATCAATTGGGTGATCTCAGCGGAGCCACGCTCCGAGACAAGATCCATGCCCATATAATCCCGGGCCAACTGAAGCATCGCTACCTCAGTCTTACTACCGACAAAATCTATGGAGCCGTCTTTTTCCTGTTCAAAGGCAGTCGAGTTCAAAGCGATGCTCTTGATGATCAAATCCTTGATGGGAGCCGATAATTTCTGGGAAACCGCCGAAATAGTCATCGAACTCTCCACATCTTCATCTTCGGTTCTCTGGCTGAAGTCCTGATTCGAGCCCCAAGTTCCGGCCACAACAGTCATTTTGTTCTGTGTCAATGTACCTGTTTTATCAGAGCAGATGACTGTGGCATTGCCCATAGTCTCGCATGCGCGAAGGACACGGACGAGGTTGTTCTCCTTGACCATTCGTGTAGTAGCAAAGGCCAAAGCCAGCGTTACTGCCAATGGAAGACCCTCTGGTAGAGAAGACAGATGTCAGTAGAGTCCAAATAGTTCCGAAACATCGGCGCTTACCTGGAATAGCGACAACAATAACCGTGACAGCAACAATAAGAATATCCACAAACTCTTTGCCTTTCATAGCACCATTCTTTTCCGGGTGATTAGGGAGATCGGCTACAAATCGGAAGAGCAGAACGAAGAATAGAATACCAGCAGCCCTGTCAATCATCATCAGTAACCTATTACAAGGAAAAGGAAGTAAGGAGGCTGAACTCACGCTGTACCCAAATATCCAATCCAATCCGCCAACTTACCCAGTTTGACCTGAAGCGGCGTTGGATCATTAGGAGTCTGCAGCGACAGCAAGATCCGTCCGTAGGTAGAATACGGCCCAACACTGGTGACAACATAAGTCCCCACACCTTCGAGGACCTTACTACCGGAGATCAGGAACGGGTCAAGTTTCTTGGTGGCCTTGCCGCCGACAATTTGCTGCCAGACTTCTTGGCCGGGGGTCTTTTTCATTTGATCCGACTCGCCAGTGGCAGAAGACTCATCGCACTTTACGCCGTAGCCTGAAACTAGAATACCATCCGCGGGGATGGAGTCGCCTGCCTCGAGATGTAGGATGTCGCCAACCATGATATCGTAGATCGAAACCATGTCAGTTTTGCCTGAGCGGGTGACTTTGACTTCACGATCATCGTTCTGTTAGGGATGTTAGCAGTGCTTACTTGCTGGATTGGTAGGGGGAGGACTTGCCCGTTTGTTTAGTTTAGCAAATTGTCTCTCTTTTTGCCAATCGTTGGCAGCTGTGACTACTGTGACAATCAAAATTGCCACGCAGATGGCAACTCCCTCCACCCAGTCGACACCCGAGCCTTCTGACACGGTCTCGTATATCCCCAGTGATAGTGACACCACGGCGGCGATGGTCAATAATATAATAATTTTGTCATTATATGCAGCCCAGAATAATTTCAGGAACCCAGTCGATTTCCGAGCGGGTAGCTTATTCAGACTGAAGACACGAATACGGTCTTCAAAGGGCGAGCCATTACCAGATGGCGCCGGCGCTGAAGTGACAAGGTTTGATGAAGATTTCTCTGTAGATGTCTTTTGCGCCGCAGGCGCCACATCCTGGAACTCGACTTTTCCCTCCAGACACCCTTCATCCATTGACAAACCGGCATTCAGATCTGTTCGCAGACCGCGCTCCAGACCCTGCAATCCGCCAAGAGCATGGAATGCAGCCAAGGACTTCGGATTCTGCATTTTGTTTAGTTGACCCGGGGAAAATGCAAACCGATTATCCTCCACTTCGAAATCAGATTCATTCCGCGGATCCGGTTTCAAAGCATCCGACAGCGATACATCGTCATACGCATCTTTGGAAGTATGGGCCGGGTCTACCTCGGAGTTCGCCCGCGAGCGAACCATAGTATCAGCAGAAGAAGCGAATGAGTCCGCCCGCGGACGCAATGTATCGCCATCGATCGACTGTGAAGGTCGATGCGAGGCATTTTGAACCATCAGCCGGGCTGGATCTGGTGGGGTCCAGGCCATATCTGGTGAGACAGGCGAAGTCGGGCTGTGGTTTAGATCTGTAGGACCTGACCATGCGGAAGAGACTGTAGATGTAGATCGCTGGAAGAGAAAAATGAAATGGGATGATTAGCGAAAGAGTTCAGGCGGTTATAGGATGGTTTGGGTGACCAACCTCTCTGCCTGAAAAGTCTGTCACTATAACAGGACTCAATAGTGAGCCCTGATAGGAGGAGTCATTGTTTGAAGAAGACATAGAGTGCGGATCGCACGGAGCTCTGCCATAAGATTATGCGAATCAAATTTTAAAAGCAGCTCATGCAGAGGCCCATGTAATATGCTCTGATCTCAAGAGATTGTCTCGTGTTGCCGCCGGGGTTGCGAGCCCTTGTTTATCTTTTCCCCCCTCTTCTCCAACGGGGCTGTGTACGATGCCCAGGATGCCGAGGATTTAGTCGATTTTCTTCTGGCAATTCGCGACGAGGGTTTTTTTTGCAAGTAATGCCAAGTATAAGAGGGATATTTAATATCCACTCGAGAGAATCTGAGCGATCAAAAAGTAAAATATAATATATAGTCTTGAAGTGGTGCCAGGAAGTGCCACTTATTACCCCGTGCGGATATAGACACAGCCCCCTTTTCCGAATTTGCAAGCGGCAATCTATGGTTAGTTAGAACAGGGGACCTACGGAGTCCGTGTCTGATGAAGGACTAGTATCAGGTTATAGAAGAAGGCGAAGTTCATAGGCACCCATTCCCCTCCAAAGCTGAGGAATGTAAGCGCCCTTCTTTTTCTCAAACAAATTTAGCCCCGTTTCTTCATGTCCATGCGACATGCATAGCTAAATTCTGGGATCCAGCGACTGTCGAATAGCGTTACGCCAAACTCAGGTATCCAATGTGAGGGCGTTACGATCAATTTTGGCTTTGTCATTGTGGATAGGCTATTGCTGCGCCTCGCGGGCGACCCAATCATTCGGGATACCTCACCTCGACAATTGTGTGTGTGCATTGGCATTATTGTTTGACAATGAGCGCAAGTAAGGAGGCAAAGAGGAGACTCTTTGCATCATGGGTCTTGATCGGGTGTGTTCTAGGTTGCTGATGATGGGGTAGGTGTCCACTTGATGGGCGGCTAGACTGCACGCATCATGAGCACGCGGCACTACTAACAGCACCTATCAAGGCACACACCAGAAATGATTTGAGTTCGCAAGCCACTAAGCTATACGGAGTACTCCGTAATTCGTACTCCGTACTGCGTAGTACCTTAATGATGGGGTATCAGGGTGAAAGGAGCGTGGAGGACAGGGGTGGAAGATCGCCTAGTGGCGTATTTGTGGCGGTGCGTTAAAAATGTGGCGATGCGGCTAACACTATGGCTGGAGACTCATGAGCTCTAGTATGACCTAGGAGGCAAGAAACATAACCAGATTGGCAATAGAAGGGCAGTGCAATAGGTGACAGTGATACAGGGTGAACTCACTCCAAGAAAAGGCTATTCCAAGGCCTTTGAAGGGCTAGGCAGAAGCACTCGTACTCGTACAGAACATCTAGGGAACCGACAGTGGCTATAACAGGAAATACAGCCCAAACATGGTCTCAGGACGCGCAAGTGCAGATAAGGTTGAGAAGAGGCCAATATGATGAGCCTCATTTGATGCGAATCCTGAACAGGGTTTGCGCCTGCTTCTAGGTGTATGCCATGAAAGCTCCGCCTCCACTTCGGTCATCGGGTGCTTGAAAAGCATGTTCTTTAGAAGTGAGGCTAGTTTTGCAAAGCTCGAGGAAAGTCATGTCTCCCGACTTGCTAGGCCCATGGAAAGGAATATCTAATTCAACTGCAGCAGGAGTAGCTAGCTGGTCTCAGACGGCAACACAACGGTAGTATCATGTCAGATGAAGTAGTCCTAGAAGAGATGACATTGGTCTGCAAAGATATTAGTCTGACCGGCCTTGGCACGTGGTCAGCATGCAGGGCGGGCTATATGGTGAGATTCGTGCGCGAGGCAAGGTTTGTTACACAGCTGATGAGCGCCTGGGCAACCTTGGAAATTCCGCGACAGGCATGTGTCATCTACATATAGTAAGCGGTCCAAGATTTGAACTATTTCTGTCAGGAGCCATCTACACGCATGGGAAATGCACAAGGTTTCGTGCATGAAGCTCAACGACTTTACATTACATTCATTACCCGAGCTGATACTGTTCGGGCCTTGACGTGTACACGTAGGCGCACTAAGAGAACAAAGTAATATATCCACAATGATGCAAACATTAAGGTTAAATGGGAAGATAGTGAAGAGAAATATGAACAAGAAGTAAGAGAAAATAGAAGCAGAAGAGAGAACATAGAAAGAGGGGGGTATCAATAGTGAAGAAAAAGAATATAACGACAAAATGACAATCAAAAGACAGGAAATGTGCTTTTACAGCAGCACAAAGAGGAAGAATCGAAGAGAAAAATAATAACAATAAAAAAAAAAAGGCACGATCGGGGACAAGCCCCGGAGTCCGATGTCAGGGTCTGAGCCCCCCCACCCATCACTTCATTTCCATCATTTCACATGTCCCATGTCGCAACATTGGCAATTACTGATCCATAACCTCAGTGAAGCGGCTGCTTCGACTCCCGTCGAGACTATGCAGACTGCGGCCGAGCCCATCCGGCCGCGACGGTGCGAAGGGCACTGCACTCTGGGGTTGCGCAACGGGGTGGGCCGGTGTGACAGTGATGGGAGTGCCAACGTTGACCGTGTTAGAGATAGGAAGGTGGACAAGGTTGGGCCGTGTCGGTGGGGTGGGCTCCTCAACCTCACGGGTAAAATTTGAGTCCAGGGGACTGCCATATTGCGAGCTTGGGGGCGGAGCATAGAAGGAGGGTGATCCCATTGGTCCCATTGCTGGTGAGGTAGCAGATAGACCTGCTCCGGTGGGAGAATCGCCGTCCAGTCCGCCACCATATCCGTCTCCACCGTGGGTGAAGACGGGAGGAAGCTTTCTGCCCGAAATCTTTTGGAACCCGCGTTCGCTGGGGACAGAGTCGATGGTGCTTCCAGAGCGGACTGTTGCCGTTGACTGACGCCAGCGCTTCATGAATGCAGGGGCGAGGTACGAGGCGGTGAAAAGGGGATCGTTGCTTTCACGTCGCTCGACAATTTCTCTAGACCCAGCCCCTGCTCCAGCCCCAGCTGCCGCGTCACCTAACATAGCCGGATTCCCAGTTTTCCCCATAAAGTATCCTCGGCGGCGGAGGTAGTAAAATAGAAGAAGGATGATGAGAGCCAGACCCGCAACTGATCCTACTACACCGCCCACGATTTTGGGTGTGTCGGGATTGCTTGTCGACTCCTGCCCCGAGGCCTGCGTTTGACTTGTAGTCGGCGCGGATCCGGTACCAGTCGCTGAGCTAGTTGACTCAGAGCCTACATATACATTTGATGAAGAGGTTGTGTAGTCTGTGCTAGAGGTCGAGCTCGTCGAGGAGCTGGAGCTGGAGCTGGAGCTGGAGGCGGAGGAGGAGGAGGCGGAGGAGGAGCTGGAGGTATGACCCGAATATGACCAGTAATTGTACGCCTGGGATGATGTTGTCGTAACAGAGGGCGTGGAGCTAGAGGGGGCGATGAGGCGAGTCGAGGTCCACCCAGGCGAATTGATGACTATGGATGAGGCAGACCTTGATGCCGATGGAAGTCGACTTGTGGAATTCGTGGATGTGGTCAAAGTAATTTGAGTGGAGTTCGCGGAGCTTGAAACCGACGTCTCGGATAGTGGCAACGCTGTCGGTGAGGTCAATAGCTCTAGATCTATAGAGACACTAGCAGCCGCGGTGACACTCGCACTTGCACTCGCAGTCGCAGTCAAGCCGTCTGAGCCCGGTAGAGTGCCGATGGCATACGCAGAATCCGATATCGTTATCGGAAAGTCGGTAGCAGTCGATTGAAAGGGGGTTTGTGAGCTAGCATCGACTATCTGCAATACAGTCTCGATACTAGTCGGTTCGGCGGAGGTTGTTTCTGCCCGCTTTTCGAGGAGTGAATCGGATTCGTTTGTGCCATGTTCAAGACACATAGAGTTCTTCGAGTCGCAATTTTCATCCGGAAGTATATCAGTAGCCGGGAGGATGGGGGTTTGATCGGATAGATCAGGTCCCGCATTTTGTTCATCAAGCTCGGCTTCCCGGTGGCGCCTGGCGCTAATTAGATTGCCGATGCGCGAGTGACGGTGATGACCATGAGCCATATTGACAATTTTTCCATACACTTCCACGTCAATTGCCAATCACATACAATGTAATATCGAGACAAAGTAGCAAAACAAAATATGTACGATCCTCACAGAGGGTGAGCTTCGAAGAATTGCGAAGAATGGGGCCGATAAAGTTGAGTAAACGAAAGAAAAACACGGTCTAGCGTGCGCCCCCGTTGGGGTGGAAAGGTTGATAGATCGTCTGAAAAAAGAATGACCCGGTTGATAGTATGAATGAATGGATGTTGGCAAAAGGGTGGCCAAACGTTGTGATCAACAAAAAAAGTGTAGCATGAATAGCAGCTTCAAGAATATCGTGATATCTGGCGCACAGTTAAGTGGAGGGAGCCTTGGAATGACAATCGTACAAACGACTAAGCGGAGTTAGTATGGATGAATTCAATTGGGGGTAGCCCCACGCCATGTAAGCAAACAGATCGAGGGCTTCCAACGAACTGATACCAACACATACCTGGCGTAAAAGAGTGACGAAAAGAGTGGTATGAAAGAAAGAGAGTCCAGTCTCAAGTCCTAATCCATTGTGTTTGGATATATGTAACCACAAAGAGGAATATAGAATGTTTAATATGTCGAAACCGTAAGCAGGTCAGTTGGGGGCACTGAGGGGAGTATGGTCACACTGTCGCAATTCTCAGTCTCAAGAGGATGAATGTACACAAAATGCAAAGCAAAAAGGAGACCACAGAAAGAGACCCAAAAAAAGACCCAAAAGCGATGAAAAAGCGAGACACACACGAAAGAGAAGAAGCGGAACGGGAAATTGATGGAAAAAGACCCAGACTGGACCAAACAATCCCCTATCGAGGCCTAGTCTATGCGACCCGTGTTAGTGACGAACTAGGCTCGGGGCCCGACAGATCCTTTCTTTTTTTTTTCCTTCTGCCTGATTTCAGGGAGAAAGATGTCCTAAAATTGAATTCTAATTCTCTTTCTTGCATAAAGAGGAGGCAACGAACCCTCAGAAAAGAAAACAAAAGCCAGTTCTCTGTCAACGCAGGTACCGCCAGGTACAGTGAGATCAACGAATAGAAAGTGACAGGACCCAGATGAGGTTCTAGCCAAGCTTACTAGTCCATTTTAGGGTTAGTGTACCATGCAGGTTTAATTATCATCGGCTTAGCGTCAAATGGCTATTTACATAGGCAAGGGACAGATGGTTACATGCATAACTATATATGTTATATATGTAAATAAAAGGATAGCTTTAGATGTTTGGTGTCTGGAGTCTATAGGTATGAATTCAATTTCTCTCCTGAAAATAATTGTGCGTCACTCCATGTCACTCCACCCGATTCCACTCTACGGAGTATGTTGTACTAACGGCGAATCATTTGCCGATCCCATTCTCCATAAACCTATTTTAAGCCTAAGTGTCAGACCATTATCACCCATTATCTCCCTGGAAAAATAGGATGTATGCATTTGACTCCATATCTACGCGCTTGTCTTATTTGACACTAATGGAAGGAAGACAAGAAAGAATTAAAGACGCGGGGGTATTAGTAACGGGTCTTTCCTCCTCTCCGGACCGGAACTCAATTTCGCTTAGAAAGTCTCGAGCTCATCGGCCGCAACCTCCTCTCCTTCGGCGGGGATCTCGAAGCCTTCCTAGTGGGGGGCGCATAAGCGTCAGTTGGGGGGATCCTCAGCGAATAGGTCAAGGGAACGGACCTCGGTCGAGTATAGAATGCCCTGAATGTGCTTAACAAGCGTGTCCTCCTCCTTTTCAAGCTCGGGGTCGGCTTCAATGGCACTCTGGACCAGCAGCTCAATATCGCGCAACTTGGCAAAGTAGAAGTCGCGTTCCTTCTCCAGTCCTGCGATCGCTTCCTTCTGTGTCGAGATCTCCTGTTGCAGGGCAGCGGTGGCCGCTCCACTGGCCGCAGTGGCAACCCGGGGACGGACACCGCCGGTTGTCGGGGTCACTCCACGGCGTGCGCTGCCAGCAGACGGGGCGCGCGAAGAAGGGGCTCCACCAACGGAACCAGGAGCGCCGGAGGCCTTGCGCCGGCCGACGGAGTCGTATTCACCACCGGGATAGTGCTGGTCCCAGTATTTTTTAACCCACTGGAGGAACTCAAGGTTGTCCTGCATGCGGCACTTTGTAAGGGACTGGACGGGGATGGGCTTGTTGACCTGGTGGCGGGCGAAGACATCTGGGTGATTGGATATGTTAAAAAGGGGATCGTTGGTCGATTTGGAATCCGCCTTCACATACTCTGAAGAACCTTGAAGTTCTGGAGGTAGGCATATTCAGTGTTCACATTGAACTTCACCCGGGACATGGGAACATCCACTGAACAAAGAGACCAGTCAGTATATGTTCCATAACCCAATACGGGACCATTTGTCTCTCAATTATTTCCGCAAGTCGTGGTGATTACATACTGAAAATCGAATCGAATACCTGGCAGAGGGCAGCACTATAGAGAGACAAGATAAGAGGTTAGCCCGTCTGATCTATACAAAAAAAAAAGGTCGCCCCGCGGGCCGTTCAAAGTCGGGGAAAGAATATTGATCAACCATACCCAGTTCCACACTGCTCAATCTTGGTAAGGTTCAGCTGGAGCAGGTTGTTAAGCCATGCCAGCAGTTCCTGTCTATAAGCATACATCGATCGGCGTCAGCAAGGCCATATTGGTCGCGAGATGGCGGGGAATAGGAGAAAAGCCGAACCTGGATTCACCCATGATGGTGGGGTAGAATAGTTATCAATCGAAACGCTAAAGCGAAAGATGAGACTGGAATAGGCGCTAAGTGGAAAAAGAGCTGGATGAAGATATTACACCGCAAGACCAGGACTTCTTGTCAGTCTCTGCTTGTGTGGTTGATGGGGAACAGCAGAGGGATTGTTTTGATGCTAAATCCCACGGATCACACTGGCGCTAGCCCACTTTTTCTGGCGAATCACAAGTAGATTAGTTAATCAGTGTCTTGGTGCCTGAGGTGTCGTAGTGTACCTGAGGTATCATATCGTAGCTTGAGATATTACCTCGGTGCATGAAACTATTACATGGTCAGGTGAGGTACAATTCCATCACAACAGGTCAAATCTCATATATCATATCTACCATCATACGGTCGCCTAAGATATCAAGTTGTCGCTTCATACGTCGCTACTTAACCGATTGACCGCCGGCTCTACCGCCTTCCCCGCTGCCGAATTTGACACATTTGACCAGCAGAAATGGTCGATCTATTGATATTGTAGCTGCCTTATGGCCTCAGGCGACGACTTAACTCTGAAGAGATTGGAAATTGAGGTTATTGTCACGACATAAGATATACGATGCTATATGCTAGGTATATAATTTTGCACTGATGCGATGTGTGTAGACATAACGAAGAAAAGCAAGAATTTATTCTGCCAATATTCCAGCCTGGTCCAATTTGTACCCAAGATAATAAAAACCTCATATCCAACTCCCACTAGCAATGTATAATAATAATGACCAAACAAACCCAAGGGAAAGAAGCAGCGCTGAGAAGAAGAGCAAGCGGTATATAAAAAAATGCAAATAGATCACTCCTCTAACAAGTCGATCCCGTCTAGACCATATCCAAAGTCTATAATGACAGCCCGAGAGTCCTGGCTCGTGGCAACAATGCGTCTATAATCGGACTGCACGCTCAACATCCAGCTTGTGGTCCAGCCAGGGAAGTTGATGGACAGGTCACCCGTATCACGGTCGAACACCTTGACGCTCATGTCATAGCTACCGCTAATGATGCGCTTATTTGCGCTGTCGAGATGCAGAGATCGGATGAGGCCCGTATGTCCGTGGAGCTCATTGACAAGCTCGCCCGTATTTGCGTCAAATTGATAGATTATGCGATCATTGCCACCAGTGAGAATGGTCCGGCCATCGTCACTGAATTCGACACATGCGAGGCCACGGTCCTTGCTGGTGAACTCCTTGACACACTGGCCTGAGATCACATTCCACATCTTGGCAACACCGTCACCACTGGCTGACACTATAAGGTCACCGCGTAGCTGCACAGCATTCACTGGCCCTTGGTGACCGTTGAGCTGCCTCAAAAGCTCACCGGTGTTTCGGTCCCACACACAGATGGTGGTATCTTTGGAGCATGAGACGATGTACCTGTCATCAAAACACACATCAAGCACACCGGCTTGGTGACCGGAAAGACGACGAATTGGTCGGTAGTCGTCCTTGATGTCATACACGATGCAGGTAAAGTCCGAAGAACCTGTGACCATGATCTCCTCGTCAAATTGCAGGCACAGGATCGATGCGCTGTGGTATATCGATTCTTCCTCCAATGGTGCCGTAATTTCCGTCGTCTCATCCAGCGTGGGCCACGGCGGGGTAATAGTCATGAAGGGAGCGGTCCCCGTGGCCTGGGAAGTTGGATTGTTCACTGGACCACGGCGGAAAGTCCGGGCCGCAGGTGGCCCAATAATTTTCTTGCATGACCACGGATAGTGTGCGTCCCACACACGAACCGTCCGATCACGAGAGCCAGTGATGATTTTGTTCCTACAAACTTGTTAGTAGTGCACGGGATCAACAGATTGATGTTAACTTACTCGTCAAATTGAGAGCAATAAACGCTGTCCTCGTGACCTTGGAGATAAATGGCCGCAGCTTTGCCATCCTTCCAGCGCTGATCAAGAGCGCGCCGAACAAGGAACTTTTTCTTCCAGTCCTGATTCGGGATTGACCTCCCTAAGCCAGATGACAGCTTCAGCTTGGAGGCTGTGTCGCTTGCTGGCCGTCGGCCATATGCATTGCGGAATACGTGCCTCCAAACATGAGAAGAGGATGCACAAAGCCAGGTGTGAGACACAAGCTCCGCGTCCATGAGGGAATCAGGGTCCAAATATGAAAAAATGTGTGATGTAATCTCAGCCGGAAGCAGGGCCACGGGATCTGAAAAAAAGAGAGGTTTAGCAAAACACGCGCGCTGTCTAGGAAGGGGTTCATCCTTACCGAGTCGCATCATGGCCATCAAATCAGGGTCTGACACATCCGACCGATCGCGCATGTCAATACAAATACCGCTCTCCGAGTCCTGAGGAACCCTCAGATCAAGTAACTTGTTCTCTAGTTCCGCCTTAGCTACCCGCGCAGCCTCCATTTGCTCATTCTGCGCCGCAGCTGCAGCGCGGGCCGCTGCACCTGCGGACTTGTGGTTCGGCAGAACTGGAGGTGCCTGCCCACGACCCGGGATGGGGGCAGGGATCGAGGCGGTAGGGGCATAGAAACTGTGCAGAGCAGACACACTATTCAAAGAGGGGCGCCGATTGACGCTGTAGCCCTGGTGCCAATGTGGTTTTGTTGACCGGACATCCCAGCTACCGGAGGCCACCCGCTTATGGTTTGCATGGCTCGAATGATGATAGTAACGGTCTTCATCGTCATCAACCAATTTGATGTCCTCGGCGAGAGGAATTGCTTGCTTGGAAGGCTTGTGGCGAAGACTAACGGACAATCGGCGGCCGAGAGCTACCAAACCATCCACGGGATGCTTCAAACTCGAAAAGCTTTTGGCACCACGGCGCCGCGGAGCCGCGTTCGGGAACGGGTCTATCTCTTCCACGGCTGGTGCGTGGTCATCCTGGCATATTTCCATCAAGTATGGCTGCTCCAATGTATCTAAGGCCAGCTCTTTTGACATGGGGGCGGCATGACTTGCAGTGCGTGGGCGCGGACGAAATGACAACGAGGGGCGTCGCCTTGCGGAGGTGGCGTTAGTCTCTCGTGGCGACATGACTGAAGTTGTTGGTATATCGAGGGCAAATTAAACAATAATTGGATGAATCTGATGGCTAATATGTGACGGCGGTTGTTGGGACAAAGAATGGCAAGGCTTTTGGTGAATCTGGTCTATTTATTGTTTGTCGACCGATGTGGCGGTTGGTCTCGGGAGTTCTGTGAGATAAGTCTAACAAAGTGTATAGATCAACGACCGTTCGCGAACTCCAAGGACCCAAGAGAATGAAAAAAAAAGATGGAATAGGAGATTAATGAATGAACTATAGAGAGAGAACAACAAAAGAAAAAAAAAACTTGAAGGCGCAAGGAGGAGATAAAAAAGGGCGGAAGAATTTCAGAAAGCAGAACGACTCTGGGTTATCGGGCGGTGAATTGGGGGGGAGTGATTGGTTCGGATGTCAAGTTACCGGGGGGTCACTGGTACTAAAATCTTGTAGTTAATATACTATAAAAGTAAAGTATCTAATACTTTCTGGGTACTCACCCCTGCGTCAGATTTTTAGGCGTCGGGGGGGGCAAACCTGGAAAGTGCGGAGTAACTGTGACATGGATCGTCAAGACAAAACGTACTGCGGATCCAAGTACCGACTACACACACATCTTCGGTGGCGTTTAGGGCTTTCTGAGTTTTTCTGTTGAGACATAGCTAATATTAGTATCCAACCTGAATTGGGCTTCTTTGGTATTATTGGAGAAAATATTGGATTTCAATCTCTTCAGAAAACTTCCTCGAATAAACACCCCTAACCCCCCCAGTCCTCTAACCCCCTGGTTTTCTATGTTGACACCGACTATATACATAATTCTCAAATATTGATCACCTCTCCCCTTCATCCAAAGATCTTCTCATATCCGGTCAGAGTGAACCGATAGTGAACATCACCCTTCTTCATGCGCAGCATAGCCTCCTTGAGTCCCTCCTCTCCAATGGCAATCTCTTCTACCCAACCCTTAAGACCCTGATCCGCAGCCAGCTGCAACATATCAAGCATCTCCCGACGGCTACCCAGGTGGCTGGCACCAATGAGAACACCGTTAGAGATCAGATTCTGAGCCTTAATGACCTGACCTTCCTCCTCAGGAAGACCAACACTGATCCAGCGCCCATGAACATCCATCATGGACAGATAGCGCGCAAGATCGAAACCCTCGGAAGAGTTAGCGCAGTTGATAATCAAATCAAATGAGCACAAATGCTCCTTCTCCCACCCCTCTTCAGCAGTAGCAATATAACCATCAGCACCGAGCTTGAGAGCATCCGCCTCCTTGGCACGAGAGCGCGAAATAGCCCAGGTCTCCGCACCCAGCGCCTTGGCAAACATGATTCCAAAGTGACCAATGCCACCCAGTCCAACAATTCCAACCTTCTTGCCAGGACCAGCGCCATTGCGCACCAAGGGTGAGTACGCCGTCAGTCCGGCGCACAGCATCGGAGCAACAGAGTTGGTCTCCAGTGCGTCCGGGATAGGGAACACCCAGTGCTCGTGTGTTCGCACGTGCGATGAGTATCCACCCTGGCTGACGATGCCACTGTCGGCCCACTTCGAGCCGTAGGTGTCCATAGGCTCGACCTGGCAGTATGTCTCGTTGTCGTTGCGGCACTGCTTGCACTTGCCGCAAGAGTAGGACTGCGCGCCGACGCCAACGCGCTCGCCTTCCTTAATCAGAGTGACCTTAGGTCCAACACGGATTGCCCGACCGACGATTTCTAGGATGGTTATTAGCATGGAACAGCAGGCTTTTTTCTTCTCATTCTAGATACGTACCGTGACCCACGCACAGAGGGAACTTTTGTTCACCCCATCCTCCTATAAGAATACATTAGCCGGTGCTTCAGCTTGGCATTTCAACAGAATTACCATACCGCTGATGGTGTGCACATCACTGCCGCAAATACCACAGGCCTCAATCTTAATGTCGACATCTATACTCGGTTAGAATCAGAGAGAAGCATAGTGCCACCGACAGTCTAACTCACCATAGTCGCCGAAAGGCTTCAGTTTGAACTATTCATCACAATCAATCTAAGTAAGCGCATATCCTAACCAGCACACGGAAAAAAGCACATACGTGGCGCTTGTGGAACTGAGTGAAGCTGTTAGGTCCATCGACTTGGAAGCCCTCAGCTTCTTCGGGGTAAGGCATTGTGATAAGGATAAAGCAATTGGTCTGAAGAAGTCTTTGTCAATGACTATGTATTCTTTGGAATACAGCAAAGCAGTATATACGAGGGAGACCAAAAAAATAAGAAAAGAAAAGTAGAAACCAGGAAACAAGCGGGGAGGAGGGTGTATATCAACGCCACTAATTTTCAGACCCTAGCGGGGAGCGCAAAACATTCCATACTCTTCCTACGCGGGATATAATCTCCAAATCCATTGTGACACTACGTACTACGACGGTATACACCTGTTTCCCTCCAGTCGGACATTGTGCCGTGGACCCGCTCCGCCGGGTAATTTGGTAACTGAGAGGAATCAGAGCGCAAGACTCGGGGTTCGATATCGCCCGAGAAGCGAATCAATACGATGAAAAGAATGAAGTCTGGGCAGCGTGGGGTGGTTGTTCTATTTAGTGGGGTAGGATTCTAATAAGACCCATACTACGTAGCTAGTAACACTAGGTCCAGAGGTCGTCCAGTGGACGGGTTCTCGTAGCAACTCCGATTTAGAGGTTTTTCCACCTATGAGCGTGCGAGGAGAAATTATATCCCGGGTTGGCTTTATCGATGATAAGAAGTGGGATGATGTAGGGCTTGGGTTTAGGGCTTGGGATTTACATGGGTGTAGTGGCAGTTGAGGAGGACAGAACAAAACACCCATCACTTGAGCTCAATGTACAGCGAGATGAGATCGGTGAGTGTTTGCTCCAACCCCGTAAATATCCACCCAAAGGCGAGCTCAGTGTCAGATGCATAAGCTTCTTGTTTGGAATAGCCATATTTGGTTGCTTCTTTTTGAAAATCCGATGAGATGGCGTAGGAAGAACAGATAAACTACCCACTGGCCTCTGGCCCCCAACCCCCAACCCCCGGCCACCGGCGGTCCACGAGGCTCCACATTACTGAGACACGAATCATTACTGGCCTCTTGAAATACTTTCACGCCTTGCAGCTTTTTCGTCTTGGGGGAAGGAAACCCCAGAGCACCCTGAAACCAAAAGCTATGTACCATCATTGAGAGCGCGAGCAGCAGATGTGTGTAGTCGCGATTGGAGGGCGAATACACATGATCTTTACTACTACGAATCGAATCTATTATCAAGGACAAGCAAGTAGATATGCAACTTCAGGAACTACCATGGAATTGATCATCTAGTAAATCCTATATACTAGTTTGTACGAGGGTATGACACTCACAAAAGCCCTAGTAAAGTCGATGTAGACAAAGAACCGCCCCACAATTCAAGATCGAACGCCCCTCAGAGACGCCAAGGGAAAGCTTAGCCATATAAATGAGCCATTCAAAGCTATACTAGCCCAGTGAAGCTAAATGAAGGTTCCCCATATAGCCATAATTGTTGTGGTCCTAGGGCTGAGCGATAGTAGTTAGATGGTGGGCAAGAGACCACGCCCAACAAAGCAGTGAGTGCATCATATCGTAGTACTTCTTCTTATCAATTTGATCCATGTAACTATCCAAGGTTAACGAGCTGACCTCGGTAAATTCTTTAAAGTTCAAGACCGGTGTAAATTGAACTTGGAATCTACCATCAAAGTAACCGTATAGTACACGGGCACAACATCTTTGGTCAAACACTATGATCATATTCTATAGAGCTCACATAATGTCAGTGACTTTTTTTTATACAAGGGATGGAGGTAGAAGGGAACCGAACGTACTGGGAAAACTTCACTAAGAATATGAACATCCTCTGGCTCAATTCCGTTGGCGAGCGATTCCATTTGACCAAACATGCCTCTTAACCCCCAGCTAACCAAGGCTATGAGCTCAGCAGTTGAGGGGCGATCGTGCCCACATGAAATCACATCGACTAGAGCCCATGCATGGCATTTGTGCGGGTGATCTAGCTCCATTGATCTGGCAAAACTGATTCCGTGTATTTTGTCTGGGAGATCGAGATCGTATAGTCTTTGAGCCCTAGGTAGAATTTATTAGTTTAATTAATACAGATTTCAGAATAGCAATGTATAACTTACCAGTAGACTAACCAGTCATTTGTCATGTAATTGCGAATATCCAGGTCCAAAGCGTTCGCAATCACCATCTCACGGTCATTATCGGCTTCCTTGTCGGTCTTTTCGCTTTGCTTGCTTTTCTCGTGGATTTCACCCCTTGGTTTTCGATTCTCGTCATCGCTCTCTTCGCTCTTGCCGCAATCTTCATCACTATCACCATGTTTTTCAGAGCCCAGAATTTCCCCTTCTTTTGCCTCACTGTCTATTTTCTCACTTTCGCTGACTTCTTTATCATCCGATTTGCCCTCTCCATCGCTCACCTTATCGTCTTTAGTGTTAACAGGGTGATCTGACCCCTGGACAGTAGGGCTCTCGTTATTCTTAATTTCTTCGCTTTTCGCTCCATCCAGCTCGTTGGGCCAGAATTCCGGAATACTCCAGTCCTGGTAGTATATGAACACACGCCGAAGTAGAGAGTTTGCACTGTGAGTTCCTTTTCCGAAGTTTCCTTTTTGAGATAGAAACCAATCCCAGCTTGGATCTGCACGTATCTTCTCTATCCTAGGAGTGTCTGTTCGCGGCATAAAATAGCGTGTCACAGAAGGCGAGGTCATACCGCAAGCAATGTCCAGATGATTAAGGTCAATCCTGAGGATCTGCAGATGCCACTTTGGGATGAAGGAGGTTGTTACTTTCTTCATGGAGGCAAGCATTTGTTCAAGTCTCTCACATCTTAGTATAAAACACCAAGTTTTGGGGATTGTATCTATGGTGGTATTTTCCATTTTGGTAGTATCACACATGAGAAGTTGGAGTATATTGTGGTTAGTAATAATAAGTAGTACAGTCTACGTATATGAACTCCCTGGCAGGTGGACTTATATAGGGTTTAAAAGCGAGCAACTTGAATGATGCAAGTCTTCGTAATGTTAACCTGTTGCCTTGTATGATGCCCTAGGTCACGATGATTGCCTCATGTAATCACACATGATACCCGTGAACGAGCTACCCTAAGCAGAATAATGTTATGATATTGGTCCGAGGGTTTTGCAATTTTTGAAGCTGCTACATGACGGTGCATAATATGTCAACAAACGGTGTAAATTACGAAAAAAAAGGTGAGGTCATGAAACTTGGTATATGCATTGGAATTATATTACTAGACTTTGGGTTTAGTTCCTTGCCATATTTCCAAGCCATTATGCTACATCTGGCAAGCTCAATTCCACATCCATAGCAGACTTGATCTTATCAGCAACGGTCTGGTACTGGGCCTCAGTAAGACGGCTGAGAGGTCGGCGAGGGAACCCGCCGTAACCGTAGTATGACTGGATAGCACCCTTGGTGCCAGGAATGGAGGCCTTTGTGAGAACCCAGTCGGCAGCACTGAGTTGCTGCTGAGCCTCGATAGCCTCTGTGAGACGGCCCTCGGACCAGAGAGTGAATATTCGGACACACAGACGGGGGAGAACGTTGGCACCACCGGCAAGAATGGCAGAGCCTCCGGAAACGAGGGTCTGCAGAGCGAAGTCGGCGATACCGCCGAAGGCAATGTATTGGTGCTTGGCGTTGGGCTTAGAGACTGCTGCGGTGCGCTGAGCCGGGGCCAAGGGGGAGGTGGGGGTGATGGCGCCGAGAGCGGTAGCGACACGGGTCAGCTTGCCAGTATTGGCACAAGTGAACTTAGTGCCGACGATGTTAGGGTGTTCAGAGATACGGATGATGAGGTCGGAGTCCATGTCAATTCCAGCGACAGCACCGGGGTAGTTGTACAGGATAATAGGAACAGGGGAGCCGTCGGCAACGGCTGTGAAGTACTCGTACAGGGTTTCGTCATTGCCGACTGCAGTGCGGTAGTAGCTGGGGGGCACGATCAGAACGTACTCGCCACCAGAAGCGGCGACCTCCTTGCACAGGTCGATGGTTCCGCGGATGCTGTTCTCGCTGGCACCAGAGATGACGGGCACGTTGGAGAAGCCAGCCTCATCGAGAGCGGAGCGGGTCTCACGGTTGACAGTCATGCGCTCTTCGCGGCTGAGATGCACAGCCTCGCCGTTGGAGCCCATGGTCACCAGGCCGACAAGGCCGGCCTTGGCTAGACGCACGGCGTGACGGCGAATGGAGGCAATGTCGAGCTCTTCGGTCTGTGCATCGAAGAAGGTCATCGTCGGCGCATAAACGCCGGGGCGGAGTGGGGTGAGAGACATGATTCTAGGGTTTCGGTGAGCTGATGTTCACGGATGTTCACGGATGTTGAAGTATAATGACCTACTTGGAATTTTATGGGTATACAGCAATAAAACATCATTGGCACTTGACATTCTTATGAACTTCTTCGAGGCGTCCTTCTCCCCTCCCCCACGTCGGCGAATGGTCCGAGGCACTTTGTATGGCGGAGAATTACATTCCACCAATCAGCTTAAGAACAAAGAATGTGGGGGACATGAGGGGTAAAATTGACGGGTAAACGCGCATTTCAGCCGGCGATGGCGTCGAAAAGGCCATACATGCGTCTGGCATCTAAGAAATTGACAATTGAGATCATGAATAACAAGCGCAATGGTGTATACGTATATGAATCTATCTACCTTGGAAAAGAAGAATGAAGTTGATGAAAAAGAAATCAAATAGCGTCAACAACCCCAAAGCCGATAAGATACGGCTATTGAGTTAGCATTTCAAATGCCGGAAGAATTATATCCAGCGATTCAACACCCCGGCATTTCAGTTAATTGTCTTAAATTTCCTTTTCTCCCCCAGAAATTCCCCGGAATTCAATCACCCTCTCGAAATTAACAGACACAATGGCTCCTCCTAACGTTTTGATGGTATGGACAATGATTCCCCGCAGTATAGATCCCAAGCTAACTAAACTAGGTTGGCACTGGTGAATACACCACCGGCTTCGTCGGCGGTGGTGCATCTGGCTCAGACAAGAAGGTCGGAGTGGTAGGCCTCAGTCTATTTGACCTGCGCCGACGGGGCAAGGTGGCCGACCTGAGCATGGTGGGCGTGTCGGGCAAGAAGTTCCCTGGTATCCGTAAGTCAAACGATAGAACAAGCAACCGAACAGGAAGCTAATAACGAGAATAGGTGACCACTTGCACCGCAACATCTCCCAAGTCTACAACAACCTCGATACCTCATTCGCCTCGTTCCCCGCGGACGACCAGACCGACCCCGACGCATACAAAACCGCCATTGATGCCCTCCCTAAGGGATCCGCCATCACTATTTTCACCCCCGACTCCACCCACTATCCCATTGCCCTGTACGCAATTGAGCGCGGCCACCATGTCCTCATCACTAAGCCAGCAACCCAGCGTCTAGGAGACCACCTCGCTCTAGTCGAGGCCTCGCGCAAGCATGGCGTCTTCGTCTTCATCGAGCACCACAAGCGCTTTGACCCTGCATACTCTGATGCGCGTGCTAAGGCCAAGACTCTCGGTGACTTCAACTACTTCTATAGTTACATGAGTCAGCCTAAGAGCCAACTCGAGACCTTCAAGGCGTGGGCTGGTCGTGATTCCGATATTTCTTACTACCTGAACTCTCACCACATTGATATCTGCGAGAGCATGGTCCCAGAATACAAGCCTGTGCGGGTCACAGCAACTGCATCTCAGGGTACCGCTGCTGCACTTGGATGTGTCCCCGAGACCGAGGACACCATCACTCTCCTCGTGGAGTGGCGTCGCCGTGATAACCCCGCGAAGATTGCCACTGGTGTTTATACTGCTAGCTGGACGGCACCTCAAAATGCAGGTGTTCACTCCAACCAGTACTTCCACTGTATGTTTTTCCATTCTCCGGTAATACTTTGTGAACAGGGCTTTTCTAACACATTCTAACAGATATGGCTGCCAACGGCGAGATCCGCGTTAACCAGGCCAAGCGTGGCTATGAAGTGACTGGCGACGACCAGGGTCTGATTCATTTCAACCCGTAAGAACCCTATTCCCAGAATAATATTGCACCATAGTTCCATGCTAACTCTAATTTACTAGATTCTATATGCGCTACGCTCCTGATGAAGAAGGAAACTTCAGCGGGCAGACTGGATATGGCTACATCAGCTTCGAGAAGTTCATCGATGCCGTCACAGCTGTGAATGAGGGCCGTGTTACCCTCGACCAGCTGGACGCCCGTCCGCTGCCCACTCTGCGCAATACCATCGGCACAACGGCAATCCTAGATGCAGGACGCAAGTCGCTAGATGAGAGGCGGCCTGTGGAGATTGTCTCCGAGGGCGATAAGTGGGAGCTGAAGTAAAGAGTAAAAACTATGTAAATGGATTTATGTTATACCAATCACAAGTGTATTGTTTTCAAATGGCCCTCGTGTATAATTTATCTAGGCCCAAAGCCACTCTGTCATGTGCAAAGTCTAGTCTCGCAAGGCCGCAATTTAAAAATAGTAAGCAGATGAAATACGAGCGCAACATCAATTTAGCCCCATTATTTTATCTTCTCCCCTCCACAGTTGTTTATTGTTTATATCTATCAAATTAAATCCTTCAAGATGATGCGCCGAAAAGAGATTTATACCAATATTACACCCATCCCCGCATCTGTCCCCCGCCAACTTGCCCTGGACATCCTGCACAGCCACAGCGAAATAATCACACTAAACCCACTCGTCCTCTCACATCACCCAGTGAGTGCCCCACGGGATGCCGTCGCCGACGAGTACTACTCGACGTGGTACAAGATCACCGAACGAGTACAATACGTCCCTGGGCTTGGCAAGATAGGGTCTGGCAAGATCAGCTTCAAAGGCTGTTTCCACAACGTCGCATGGGGTCTAGAAACACATATGTACGCGCCGATGGGAATCGACCTCAAAAGCAAATGGCGCATTGCAGGCAACCAGGACGACGAAGCACCGGAGTCACGAGACGGGCGCGCAAACGACGCCCCGCAAACGGGACTCTATCTGCGCGAAGACATCGAGATCGAATGCAACCGCACGCTAATTTCTTTCGTCAAGGGTCAGTTGAAGGCTGCTTCGAAGGTGCTGGTAGCTCGTCTGATTAAGAAAGCTGAGCTTCTTGATGCGGGTGTCTTGCAGGCTATGATGGAGGATGGGAAATTGACGACGTATAACCCGGCCGATCGATCGAGCAGGATTATCATGGAGCCGTTGTATTCGTCGCGGAGACAGTCAGATCAAATGTCAAGGTCGGATCAAATGTCGAGATCTTCGTCATCTCGTGCGCCCAGATCGCCGACGGATTCGGTGCACTTCGGATCGATCGCTTCTGGGTATTCCTCTCCGGTGCAATATGGACAGGAGCACAGTAAGAACTTTGCTGTGGAATTGCCGGCGGATTTCTATCATCCGCAATCTGGATCTGAGAAATATCAAGAGTTGCCGGATACCAGTCGATACTCGAAGTCACCGCGGCTGAATAAGGGGCATGCTGAGCTGTCTGCTATGGAAGAGACTTTGGAGGAGCGTAGTGAAGGGGTGGTACCTTATAACGCGTACAGGCCAAAGGGTTAGTTTTTGTATCAGAAGCAGGCACGGAATTGCCATGTATTGCGTATTTCTCCTATCCTCCTTTGGGCGTTTCTTTCACATTCGAGTTTTTATTTCTTTATGAATGCCATCAATAATGACCTCTTTATGCAAGCGATATGAGTGGAGCACATTTTCAGGTAGTCTTTTGATTCAAATCTAGATATTGCATCCATAAAGTTTCAGACAAGCTGCTTAAGGCACTTATAGTGCGCCCCTTGTGCCTTGGTTTTTTCAAGCAAGATCTACGCCTTGGTGGTCTTCTCCCATTCGGATTTTTCTCCAGGAAAATTCCGGAGAGATATTAGTTATTTGAGCTTTAAATTTTTTAGTTCGATGCGTTCGATTTCGAAGTCTCGGCTCCAGAGCGGATCGTAAAATGGGCCGCGAGCTCGATGTCGTCTTCTGACGACTATTAGTTCGTTACTTGGCTTCTTGTATCGTTCATCCAAGGAGATTTTGGCCCGTGCTTGGTGCATCATGTCAATAGTAGATATGCTGGAAGTATACCTCAAATGTTGATTCATAACAGCGGATTTATATCACGAAATAGGTGAAAACACGGAAAAGGGTCAGTTCAATCAAGTTATATCGACGAGTGCAGTTCCCGAATTTGGCTACAGCACTCCGACATTGGTACGCGGTCCCGGGGCCTCGCAATAGTGCTTCCAAGGGTCCAGGGTTGATAAACATATGATTATTTAATAGAAAGAAAGAAAAGGCCGGAAACCCAAAAGCCATATGACAGTACTCCGTACACGAAAAGGGGAAAGAAAAAAAAATAGCAGCAAACGCATCTCGTGGTATCATGCAAGAAACATCATTCAAATCCAATTAACGTCGCGAACTCCCCTTGATGATCCCATCTTCACCCTTGTGCAGCTTGACACGGCACTGGGGGCAGTACCACTTGGCCGTGCGAGAGGGGACTTCAGTCAGACCCACGCAGTTGAGATGGAACCATTCACGGTCACACTACAAAAAAACCCCAAAATGTTAGTATTCTGTTAGAATGTGTCATAATAGGGATATCTTACATCCTGGTTCTCGCAGCAGATCATCGTTCCAAAACTAACATCTCCACAGAGACAGTATCGGGGCTCATTTGCGTCGATCTGCTCGAGGACGCCGTCTTCGTCTACACGGACATCCTGGGAGTCGCGGATGCTGAGCCGCTTCTTTCCTGGCTTGGCTTTGCGGCGTCCGTAGCTTACTGCTGCGCCGCCATCTTGACCGGTAGAAATGGGACCCGGTGCCGGACGCTTGCGCCGGCGGGCCGGGCCAGGAACACTTGGCGCATGTGAAGGCTCGCGGATGGGTGTTTTGTGCGCGGGTGTTGCGCTTTTGATACGGCGATCGCGTCCGCTGGCTGCTATTACGGTCGGGATGGTAATGAGGTTCCCTCCTTCGATCGAGGCGGCGGCTACAGAGCGCCGTGATGAGGGCCGAGTGACAGGCGGTGTGGGTGTAGTGACGACTGGTTGGGCAAGGGGTGGGTTGGAGGGTCCAGAGCCTGTGGGGCTAGGGAGAGGAGGGGATATTTTGGCTTCAACTGCGGGGGACATGTGGGTTTTGATTGGGGGGATAAGATCGTTAGTTTCTGCGACTGGAACGGCTCCTCGGCTGGATCTGCGCCGAGACGCGCCAGCGCTGGAAGTGGGCACAGCGAGAGGGACTGGCGTTGCGACCGGGGCAGCAACTGGAGTAGGTTTTGGAAGCTCGGGAGCTACAAGTTCTGTTGCTTCGGGGATAGCCTCTTCCCGTTTCCTCTTCCGTGATGATCGATTCGCGGCTGGAGGTGCTTGGGCGGGGCTTGGCAGAGGCTTGAGCAAGACACCACCTTCGCCTTCCATCAATGCTTGCTCACGGGCCAACTGTTCGCGTTTCAACTTCTTTGCTTCGTTGAGTTTCATTCCGCGATTGCTCAGCTTTGTCTCCTCCAGATCTTTGGCAGCCTCCCCGCGCCTGGTTTCTTCAATATTGTCACAGTCAATGAACTCCCCACCCGTCTCTTCTGCCAGGGCCTTCGCTGCGCGGTATGCTTCCCAGCCCCGGTTTGCCAGGGCCAGCTCACGGTGGATCATTACTTCACTCGGCTGCCACACAGCATTCTTTTTCATCTTCTTCCGCAGCCTGGTCATCTCCCATTCCGTCAATCGCAGCCATGGCAGGTCCTCGCTGCCCAATTTCGCATCGGCTGGCGGAGGTTTCAACTGCGCAAGGGCCTGAGCTGTCGACGGTCCGTTACCCAAGCTCATGCGACGTGCTTTCTCCTTCTTTGGGGGTCGAGCGGGCTTGGGGGCAGATTTAATGAGTTCATTCTCCAGGTCCGATTGCTCAGTACTGGCAAGCGGAGAATCTGGATCAAAGGCCCCATCACCACCTAGCACACGCCTCCTATTTTTATCTCTCCGATTTCGATTGTTATCCAACCGAAGGGTGATACGCGTTGTGGCATCCTTGGTTTTCTTGCCTCCGCGCGCACGCTTCGGTGTAGGCTCGGGTGGGGGTGATGGTTCCTCAGAGGCAGGTTTGGGTAGTGCTTCGAGTTTCTGGCGGATGCAACCTAATCGATCGAAGTGGCGATCTACAACATCGTAGAGACGACAGGCCTCGGCATATGCCGATTCACGCGCATTGATGGCACGATCGACCTGAGACGATATATCTTTGCGCAGAGCGATTGGGTTGGGTCGGTTATCCGAAGAAAGGTCTGGGAGCTGACCGTAGATCTGAGTGAGCTGGTGTACCGCTTGCGCCGAGTCGAGGTATCGGTCATCGAGGCCGCGGATGAGGGTCAGGGAGCGGATTAAGTCTGCGGGGAGGTATTCGGTGTAGTCGATAAAGTCTGTGACCGTAGCCTGCGCGTCAGGATCGAAGGGGCCATCTAGGATAACCCCTCCGCTGTCGTCTGTGTCGTCGGTCATGGGCATGTTCTAGCACGATGGTGGTGGATGTTGATAGATTATGGAAGGGGGATTTGCGACTTGAAATTTCAATCAATGTTGAGAGGTAGCAAATTCACTGCGATTCTGCAATGTTAAATGAGGACATCGAGGGGTCTAGGCATCAGATAACAGATGGAGCTGGTTGCCTTGCTGCACGAGGTCCTAAAACAGCGGATGATAGTTATTCCGATGCCGTCTGGGGAGCTCCAAGTCACGTGGATATCTCCATCCAGTAAACCGAGTCATCACGACTGGAATACTACGTAGTTACATGTACCTACATGTAGTATGTACTAGGTTCTTATATCGGGTACCGGTGCTTCGTTTTGTCCACTTTAGTACTCACGAAGTATTCCCCTTACGACGAACTTCGTTCAGTTACCCTCTCCCATACAAGATTTCCTACATCAAAAACTGAGTCAGTTGGATTCGACCAATTAAAATGGCTTGCTGATCGATCTCCATAGGCACCTCTTAGAAGCTCCACCTCTCAGAAGATCTCCAAGAGTAGCAAGTCCAGCCCTTCCTCTCGGTGTGAAAATCAGTCAATTATGAAGCTTGTATAGAAACATAAGAGTTTGCTATAGGCGAACAAATAGAGCCACAGGAGTAAAGCGATGATACGGCCATTTCAGGCTATGAATTTATATGTAAATTTAAAGGATATGCCCGTCCATCTCATAAATCGCCGTGTAGTATAATGTATGAGCACTTTGAAATTGCGAGAACCCCGGTGTAACGAGTATTTTGCCCTGTCTTAAATGGTTATATATGGCTCGCCGTACCTGGGGGTCTACCTTTGAAAGTTGATTTATATCTAGACTCAACCCTGGTCTTTTTATTCAAGGGTTGATTCAATTTCATTTGACTTTGAAAAGTCAAAGTAAAGTGCTGAGTATTTATGTCTCTCCAAGATATATCTAGACAAAAAATTGAGCTACGAAGCTATTCCCCCCAAATATCTTGTCGGCTATCGGACGGTATCACCTGGATGTATGCCATTGTGACAACCAATTATAGAGAAGAAAGAGAACTACGAGAACAATAAGAGAGATACGTTGATCTCTTTAATGTAGTTCACTACAAGCTACATATACATATGTACATACTCCATGCTACAATGTAAAGTACTATCCATCGTTCTTTCCCCAGTTCAAACGTTTACATGGCCCCTTCCTAATTGATCGCTCTTTCCAAATTGAACAATTTTAATCTCAAAGACATAGCGTGCGCGTCCGGTCGCGTTTGTTTATATTTTTAAATTTATCTTACTTGTTTTGCCTCCTCTTCTCCTCTTCATCCTTCTCAATTTTGCTGAAGCTTTATCTCAGCCCTTCAAAATGAATGTCCGTGAGCGTCTGAAGATGCTCCTTGAAGGAGATGAGGGTCTCAAAGACTTGGATACCCACTTGAACCAGGCTCGAGCCGTCCAACCTGCCCCAGGTGCGGATAAAGCTGACCCTGTCGAGTCCAACAAAGCTAAGCAAGGCGTAAGTGGACATGCTCTCCCAGTTGATTTTGACCCGGAGAATGGCATGGAGTACCGTGGCCAGTTTCCTTTGTCGTACATTCGTACCCATGTGGTTGGAGAGCTAGCTGGGTCGGAAGACAAGCTTTTGACCATCGAGCAGGATGGTCGCCCCCACGGTCGTACCTCGAAGATGCGCCTTGATCTCTCTGGCTTGCCCAAAGATGACTGGGGCGGCGGCGGTGTTTCTGACAGGGATTCCGACGAGGAGCAGGTCACTGCGATCCCAGTTTCCCAGTCGTTCACTTCGGCCGTCACAATGGCTCGTTTCCCTTTCAAATACCTCCAAGGAGAGAATTCCAAGAGAGTTAATGAGCAGTTCTATAAGAGGGATAAGTTCTGGAGTCGAACCTGGGACCTGTTTGTGAAATGTGAAATTCATCAGCAAAGTACATCATCGCTAATACTCACCCAGGTATTATCTGTCTGTCCCAAGGGTTGTTTCTCAAACCCCGTTTCTTTTGATTCGCACTTCCCAAGCTCAAGCACTGCTCGAGGAAATCAATTCGGCTCTGAACCTCAATTTGACTCTCACGGGCGTTGGTAAGGAAGGCCTCGTGATTGAAATTGACGATGAAAAGCTGCCGCAGCCTGTGTACCTTGGACGAAGCAGCAGCCGTGATCGAAAGGCTAAATTGGAGGGCAAGGTTCCCTCGCCTCCAGAAAATTGGGGACCCTGGGCACAGCTGGTTGAGCCGCATGTTTTCGAGGACTTTGAAAGAAAAATCAAGCAGTCTATCGCCACAATCAAGACCAAGAAGAATACCCAAAAGCAGGCAGCCCAAGATGCTCGATTGAAGAAGTGGCAGGAGTGCCTATGCCGTGTGCAGGCCTACTTTGGGCTGCGTCCTGTGTTGCAGCCGAATGTTACACAGCCGTCGTTTGCCAATGGTCAGATTGAAGCGATTGATGTTCTGAAACCTGTCAAATGGGCCTTTCAAGATGCCCCCATTTTCATCAGCATTGATCTTGAGTGGATGGACTGTCACGGCTCTCTGGGATCTCTGACTGAGGTCGGAATTTCGACTCTGGATATGTTGGATTTGGAAGATGTGTTCCCTGGTGATTATGGAGAGATGTGGGTGAAACGAATTCGATCCCGCCACCTACGTGTGAAGGAGTACCGAAACTGGGTTAACGATACTTACACTCCCGGATGTCCTGGTCGCTTCCGATTCGGCGAGAGTGAGATGATTCCATACGCCGAAATTGCGAACGTTGTGGACGCTGCATTCCACCCCCCATACATGGTTCCCTTGGAGGAAGAAAAGATCGCCGCACACAAGTACCAGAAGCGCACCGTGATCTTGGTCGGTCTCGACCTCCATGGTGACATTACCCATCTCCAGAGAGCGGGAAGCCAGGTTTTTATCAATCTGAACGAAACATCTTCGGTCATTCGTGAGACTGTCGAAGTGGCAGAGCTGTACCGTGTTAATGCCGGGGAGAACCAGAACCGGGGTCTTCGAGCACTGCTGGGATTGCTGAATATTTTGAGTCCTGACCTGCACAATGCCGGAAATGATGCATACTACACCTTGCACGCTCTTCTGCGATTGATGTTGAGAGCAGCTGGGGAGAAGCCGTGGGGCTATGAAAGCGCCAAAGTCGGTAACGACGAGCCCAACGTTAAGCGGAGTGATGAGCGCAAGGGTGAGCCCCCTGTCACGGCCAATACCAAGAATCAACACCAGGATGAGCGCGATGGACCCACGTTTGAACCCGCGGCTGCAATGTATGAAGAAACCGACAACAACACTGACGAAGTCCCCGTTTGGAGTCACTAAGACTGACGTCCAACTGCAACGATTGATAATTCCTGAAAGTGGGAGTGACAGAGTGACTGGAACCTTTGAAGTCAGTTTGAGAATCGTTTGAACATGCCTCGTTTGATGCCCTTGAAAGGATGAATGGACCCAGCGAGGTTTCAATTTGAACAAAATGCGTGAGATTAAAATGTGTGAAAATTAAAAAAAAAAAAAACCAAGGGGATGTATGGCTAGTTCTAGCTTTCTATGATCTGAGCTGAATGAAATCTCCGCTGATTTGATATGAAATATTTTCTCGTTCCAAGTAATGTATACACGTTAAGAAGCGACTGTTAAAAGTGGCCATGGAATTGATATACCCCGGATGTTATGTCCCCCTGACGACATAACATGTTCATCCCACTATCGCCCCCATCCCACAATTTTAATCTCCGATCTCCCCCTCCAACACCAACCTCCTCAAACAATCACTTCAAAAACCAATGACAAAATGACAAGTCGAGGCCCCCTAACCGCGTACCTGCTAGCAAGCACTCCCAATGCGCTGAAGCGCGCAACAACCCACCCTTTCCTCGCCTCCGCCGGCCGCGGCACCCTCCCAAAATCCCAACTAAGCCAATGGCTCTCGCAAGACCGACTCTACGCACAATCCTACATCCGGTTCATAGGCCTCCTCCTCTCAAAAATCCGTCTCCCAACCCAAAACCCAACATCACCAGGCCCACACCTCCCAACCCCAGAACACAATGCCATAACCGTCCTCATTGATGCCCTCGTCAACATCCGCACAGAACTCGAATTCTTCGAAAAGACCGCAAACGACTACGGCCTAGATCTAACAGCAATCTCCGCCGAAGAAGGCGGCTGCACACTCACATCCTGCGGCCGGGGCTCGGACATCACTACTTCCGGTGGTATCTCGACCACCGGCTCCGGAAGCTGTCCCGGCATCACAGGCGGCGAGGACGGGTGTATTCCATCCTCCAACGACAACGACCCGAGCAGCGCACCCGGCCACGGTCTATGTGCGAGTCAGGGGGAGTGCCAGATGCCTTCCGATGGGGGAATTTGTGCGCCTGGACCGCAGTTCAATGAGTCTGGACGGGGCGTGGAGCCTTCTGCTGTTGGTGGGGATGTTGGGGGGAAGGTGGGTGTGCAGGATGGTGGTGAGCGGTGTGGAACTATTTTCTTCTGTGCTAGTCGCACGACCAGGGCTTATATTGATATGTTTATGTCTGCTGGGAGTAGTGGGGTTTCTATTTTGGAGGGGTTAGCGGTGTTGTGGGCTACGGAGGTTTGTTATTTGAAATCTTGGAGGTTTGCGGCGGGTTGTATGCGGGAGGATGGGAAGAGGGATTATACGAAGGATGCAGATGGGGGTGCATTGAGGGAGAAATTTATTGAGAATTGGGCGAGTGTTGAATTTGAGGGGTTCGTTGATCGGATTGGGGATGTTGTTGATGAGATGGCGGGGCAGATCAAGGGTGCGGAGGAGTTGGAGATTACGCGGGGAAGGTGTTTGGAGTGGTGGAGGCAGATTGTTTGGTTGGAGGAGAAGTTTTGGCCCAGTGTCGCTGAATGATTTAAATAGAGTTATCTGATCAACTTTAGATCAACTTTAGATCAAATTCAAATGTTACTACAATTTCTAGGGCTGTGCATATTCTTTTGAAGTTGGAAAAATATTGTATATAAGATATCATACATCTGACCCGAAGCCCATACATACAAGGCCATCTAGAACGGGAAGACAAGGAAAAACAACAAAGCAGACCAAAACAACAACGCCGTCCATAACCCCCTCGAGAGAATATTAAACCAAACTCCGATTCCCAATCTCTGCTCCCAAAACAATGACAATGTCATCGAGCAGACCTTCAAAAACACAAGTATAAAAATGATCAAACCCACCCAACACCATTCGTAATGCGGAAGCATGAAGCATGAAGCAAGTAGTAAAACATATGGACACAGTCTGTAAAATGGACATGTTGTACATCACAAGGTAGACAGTCTGCACCAACCATCGCAGTCAACATCAAGTAGCAGCCGCACGGGCAGCATTGCCTAGTTGTCGATGGTATGATCCAATAGGTTCGAAACCCCTGGAAATAGTATTAGTTTCTGCGCTTGCAAGAAATCGATGTAGCAAGAGGAAACATACCTAGCAAGATCAAACCCCGATCCATTATCATCTTCCTCCTCTTCCCGCTCTTCATTCCTCACATGAGAATGCCCATTAGATCCCATATCCCCTGAATCCGACTGGAGCGGAGGCAGAGTCCGACTGGAGCCAAGCCCATTCGACGTCCCGGGTTTGCTGGGACTAACAAGATTCGGCGGCGGGGGAGAGCTACTCGGGAACCCGCCGATAATGCGGTCCTCGACCTCACCCTTCAGGGGACTCATGTCCGGCGGTGGGCGGGCGGGGGTACTCCCGATATCAGCGAATTTCCAGAACTGCGCGGGCGAGCTCATGGGCATGAACTTGGACGGGATCTGCGCTGTGCTTGGGGGCGGGAGACGGGGCTGTTGGCGTTGTGGGGCGGGGGTGATCATTGAAGAGGGTTCTTCGTTGTAATAGGACGAGGAGAGGACTGGCGGGGACCCAGCGACGTTATCAGACATGCCGTACGCGCGGGCCAGGTTGTTGCTGCTGTTTTGCACCTGGGTGGAGATGCTGGAGTTGTGGTTGTGCGAGCGGGATGGAAGCGGCGAGGGTTCGTCGTAGTCGCGTGGATTCATGTGTCGCAGTGGGTGGTCGGAGCCGAGGCCTCGACCGAGCCGGGATCCACGCTCTGGTGTGTATGCTTCCACCGGGGCTACGGGAAATGAGCTGAAGCCCGGGGAGGAAACGGGTGGTGACTTTCTCGCTGTTGCTGAGAACGAGGTGTCGAGTTTGCTAACATTAGTTCCACGCGCTGATGACGGTGGCTCTTTTGTTGCCGGCGAGGACGGGGCAGATGACTGCGTGCCGCCCTTGCGTGTTTGCTTCTTCCGGTACTCCTCCCGATATTCCACTGCGATCTGCCACTTCATACCCTTGCCCGGCTCATCGGTCCGGCGGGGGACCTTCTGGAACGCCTTGTTCAGCGAGAGATTGTGGCGGATCGAATTCTGCCAGCCGCTTTGGGAGTGTCGATAGAAAGCATATTTATCCATGATCCAATTATAGATGCTGTTCAACGTGAGCTTCTCCTCCTCGCTCGAGAAAATGGCCTGGGCAATCAGCGTCGCATAGCTATACGGCGGCTTCAGGTCCTTAGACGAATCCTTGCTGTAATCGATCTCCTCCGTGCTCTCCATCATCATGCCTCGATTATAAAGCGGAGACTGTTTAGCCGTGCGCTGGCCAGCGGTATCCGGCGACCGCGGCGGGGGCGTCACCTGGCGCTTGAGGAACTTCGGAGCAGGCGCCAACGAAGGCCCGCCAGACGAAGATGGTGGCACAGCCTCGTCGTTCTGGGATTGCTGAGGATGGGCATGTTGCGAGGCATCCCAGGAAGCCGAAGCCGGATCGGGCTCTTGTCCACTAGCAATGCGCTGGGCGCGCTCGATAAAGCTGGGCTGAATATTGGCCTCGTCGCCGGGCGTCACAAACATCATTTGTGTATTGGCCACCTCGATGATGTCGCCACATGAAAGAATCGCATCTGTTCCGCGCTTCACAATGACATTGTTCAATCGCACACCGTTCCGGCCATTAACACGGATGTGCCAGGCAGGCGTCTCCTCGCCATCATAAAAGATCTCGGCATGCAGTCTCGACACGAATTTGCTGGGGCCCAAGTCGACATGAACATCTGGCAGCGCACGAGCCGCAATTGTGACGGGGCTGGACTGTTCGACAGCCCGCTGCTCGCGGTCCGGTTCGCGGCCGATATTAACATGCAGGGTTTTGACGTAATAGGTCCAGTTGCGGCCGGCGATCTTAGCATAAGCCTGGATGCGCTGGGTATTCTCGGTCTTGGTGTTGGAGTGGTCGCGCGAGACGCGCAATTCCTCGCGGGGTGTGTTCAAGTACGAAATAACCAGATCGACTAGGTCTTGATTGGTGGCGGGTTCGTGTTCGCCCGCTGAGTCCTCGGCTTCGTCGCCGGACTCGTGTTTGACGTTTCGGGGAGGGGAGGTGCGGCGCTCGACCTGCGGATCAGAAGAAAACGGGTCTTAGTTCCTGTTTGTGCGGGGATATATTTTGTCTCAGACTAAACACATGTTTTTTTTAAACTCACCTTGCGCTTCTTTGCGGATGGCCGGCTAGGCGATGAGTCCGGGGCCTCTGCATCGGAGGTTTCTTGCAGTTGAATTTCCTTGCGCCGCGCGCGACGGCGGTTTGTGAGCGGCATATTTTTATATAATTCGCTCTTCCTTCTCTCCGGTATGTGATATTAGCGAAGTCGGTTCACAGATGATTATTTTTTTCCTCCGGTTGCGTAGGCAATGAAGTCCGAGTCGTAGTACTCCACAAACAAGCGCGGGGCACTAGAGAGGAAATATGATGGCAAGCCGAAGGCAAAAAAAGGCAAAAACACAGAGTTTAGTAAAAAAAAAAACAAAGAGAACTCTTCCAAGGTTGGATTCGGATTTCAGCGCCCCCAGAATCGGAAGACCGTTCAGAGGTAGAACCAGAGAACGAAGAACGTCAGAGCATGGGTTTGCCACCACGGAAGAAAGGAAAATGGAAAAAGAAAAAAAAAGAGAAGCCAGTCAGACTGTAAACAATACTAAGAGGCTGGATATCTTTTTTTTTTAAACACAGAACTCCCCCAATCGAAAGGTTGATATTGTGTGGCTGGATGTTATTATCGATAATCCCTAGGCCGATCGACACGCGCAATGGCGTCTGTTTGGGGGGGTGACCGCCTTGTCGCGTGGAGAACGTGTAGAACAACAACGGAAAGGACAAGATAGAAGAAAGAGAATGAGAGAAGAGAGAGAATATAGGAAAGACAAATAGAAGAAGAAAACAAAGTGTACAAGTAAGAAAAAAAAAAGAAAATGAAGTGCGATTGGGATGTGACCGTAAACAGAGTGGTGGAGTTGGTCATTACAGTGTATTCATACAGGGAAAGTTGCCCGATAGGCGGAGATAGGACTGAAATACCAATACCAGCACGTGCTCAGCGTGGGATTGGGGATGCTTCCGAGTGCAGAGAGTGGAACTTCGTATGTCCAGATGCAGATGCAGATGTTCGTGATGTTCGATAATCCTTACATGTATGTACATATGTAGGTAATGTAATATCCTATTTCTTTTGCCATCATTGTTCCTACTATGCACATAGCCATGTATAACACCTGTTGTAATAACTAATTCTGATTTACCTACTACACACAGGTGCATACACAAATCCCCAGATTTGACAAAAATGAGATCTGCCCGTTTGCGTCACTCCCCGGATCTGGTTTAGCCTGGAATGTTGCTTTGCCTCTTTGGGTTTGACATGTCGATCTAAAGGACATACAACAGTCGGAGGTAACATCGCTTTCGATCTTCCATTCTACAGATACAAAGGAATCAAAGACGCAAACAACACTTTAGGTAAATAAACAAGTTCAAATAGTTCCATGGAGCCCTAATAGTCATACAAATAGGAAACAAACTTAAGATGAAAGCACCTGAAAAGTGTCAGAGAAATGGAAAATTTCTCCATTGGAAAAAGAAAATAGAAAATAAAAACATCCTTAAACGAACAAAGAAGACCTTGTGGAAAAGGGGGTGTAGAGCGAAAAAGAGGCAATAAACAAATGTCGTCACGGCGTGAATCAAACTATGGCCAAAAAAGGCAGAAAGAGATGAAGAATTTACTCGGGCATTTTGGAGTCCCCATCCTCATCCTCATCCACACCACGTAACGTGGGATAAAAGACTCCCTCACTTGCAGACTTGGGCTCTTCCCTGGGCTGCTCAGAAGTAGCACGTACACTGCCAGTCTCAACTCCTTCCATGGCATCAAGTCCTGGAGTAGGAGAAGCCGAGGAGGTCTGCGCTCCGTATTCGGCAGTACCAGCCTCAAGCAATTCAGAAACCAAGCGGCGCAGGTTCTCAAGGAGACGAACCTTTTCAACCCATGCAACGTTGACATCCCGCTCGGCGACTTCAGTGGCCGCTTGCGCAGTACGCTTGGCTGCCTCCTGATCGGGATCAGACGAGGTACCCGATAGAGCGGGGTCAATCAGGCTCTCGGAGATGTGCATAGCAGACTTGGTGGGAGTGCGCTCGCCGTCATGCTTGCTATCCTGGGAAATGTCCATGCGGTCCTCGCTGGCAGCACGCTCCTCCGGCCGGGCGCGTTGCAAGGTACCACCGGTGTAGCGGCGACGGTCGTCGTGGTCATACGCACCGCTCAGAGTAGAGGGGGGTGCGGCGCCTGAGGCGGTCGGGTAGCCTGCAGACATGCTGTCGGCAACAGTGGCCGACGGCAAGCGAGGGTACATACCCGGGCCGCTCTCGTGAGGGGGCGACACGCGGTGAGCATGGTGCATGGCGATAGGAGAGCGGTTGGAGGTGTATGACTGTGCGCTAGAAGGCGGGGTCAGAGCTGGGGTGCCGACCGATGGGGAGTGGGCCGAAGCTGCTCCCATGGGGGTTGAGGCAGTTGCGGTAACGTGGCTTGGCGGGAGCTGGGTTGGCGGGGAGTGGGTGGCGCGATAGTTCATGCCACCATGCACGTAATGCGCGCCAGGCTGGGCAACGCCGGCAGCCGCCACATTCTCATCGCTTTCGTAAATTGTGTTCTGCATTTGCTCGAGGAACTGATCAATGTTGATCAAATCGTTCTTAGTCCGAACATTTGACATGGGGGGAAGGTGATAACCAGGAGGCTGCGAACCACCAGGGCTGTAACCACCACCGCCGCCGACCGCAACAGATGCAGGCATTTGCTGATATTCGGGCACAGGACCATTGAGGAAGGGAAGCTGAAGGGCCTGCAAACCAAGCAGACGCTGGCCGACCGCGGCATAGGAATTAGGGTCGAATTGGCGGCGCTTCAAGTCGCCAAAGAATTCGTTCAACGCGTCATATCCGCGCTTGCGGTCATAGGGGTGACCTCCCTCTTGTCCTTGGCTCAGGGCATAGTATACATTTCCGTAGGAGTGCGGGTTAGCGGCCTGAGGTGGGGGGTGTGGCTGGTAGTACTGAGGAGGTGGCGCGTGGGAGTATTGACCATTGATGCCATTGATAGGGGTTTCGAAGTAATGCGTTGCAGCTGCATAGCCCTTAGGGTTTTGAGGGAACATCATATCAGGGTGTTTCATGCCCGGTTCGGGGGAGCGGATCTCGGAGTCGTCCGCATGGGTCTTGACATGCTTCTTCAGATCCTGCGGGCGCTTGAAAGCCTTGCCGCAGAAGTCGCATTTGTGAGGCTTAAGTGGCACATGAACACGAATATGGGAGGTAATGTGATCACGCTTGACTGTTGTGGTGTTGCAAGTGCCCCACTGGCAGGTCAGGTTGAGGTTGTTGGTACTTTTACGTCCAACGTGGCGCTCACAAACATGCTCCTATATAATGATTATTAGCATTAGCATGTTTATCAGATTGTTGTAATTGATCAATCAAGCTTACATATAGAGACTCAGCAGTAGGAGACTTCTCAGTGCATCCAACCCACTGGCAAGGCAATTGCTCGCCGGCGCCGTTCATGGAGGGGCTGTTCACCGCCGCAGTGGCGGCGGCAGCAGTCGCCGTAACTGAGGCGGAAGGAGTCGGGGTTGCCTGGATGGGCGCCGCTTCAGCGACCGGCGTAGGCAAGGTCGCTTGCGTCGTAGAAGGGGTATGGTTCTCCGTCATGATGCCAAGAAACTTGATCTGAAGTTGGCGGAAAGCCTAGAGGACAGAAGAGAACAAAAGAAAACAAACTAAGAAAATCAAACTATAGAGAAGATATACCCTATATGTATACAATTCGAGGAAGGAAAGGGGGGGGAGAAGTGTGTGAGAGAAAATGGGGGCTTCTCCGCAAGAAGAGGAAAAGGAGCCGAGCCTTTGCCCAGAAAATACCGCTTTGCTAAGCCTAGCGGAAGGACAAGGAGAGAAAGCAGAAGACCAAGACCGGGCCAAGAGTCGGTGCGGGCCCCAAGTACCAAGAGGCGTTGGCGCCATGACTTTTCACTGGTGGACCGAGGGGGGAACGAGGGGCTGTGTGTGAGCATTCCAGAGCTAACACGTAGCACAGTAGGGTACAGTACGGTACGGCTTACGTCTGTATTTTTTATTTTTAATATTATTGCAAGGTTTTTATATACGACTGAACTCCGTATATAGCTGGCCTTATAAGCGATTTATGTAGTTCGGTTTATCCTAAATAAGTTTAGTGGCAAACACACCGTAAGTTCAAAACAAGTTTAATATGGACAGCGTACAAATTATGGCCTTTCAATGATCCAATATTAGGAAAGTAAAATCAAGCTGAGAATGAAACACTCAGTGGCGTGTTAATTTCGCCAAGCCAACCTTCCAAGAAATATCCCATGGACAATTCTTCTTGGCAGCCAAGTGATTCCTCTTGCCAATAATTCCCGCTCCGGCGACCAAGAGTCAACTCTTGGAGTCTTGGAGTCTTGGTATGACCAATGTCATATCCCTTTCGTATTGAAATTTGGCCATAGGTGTGACAGGTGCTCTGATTAATCCGGTTGCCTAGTGCCCTTGTTACGGCCGGCATGCATAAGTCGGTTGGTTTCGGATTCCGGGGTCACTGGAGACATCTAGAGGTATTTACGGAGTACATGTAACCAATCTTGTTCTATATGTCATCCTTCTATAGAGTATAATCTAGAGTTTGTGTCTAATTCTATTCTATCTGGAACAATTCGGTCTAACCTCGGGACATATCAAACTACCCCTGATATACAAAAATACACTTACCAAGCTTGTCATCATCTTCACATGGGCCTGGCCCAAGCATTCCAGATACTCCTTGGAGCATGGCTTGGCCAGTGGCTTAGCCAGCCGAACCCAAATCACCCACGTGCACATGTTCTCCTCTCTGTGCGAGTGCCCCCTCACCTTCCCGAGCGGTTCCTCCGCTTTGGCTGGTACCAACTCCAAACATTCAACCCGACCTTCGTCCCCTTTGTAACAGGGAACGCAGCGTGCCAAGTCTCCCGATACCCCGTCCCATCTGGCCGAAGATTCTCCCAAAACACAGCATTACCCTTAATAGGCTTGAATGTGATACCCATTTTCTCCTTCCCCTTCTCCTTTCCCTTCCCATCCCGCTGCTCACACTCTAGGAACCGGCACCATCCCTCCCCATCCGGCATCCTCAACCGCGGAAAATTCGTCCCCCCACCCTCACAGTCGGCATCGAGATACACCATGAACGTGCTAAAACGATCCCCGCCCCGCGCCAGCGACCCGGCCCAGTCATAGTGGTGGCGATAGTGGCCGGAGGCATTGTAGCGCTGCGCCCACATACGCTCGATGTACAGGTCCGGACGCCAGCCCTGGAAGGCGCGGGCGCGGTCTTCCAAGCAGCGGATTGTGTCGTCGCGGTCGAGAAGGGCACGGTCGGAGAGGCGTTTGGTTGGGTCTACTCGTTCGGTTTGGCCGTCGTAGACGATTGAAGGGGTGTATTTGTTCACGCTAGGATTCGGGGGAGGTTTGTCCGGTCAGCTTGGTCTGTGGTTATCTGGTGTGTGTGATGTATATCCGGGTGTCTCAGGGGTTGTGGTTGAGATCGGTGGTTTACCTCATGTCCAGGATGTGGTTCGCTTCGGTTTCTGAGATGAAGTTCTCGATATATATGATCAGCGGTTCGCGCGAGAGAAGATGAACGCGGTATCCCTCTGCGCTGGGGCAGCTAAATGGTACGCCATCTTCGGGGCTGATGAAGCTGTCGTCAGTGAGGTTGATGCCTGGTCCGTGTGCGCTGAATTCGTCGAAGAGATCGTCGGTTTGCTCGCTTGGTATCGGCAGGCTCGGGAAGTACCCGCGCACTAGCGGGTCGAGGATGAAGATATACAGTGGGATCAAGTAGATGGTCCAGGTGAAGACGGTGGAAAACTTTGGAAATGATGCCATTGGGTTGGCTATAACTAGTCACGGCGATATGTAGGCCAAGTAAATGTACAAGAGATTCGGACTGTTAGCTCTCCATGCGACCGGGCGGAGGTTTGCGGATGCTATAATTGATCCGTCTCTGGGTATAGATGAAGGCCCATAGGCATTGGAAGAGGGATATGATCAAGAAAGGGTGTTGTAGTGCAGGGCCATCTTGCAAAGGAGAGGTTCTGGACGTGGAGATGGAAATGTTCCAGTATGTGGGTCTAACAGATTATGGGCTCACCCGGAGCTAAGATGAGTATGACTCTTTATTAACATGACATTTAGCATCCCTATTAGCAGAGTTTACACCGTATAAACCGTGTCATTTGGCAAAATAGCTACATCTATAGCTTCATATATATAGGGACGTGTTTGGGGAGTCGGGGTGGGTGAGACGGATGCTGGAGTAAGGTATTCGGTGTGTACTGATTCGATTTGTTGATATGTATATAGTATGTAGACTTATGTTTAATTTCTTTTGTCTTTTAAACGCTTCATTCAACAATTGCCATTCCAACCCCAAAACAGACCCACAAAGCCAGGTCAACTGTGAACGTGCGCACACGGTGGATGGTCATCCATCCCTCGAGGTCTTTTGTCGATGAGCCCCGCGAAGTATCCTCGATCACAGCCTGGACCTTGGGCGCAATGGCCGGTACAAAGAGAAGGTGACTAGCAGCTAACAACGTGCCAGCAGTATACCAAGGGAGGGATGCTGAGCTTCCCAATCCCGACCGTCGCTCCGTCAAGATATTATATCCCCCTCCAGTCAAGGTTAGCGTGAGAAGGGCCACCACACGCAGGGTACCGAAGCCGAAAAAGGCACGGAAATAAGATGGTAGAAATTCATTACTACGGGTGCGGTGGTCAGGGTGGAGGAAGACGTTCAGGAAAAAGTCCTGGTCGAGCGAGTACCAGAGCGTGCAGGTTGAGGTGATAAGTGGCGCGGTACGCAGGAGAGTACGGTAGTCAAAGATGAGCCCGGAGGCCATAATTGTCGGAGTAGAGAACAAATCGCGAGAAAAATCACAGATAGATTAATTGTGTAGTGGGGGATGAAGCAAAGGTGAAGCTACATTTCGGCGACTTTCTCTCTATTCCATGCTTACAGGGATGTAGAAGGACAAAGCGCCGAAAAGGATGACATGAGGTAGAGATACTATTCGAGTGGCCTTAGTATTCTCGCTGTCTGTTTTGGACTCTTATCCTGGTCCTGTTCTTACTCTTGGTCTTCTAGTGTATGCTCCATCCATCATCACCATCACTCACCATGGTGGGATTGGAGAAGAACGGAGAAGCCACTACCATGCCCAAGTCTTATGTCCATACGTACGGCCACCCAGGGTGCCTTTGACGCCTGCATCATTGCCACTGCCCTGCTGACGATTTCAGCGGGTCTGGGATGTCGAGATGTGTATATCTGGATAGTCAATATATGCTGGAAGAGTCTCAAAACCGTTGTCTGTGGATAATGTATATATACAGTCAGATCCATCATGGCACGCATAGGCCATGTGATATCTCAAATATAGTGCGTACTATCAGACACCAAACATGACGCCCTGACAAGAATCAATCCTTGCCAACAATGTGCCCACTACACTTTTTATTGCCTGTAATGGCAATATTCTCCGTAGAACTAAGTGGAGATCTACAAAATTATAGAGCACGATTGCAGACACAAAGGGAAATTTGAACAGGGACAAGCTGCAATCTGTGAAGAAATGCGAAAAGGGACAGGTCAAAATGGATTGTGATTCTAGACCATGGGGCTGGGGAGGGATGAGGAAGGTGTTTAGACATCTCCAGAGGCTATCGGAAAAGGGTTGATCCAGTACCAAGCACATCCAATACCTCGGCCTAAAATGGTGCATGTACCTCACTCTCAAAGTCGAATCAAGTGATATAAAATACGGTATACATTTATATATATAGGTAAGTGCAAAAGAAAAGCGAAACTCCTAACCCCAACCAGGTATCAACAGATTTTACACCAAGATTTTGGCTTTCATGATAGCATATCCTCGTAAAAAGCACAGAAAACAAATATGGGAAACCAGGCCAAGGTCAAATGCTATTAGCATTCATCCACTGAGCCCAATCTTCAGCAGACGCCCCGTTGCTAGGTCGATAGGCGGCATTATTGCCAAACAGATCATCAAAGGAGATTCCCAGATCCATATTCATGCCCATATTCTCATCCATGCCCATGACGAAATCAGGTATTCCATTTGGACCGGGCATCTCTGGCTGTTGTGGTGCGGACTCAGTTCCCATGTCGTTTGGATTGCTGGGCTGGAAATTGTAGCCCTGCCAGACGAAATTCTGGTTCGGGATTGAGACCAAGTCTGGACTGCTGATCACCTCTGATGGAGTCTGGCTCTGCGAGATTGGGGAGTGGACGCGGGACGAGGTTCGGGAGTGGGAGGGGCGGAGGTGGCTTGGCACTGATGACTTTATCCCTGGGGTATTTGCTATGGGGTAGTTGGGCATGTTTGTGAAGTCAAAGGTTGGAGTGGAGACCCCTGCGCTGGAGGGTTCGCCTGGTGTGGCTGGCCCCATGCCTGATGCTGAATCGAAGGGATACTGCGATGGCATGCCTGTAGGGTCGTGCCGGAAGTGATCATCTTCCAAGGTGGACATAGGCTGTGTTGGGTATGCGAATGGATCGTCTGATGGGAACATCATTGGCATGAGATCTGGGAGATTGGACGGATTGGTGAATTGCTGAGCCCATGCTAGACTTGATGGCTCTTGAGTGGGTATAGAGGGTGTCATGCCTGATGAGGAAATATGTTCTGGGGTGGTCATGGTTTCTGTCAGCAGATCGGGTGTGTTTGAAATCCATGTGGACTGGTGATTAATATCAGTAGAGCGATTGCTGACAGGCTGAACATTGTCCAGGCTTCGTTGTCTGCGATTCTGGTCATCGTTAACAGCCGGCTGGGACATCATCTGCACTGGGAAAGTGCTTGACCGATGTGGCAGCGTTTTCTCGAAGGAAGATTTCTGTTCAGGCTCGGCAATGTTGGATGGCGCGGGCCGCTTGAGGTTGACAGGAGTCTTTGAGCTCTGGCGATTCTTCAACATCTCGGGCAACGTCTTGAAAAGGCACTGCAATACAATTAGTCAAGGCAATTCCATATCGAAGATATGAGAACTTACGTTCAAGCTCTGAGAACAACGGTCGGCAGCAAGACTCTTCTTGGCCAATCCGGCTAGAGTATTTTTGCCCTCCATGGCATCCTTCAGCACGCCATCTTTGGCTGTAGGTGAATCCGGATTCTCAAGCACGAAGAAGATCAAGGAGAGGATGGCAAAATAGGTCGTATACATGGTAAACCAGAAGGATCCATTGAGCAGTCCTCTCTTTTGCATTCCGGTCGTGATGTGAACAATATTTCGGGAAACGCTGACGCAGGCAGCTGCACAGGCATATGAACGCTTGTCCACACCACGCGCTTGAGAACCACCAGAAACGTAGTGGAGGAACGGGCGGTACATGACCATCTGCACATGAGCGTAGCTTATACGCAGCAATTGGCGGACACTAGTTAAAATTGTTAGTCAAATCGATTCAATACATCATCGCTGTAGATATGAGACTTACCGTTCTAACTGTGGCGACACTTCTGTGCCCGGTCGTAGTGCAGGAGGCAATTCCTCCATCCAATTTTGCAGATCTCGCTCGATTTCCCGAATTTTTGAGTGGCTGACCATGTATCGCTGGTCTGACTTGGAGCGATAGCGAGCATTCTTGACAGGGTAGATATATTTCACTACCTTCAGAATGATGTTGGAAAGACGAGTGTGTGCGTTGCATCCAGCCATCAGCGGGGTATAGTTAGACGGGGGTTGAGTGATTCCTTCCGTAGTAATGTAATCACCATCAACCTCCATTGGGTACTCTTGATCGATATCATCGTCACTCAGCATCTGGGGAAGACCCAGGAGTGTGCTCACGTAGATGTCCATCTTGCGGACGACCCAGAAGATGCGCTTTCGAAGTTCTCGTTCAAGGGGGTTGAAGTCTGCCGCAACGGAGCGATGGAGACCTAATCGCAGTGCTGAACGAAGTGCAATTCCCACATATGAGTAGCATGTGCTCAGCTTCGCGGAGGATTGGAGGAAGAGGACCATAAAACAGATTGCCTGAAGAGAAACCAAGTCACGGCAGTCGGTTATCTCTAGAAGTTGCCGACCGGCCTTGAAATATTGGAACCTGCCAAGGAAATTAGTCGGTGCCAGAGACCAATACAGATTTACTACTACTTACCCTTGGCCTATTGCGCCTTCGTAGCCAGACACATCTAGCGTACCCTGTCCCGATTCATCGTCCGAGAACAAGCAGCCAACGGCAATAACGATGTATAAAAGCGGCAAGAAGGCGTTTTCTTGGTTCGTGAATTGTTCTGGGGGAGTATCGTAAATGCGATCCAGACTTGCGAAAAAAGAGGGTATGTGCACAAATTTCATCAAGGAGCAGGCATGGTCGATCGCATTGTGACACAAGCGGCGAGCGACCTCCCGCGGAGGTAAATCATGAGTGGGAGGTAATGTTGTGTCTTGGGGCGACTCGGACATAGACTTCGGACTATCCAGCATGTGCGCGGTTATCGAGGGGCGCGATCGTGACATGGGGCCGGAGATATCTGCGGCGCCTAACTGTTTGCGCAATCGGCGAACAAAGAGAACACCCGAGGTGTGCCCATGATAATCCCAATGGCCCTGGTCATCCCGATCTAAGCAGCCCGAATTATCGACCATGGTTTCAAGTAGTCCCTCGTCTGCTCCTTCTTGCGCTGTCTCTTGTACAACCGACGGTTTGACATCCTCGGTCGCTTGTCTCGATTTCTGAGCGGCTGCGAATTTTTGTTCTGTCGCATGCACGTCTAGTTGCGGATCATCGAGGTCGACATTCGGAAGAACGATTCGAAGGAGCGCTTCGGCTTTTTGGAGTCGGTTTTCAAGCGCCTCAACATATTGCGGGGCGGGATTTCGACGACGGTTAGAAGGTTGGTCGTACGAACACTCTACAAAACGACTGTTAGGGCACATTGAACTTATTTTTCCCGAAATTAAATGTGTAGGGCCCTGCGTACCATAACTATAGACTGTGCAATGAGTGCATGGCTGTTTGCCATCGCACTTGATCTTTTTTCTGCGACATTCATCGCAAGCGCGGCCGACCCGTCGCCTCTTCTGCGCAGGCAGTGATTTGGGATCTGTGGTGGAGGGGTCATGGGTAGGACTGTGATGATCGTCATCAGGCGAATACTTGAAGTCGTTCATGGGCGCGGGATCCTCCTCATTCTCGCCAGAAACCGGGCTCGTCGTAGTCGCCATGACTGGATATCTGAGGTTCGTAAAATGCACGGAGTCATGTAAAGACAAATGGTGGTCTTGGCGGGCGATCCGAAGTGAATATCACTATCCCACCAAATGTTATGGATCGCCCTATTTTGACAGTTGCAAGATAAGCAGAATCGAAAGGCAAAAAAGGTAGTGGAGACTGCAAAGTCTGGTAGTGTTCGATTGGAATTCCCACGTTTGGGGGGAAAGTAGAATTTGGAGTACTAGTTGAAGGGTCTGAGGAAAATCTTAGAATCTTAGGATCTTAGAGTCTTGAGGATCTTGAGGATCTTTGAGGATCTCGAGGGTCTTGAGGGGAAATGGAGATCGACGATGATGAAATGATTATTCCCGAGGGCGGTGTGAGGAATATCAAAAGCCTTCAAGGCTTTAAAAGTCTCGGGTATCAAGGTACAATACTTTAGTAGCTTTGGAGAAAAAGAACGATCAATTTCATCATCAAACGAGTTCAGGTTTAGTCATGGAGAGTCATACGGCTTATGACTGGTGCCCAGGTGGATATCGGGGCTTCAACATGCGCGACGCCGACACATAAAGTTCCGTGTTGGTGCGGCTTTTTCCAGAATTTTCCCTTTTGACTGAGGCATTTTTGGAGATTTCCAGGGATATTGACATTTTCATATCCAATAAGAAGTAGAATAGAGCACTGTTAAGGCTTTAGCCCCGTCTCCACTGCCCGATTTGTCTAGACCCGGTCAATTCGCCGACTTATACGCCGTATGGAACTACCAATTTTTTGAGTCTCTCTTGGAAATAATGAGTGGGAAATTCAAGCATATGTACAATATGTACTACTCCGCATGTGAGGTATATTCTTTGGGTTTGAAATTGAACTGCAGCGTCGTGATATTTAATGGGTTCCTTGCCCAGGTGGAACTTATGCGGAGTACTCCCTAAGTGTACGGAGTATTAATCTATATTAGTCCACGGGTTCTTCTTGCATACGGAGTACTCCCTAAGTGTACGGAGTATTAATCTATATTAGTCCACGGGTTCTTCTTGCATATGGAGTACTACCATCATGTACGGAGTATCCCGGCACAGAAAAAAGGGTGATCACCTGGACAGAAATAGTAATATCTTCCTCAATTGCATTTCTAATATTATGACATCACATTACTATAATAGGATGGAATAACAATATTGCGATACGAAGTAGTCCGTACAAAGTCCGAGGTACAGAGCACAACATAGAAGTCCTGGACCCTAGAACGCCCTTGCACTGTCATCACGAAGGGGTCGGCCATGTAGAGGGGGTTTGAAACAAGGCAATATGCGTTAAAATGCTCTGACAGCCCTGTGACGCGAGATACGAGGAATGCAAACATTGAATTGATCTATCGCCTTATGCTCGACAATCCATTTTGATCGACCTCATTAATTGTCTTTTATGTACATAACATTAGATGCCAAGTTAACTGCATCATAATTGTTCATAACTATTAAACTATTAAACTATTAATTAGGCTGTTGACTATTCCCCTCTAGTCATCTAAGCCTTGAAACGATTCTGAAGATCCCTCGCATCCCGCATGGCATTCCATTCGCAATTAGCCCCTACGGCACGTCCCACTTTCCCCAAGGTGAATCGGCATGTATAACAACGCCAACGCGACTTTCTCTAGCTGGGATTTATATGGATAGCCTCGTCCTCCAATTCCAATTCTCATAGGCTATGGAGCCACGCGACACATACTATGACTTTCTACCTCGTCACCTTCTGCTGCGCCTTTGCCGCTCTGGGATCATTCTTGTTCGGCTATGATTCCGGCGTGATCTCTTCCAGTATCGAGCAGGAGGCCTTTGTGCGCCAATTCGGATCTCCAACCCTGTCTGATGCTATCGCCGGCAGCATTATTTCCTCGTATATCGGTGAGACTCTTATCTTTTGTCGGATCTTGCCGCGATTGGGATCTAATATTGGTGACCAGGAGGCGCAATCGTGGGCTCGGTCCTCGCCCCATACATTTCGGATTACTATGGCCGCAGAATGGTCCTTCTCATCGGCGGTCTGCTTGCCACTCTGGGTGCTGGTCTCCAGGGAGGTGCGGTCAATATTCCGATGCTCATCGCTGGTCGATGCATCGCGGGTCTGGCAATTGGGCAGATGTCGGCTACTATTCCCGTTTATTGTGTAGGTCGACACACGGTCCAGCTGCTAAGCTTTATCTGACGTGAGCCCAGAGCGAGGTCGCCCCACCACATATTCGGGGGATGCTAGCTAGTATGCAACAATGGATGATTGGCTTGGGGTTTGTGGTTGCTGTGAGTGTAGTCGTCACTGAGATTTTGCTGTCTTCCAACTAACGGGATTCAAGCAATGGGTGGGATACGGGTGTTCCCTTCGAGGTGGAGCCTTCTCCTGGCGCTTTCCCCTCTCCTTTCAAGGCGCGCCAGCAATAATTCTTATCTGTGGTGTCTGGCTCCTTCCTGAATCGCCAAGATGGCTCATCGAAAAGGGCAGAGAGGTAGAAGGCCGCTCAGTCCTCGCCCGACTCCATCTCAACCAAATGGCAACCAACATCCCGCTAGTCGAACACGAGCTCTTCCAAATCCAACGGAGCTTAGCATCCGAAAAGCAATCAGTCGTACGATCCTGGCGTCAACTTATTCTCTCACCGCGCTGGCGACATAGGATCCTTCTAGCCTGCGGTTTGCAAGTATTCACCCAATGCTCAGGCACAAACTTAGTCGCAAACTACGGCCCAAGACTCTTCACAGCGCTAGGCCTTACAACATCAACATCCCTTATGGTAATCGGACTCTGGGGCGCTCTAGCGCAGTTCTGGTACACGGTCTTCATGCTTTTCATCGACAAAGTCAAACGCCGGAAATTACTCATTCCATCACTGCTCGGCATGGGAGCAGCGCTGTGCGTTGAAGCCACACTCGCACGGTACATTGATTTCAGCGACCCCAATGCCAGCCCACATGCTCTGCGAGCTGCCATCGCCATGTTCTTTGTCTTTTCATTCTTCTTCACGGCTGTTGGTATGATCTCCTGGATTTACCAGACTGAGATCTTCCCTACACCCATTCGAGCGCGTGGTTCGGCCATGGCGACTGCCACAAACTGGAGCGTGAGCCTTGTTTTCACGCAGTGCTCGCCTATCGCATTGACGAAGATTGGTTCCGATTATTTTTATTGCTTTGCCGGGTTCAATTGGGCAGCAATGATTGTTGTTTGGGCCTTTTATCCTGAGACTGCGGGTCGTTCTCTTGAAGGGGTTGAGGAGATTTTCTCACCGCAGCTTGATGATGGCCAGTCGGAGCGCTCTTTTGTTAACGAGAGCACCCCAGTGGCTATTACACCGCGCTCGCATATTCGACACAAGGGGCTGCATCCGCTGTCGATGCATCCTACTTATGACACTGTTAGTATCGGTAGCAGTCACAGTGGGTCTGGGGATGAGATTGGAACTAAGGAGGTTTAGATTGTACGATATAATATTTATGAAGTAATGAGATGAAGGAGCATTTACAAGGAGGACATCACGTATTCCCAACGCGATTGCCCATTGGACCACAAATACCTCTGGCTATAGATCAAACAAGACGTATGGATTTCACATATCAGCCGCGCATTAGCCACACAAATCTGCTCTACGATCCACACTAAAGTGTAATAGGTAATGAGCTCGAGTCGACGGTAGTACATCGTGGACTCCAGCTCATTTTTGCTTTTGGCGTAAAACATTTGGACGAAGGTCACGGCATCGTTCCTCCGCGATGTCACTTTGTTTAAATCTATTTTGCGCCCCAAAGTATATTTGAGTGCAATTCTAGACACTTTCAAACAATATTGCAAGGTTCCGGTTCCACCTCAAGTTGAGCCTATGCTGGTGGTTCTAGTTTCCTTTTGGGGTATACCAGGGCCCACATCCCAAATAGGCAACTAGAGCCACCAGCATAGTTGGCAGCTCGAAAATGCTTAAATGGGAAAGAAAGCATGCAGATAGGGTTACTGTTATCTTTTGCGCAATCCAGCCCTGGAGAGTCAGGGTCCATATCTTGTTAAAACTTATCAGGGCATTGAAACTCAATTTCTCATCAGATTATCTACTACGGCCTGAATATAAAATACTTCACAGATTAATCGGTAAAGAGTTCATAAAAGATTCATATAGTATTGTGGCAATGCAAGATTGTTGAAATAAGTTCAAAGAAGAGAGAAAAAGATAAAAAATAAGTGAAAAAGAAAACATAATTACGTGGTACTCCAGAAACCCATGGCCCCTGGATTGATATCAACCTCATTCGGTTCCTTTTGCTGGATCCTGAATCCTCTCTAGCTGGGCGCAGCACTTGCGTTTTCGATTGCTTGTTACCTTTTCCAAGACTAACTTAGGTAACGGATGCGGACAAAATAAAAAAATAAGACAATATTCGAGTAGTTAGACGCGGAAGGAATTTCATGATCTTCGGCTAGCCGTGTTTGTTGGGCCGATGCCGAGGAGTGGTCGGGATGTTTCGAGTTCATTGTGAATCTTAGCAAAACCCGCAGGCTAGGCAAAGTTTGGAAAGATGCTAGAATTGAGGGTGTGAGCCGAATGTGAGGAAAAGAAGTCGAGCTTCTGGAAGGGAAGGACGATGGCGGCCATCGGCGCAACTGCCCCCTTTGATTCAATAACATGTCCTTTTCTTGTAACCACATGTTTTTCACCGCCAGGCTAACCGCTTAAGCCTCATACATTAGGGAATATGGTTCTAGAAAATGGCTGAACGAGCGTTGTTTTCGACTATCCTCAAATAACCATACAAAATCGTTTAGATGCGCGTGTGGAAACCAGGTATTCAGTACTTTATACAATATATCCCTTCTACCTCTATGGCTGTCTATTTTTGTGTGAACCAAATCAAAACCCCTAGATCACAACTAGAGAGCAGCAAGTATTTCACAGCAAGCCATACAAAACTCCAATAAAACATGTGCTAAATGGCTGACATCGCTTAGATCGGCTCATCACGAGGCTCAACAAGGATCTCATTGACAGAGACATGTTCAGGTTGGGTCAGGGCGTAAACAATGGAGTTGGCAACATCTGAAGGATCGAGGATCTTCGCTCCAGATGGCTCTCCGTATTTCTTGACGGCTTCAGCATCCGTCGACATGCCCAGCAGGTCTGTGGAAGTGTTGCCGGGCTGAATACTTGTCACGCGCAAGCCAGCGCCTGCAGTCTCGAGGCGGAGGGCTTGGAGGGTGGCCTCGACGAAGAACTTACTGGCTGAGTACACACCCAGACCAGGGAAGACCTTACGTCCGGCGTCGGAGGAGATGGCGACGACATGACCACGGCCGCGCGAGAGCATGCCGGGAACCGTGGAAGAGAGAGCGTGCAAGAGACCCTTGCAGTTGACGTCGACTGTGCGCTCCCACTCGTCCATCTGTGTGTTTGCCATCATGGTGAAGTACATGACACCAGCGCATGCAACCAGGATATCGACCGGACCGAGCTCCTCACTTGCTGCTTGCACAAGAGCTTCCACCTGAGTCTTGCTTGTGACGTCGGTTGACCGGAGGATACACTTCACGCCATGAGCTTCGACCTTGCGCTTGGTGCTCTCAAGAGCATCAAGGCGTCGGGCACCAAGTGCTACAGCACAGCCCTTCTTGGCTAGGGCGGCTGCTACCGCCGCACCAATGCCTGAAGAAGCACCAGTTACTACAGCGACTTGGCCGCTGAGTGGCCCCTTCACTGGAACCGCGCTGGATCGGTTGAGGGCATTCTGACGAGATGGGGGCCGGGGTAGCCATCCTCGAGCAAACCAATGCCGAGTGTAGGTCTCTAGTAACAGGCTATCCACCTTGGGACGCTCAATGACGGCCCGGAAAGGTCTGGTCAAAGCGTTATCAAGGACGACGATGTCTCGGAGGAACTCGACAGTCGGCATACCACTGCGAAGAATGTCGACGGTAAACGAACCATCGCCACCCTTGGCTGAGCCTCTCTTCTCGAACCACAGGGCCACCCACTCATCCCATGGAAGAGGTTGTGTCTCATAACCAAGCTCCTTGAGGTCATCAAAGACTGATCGAGTATCGACCGGCGTGGGATCTCCGAGATGGAACACAGTTTGGTCTGTCTGGGTCTGAGTGGCAAGATGGACAATTGATTTGCTGACAAAGTTCACAGGGGTCATCTCGGCACGCCATCCTTCCACGTCAGGGGCATATCCAAGCTGGATGGATTCCACAATTAATGCAGTGAGCAAATCCCACGCATTGGCGGAGCCTGTCTCACTGTGACCACTGATGGTACCACATCGGTGAATCTTGACTGGCAATCCACGCTCACCAGCCTTGAGAACGAGCTGCTCTGCAACCCACTTTGTCTGACCATAGCCATCGAGTAGCTTTTTGGGGACATCTTCTACATCTAGTATGGTACTTTCGGGCCAGCCTTTCTCACCTGATGGTGGCAGAACACCATTGGTAGAGATATACTGCACGGTCGCGCCACCCTTGGCGGCCAGACGAAGAATCTCTCTGGTTCCACCCACGTTTGCTCCCCGAAGTGCAGCGTAGGGGTAAACAAGGTTGACGGTGGCTGCAGCATGCACAATCACTTGGACACGAGCCGCAATGTTCTCAAATTCATCCGGACCCAGACCCAGTCGAGGCCGAGAAAGGTTTCCTGGTAGGATTTCGAGACGTTCCAGAATAGAATCGCGCCAGAGTCCCATGTCTAGAAGGTTCCTGCGGATTCGAGCCACACCTCCAGCCTGATCGTCTTGCTCGGGGTCGCTAAAACGCACAAGACAGATGATTTTAGCTGAGGTGTTCTCAATCAAGTCATTCAGTAGGAAAGCGCCCAAGAAACCAGTCACACCAGTCAAAAGCACCGTGTCGGCCGAGGCGATTGAGGTGATCGCGGTATTTGTGGGTTTAATGTCCTCGTCCAGTGTAGCATCAGAAAGCAAGACCGCCGGCAGATTTGCTTGTACTTCTTCGGCGTGGCCATCTCTGACAGCACGCACAGTGTCCAAGTGGCCGGAAAGAGTAGTGTTCTCTGCGAGACGAGGAATAGGAACGCGGAAGCCGAAACGTCTGGAAAGCTTGGATGACAGATCTGCTAGAGACAAGGAATGTCCGCCAAGATCAAAGAAATTATCTTCAGCCTTAATCAGGCTCTTTGAAACCTTCAGAACAGCCTCCCAGATTGCCGCAATGTCATTGAGACCAATCGGGTCCTTCCCTGCGCTTTGCTCACTGCCACTAGGACTGGAGCTACGAGGTGAAGGGAGGTTTTTCATATCAACCTTGCCGGAGACCTCGTTAGTAGGCAATTGGTCCAGTGCAACCCAGAGAGCGGGGATCATGTATTGGGCAAGACGGTTCTCGAGGGCACGACGCGCGCTGGGGGAGTGGCCAGACTCGTTGATCACGACCAAAGGGCGATCAGCGGAAGCCTCTTTGTCGGGAACAACATATGCGACCAGTTGTCGGTCCAGTCCATCGCCGTAGGCAGTGACAACACATTGGCTGACAGCCAAGTACTGGCAGATGTCACTTTCGACCTTTGCCGGCACAACCGAATACCCGCGTAGCTTGATCATTGCGCCGACACGGCCGGTGATTTCGAGGAACCCAGAGGGGAGCTTGCGGGCCAGATCGCCCGTCCTGTACATACGAGCACCAGGCGTGGAATCAAAGGTGTCTGGAGCGAAAGCCTTGGCGGTGGTCTCGGGAAGGTTGATGTACTCCCGCGCCAACAAAGGACCTCCAATGAAGAGTTCTCCCGATGTCCCCGTCTCTACCTCCTGCCCGTCCTCGTTTAGAACGTAAGTGTGTGTAGGGACAATCGATGGGCCGACTGGACAGTAAATAGAGTCGCTATCAACCATATCACGGATATCTCCGCAGGCAATCTCATGCGTTTCACACGCACTGTAGCAGTTGAGCAGGCGGGCGTTGGGAAGAATTTTGATAGCCTTGCGGGCAAGATCAGTTGTCACAACCTCACCGTTCAGCCAAACGATGCGCAAATCAGGCACACGAGTACCGAACCGGGGATAGCGTGAAAGAACGGTAGCTAGGAGAGTGGGTGTCATGAGGGTTTCAGTGACCTTCTTAGCCGAGAGCAGGTCAACCAGAGCCGCGGGGTCATAGCTCGTTTCGTCGGGCACGATAACCACCGTGGCTCCGCGCAGCAGCGGCCGCAACATCTCCCAGATGAAGAAGACATTGCAAGCCACCCGATCACCTGGTTGTACATCCTGCACTGCAAATCTCAGATCGTATGATAGTACCGGGGCGCGGTGTGGATTGGCGATTCCCTTGGGCTTGCCCGTTGTTCCTGACGAATAAGACACAAACGCCAAGCGATCCAAATCGTCATCTGCCGGCAACGGAGACGGTTCCTTGGCGTCTCCATTGATTTCGGTAACGGGTCCATCCAAGGCAATTACCGGGACAGGCGCTTTGATTTTGTCGGCCTCAGACTTGTGGGTGATAATCACGGCGGGACTAGCGTCCTCGATGACATCCGCCAAGAGGTCCGCGGGGTAAGCCAATTCGAGAACAAGGAAGGCACCACCCGCACGGAGCGCTGCCAGACAGGCAATCACGTAATGTGCGCTGCGAGGTAGGAGCACACCCACGAGGGTGTCACGGCTCACTCCATAGGTCCGTAGGCGACTGGCAAGAGCCTCAACTTCTTGATCCAGCTGGGTATATGTATATGTCGTGGTCTCATCTTCCAGGGCGATGGCATCTGGGCTTGCCTGCACCTGTCGCTTAAAGAGTGTGGGCAAATCCTTGGTGATGTCGAGGATGGCCATTGTTTCGGTAAGGAGGGTAAGAGAATCACGCTATACAGGTCAAACGCTGCGAAAGTTCACTCAATAAGGTGGAAAAAACAGATGTGATTGTAAAGTTGTGGTCATTAATGTCGATGTATAATGGGAGAGAGAAGAACAAGGAAATAGGAAATTTTGTTGAGATTCTAAAGTTCCAAGAACTTCGAGGTGCCAATGGAACCCATTTGATGTTCCAGGGCCACCGTGTTCGCGTGGGGTTCTCCGGGAACGGGCTTCTTATCGTGTCTCCGGATTTTGTTTATCGTGGCCATTGACTACACGTGTATTTATTTATGATGTTTCATTATTATTTGACTAGATTGAAATATCGTATTTATTCTATTTTGTTTGTCTCTCTATACCCATTCATCTAAGCTAGATCATCTTCTCCTACCCTCAACAAATACTGATAAATCACATGAAATTCGACTTGGGCCCACTTTTAAGATTTGCATGTGAAAGGGCCCTTTTCCCAACACTTTGGTTCCTCCCCTGGAGGCGTCATAATGCGGAATTTGCGGCAATTTGGAAATTAACTTTGGCCCCCAAACCAATTCCATGGTCTGGCGCCGATATAGGTAGGTGGAATTGACCGGCAGATTTAGGCATCAAAGTGCACGGACCTCTTTCAAGCAGATCGAAGGCTAGTCCTTCTCCGTCCACTTTCGATGTACTAATGCACAGTTTTGCCCTGATCAACCACTGGGATAGGCGTCAAACCCGGCAAAATATCTCATAGGCCTCTTCTGCAGACACAAAGGAAAACCCCCAGGATGACCACTGTTGTCGGACGCATACTTATGCAGCTCTGGACAAAATCCATCAGCAGACTCGTTCGCTAAAAAGCCACCTAGAACCATTTGTAAGAATAGTTCACATTCATTGTCAAAAACATCAAGTCTGATATATATCAACCACATACCATACCCACCTGGGCACGTGCCCACATGCCTACCTAGGAATAGTCGCACGGAACTTCCCGAGATCTCCAGGGCTCACCTGGAACCAATCCTGCGATATTCATACATAAGCGATGATTTTTTTTTGGCCCACCTGAGCACACTTATGCATAGAGATGTCTAGCCGTCGCACAATAAAAGCACTGCAATTTGAATACAACATAAACATTATATAAGTTCTGATGCCACATCTTCTATAGAGTAACCCACCCCAAACTATACTTATATATTTATACCTATCACATGTCCGCAGTTTCCATTGGAGACTTGCACACCGGTCACACCGGTCTGGAGAGAAGCCTTGCCATAGTTAGAAGCAGGTGAGCATGTGTTTGTTGTAGCCATGTAGCAGTATTTGATGGACGGACCCGCGTAGTAGTATGACATAGCACAAGTGGAACTTGCAATGCAGCTGGCACAACAATCGTATGCGGAATTGGTGTTTCCAACTGTGAGTAATAGGCCGGGGACGTTGGTGAACTCGAGCGAATAGATGTATTTGCCCGCGGCCGAGCCGAAGTCCGAAGAGAGAGGATTTCCAGCGATGTTGTTTGTGGCACAGGCTGCGTAGAAGGATGTGGTGGTGGTACCCGCTAGAACAGTGCTAGTGGAAGTAACTGTGCTCGTTTCGCCGGCAGCAACTGTTGTCTCGGTGGTGGTTGAGGTGGTGCTGAAGCTCAGTGTGGTGGAGACATCCGAGGGAAGAACCACTGAGCTGCTGGTGATGGTGTTGGTGATTGTCACTGTGGTGGTAGGAATCGCAACCGTGACAGTAATGGGTGATCCAGTGACAGTGGAGACAGTTGTGGTCTTGATAATGTTCTTCTCATGGCACACGACCGCTTGGGGATACTTGTAATCATCCACCCAAGGAGAGCAATCATCATCCTCTTCCAATGAGCGCTTGGCAGTAACAGTGGGAGGCAGGGTGTCTGCAATGGGAGTGAAGCCTGCAGAGGTAGCAATGGTGGAGGTGCTGGTCGCGATAGTCGAGAGGACTTCGGCGACGGTTGTGGTGATAGGAGCAGGAGTTAGAGTCAATGTGGCAGTGTCAAACTCAGTTGAGGTTGTTGAGAAAATATCAGTGATTGCATCGGCTGTGGAGGTGACAATAGTGGTTTCATAGTCCGTCACTATCTCGGTCGACACAGCAGGAGTGACCGTGACGGTTTCCAGAGTTGTTGTGAGGACAACCACGGGGGTACGCTGATGAATCGTACGAGTGATGGTCGTGGTAGGTACCGACTTCACTGAGCTAAAGCCTAGCTGCGTTTGGCAGGCTTCCGTGGCCACATGGGCCTGACTACTGGCTGGTGGAGAGCTCGCCACAGGCGTGTTGGCTGAAGCCTGGCTGAGCAGAAGGGCTGCGGCGAGGGCAAAGCGACGAACGGACATTTTCATATTTCACAATGTGCTCTTAGATTGATCTAGAGAGTTTAGCTTGGTTGGAATATCCTCGCACTAAATAGTTCACCCTTTTTTGTTGGGTGGGAGTTTCGGCCGGCTATTTTCACCACCACGATTTACAACTCCAAGACAAAGCGCAAACAAGCGAGCGGAGGCGTCGATAGTGTCAATAGTTTATTTCACATCCAGGGGAAAAACCAAGGAAATGGATCAGTTTGCCCACGTTAGCTTATTTTTAGCTTTGTTGTTGTCGGCGTCTCCGTATTGCGAGTACGGAAACCCTAAGCGACAATGTATATACGGGGCACATTTTCTCCCAATAGCCTCATTTTGGACTTTGAATTCTTACACTCTTTTTACATTCCCAGTCCAACTATCAGTCATTCTTTTCTGTTTGTTGGATTAGTCATTCTTTTTTGCTGCTTTCTAATCATCTTACTGTCAATCGTTCAATCTTTCGGTTACAGTCAAGATGGGTTCTTTTCTTGTTCGAGGATGGATTGTGGCCGCATTATTTCTGCAAACCAGTCTTGCCACGACACTGATTGCTGAGCCAACTGTGACACCCACCCCTACTGCTGTGGCGACGCATCATAACCATAACCATAACCACCATCACCATCACCATTGGTCTTATGTCCATAGGCCTCTGCCTAGTCGCAAACCTTGCCCTGCTCGTTCTTCATCCGCAGTGCTCGCCTCCAGCATCGCCCCTACTTCAACTCCTTATCTGAGTGGAGTTCCTAGTCCCTCGTCTCAGCCGTATTGGAGCCATACTCCTCGACCTCAGTCATCGTCTGTGGCTATTCAGACCCCTTCAGCCCCTGTTTCTACTCCTGTTCCTAGTCCATCTATCATCGTGTCTGTATCAGGATCTCTTCCAACTGGAGTCGGATCATCATCGTCACAGATCAGCATCTCAACGTCTGGCTCTGATGATAGCACTACAATTGTCGCTTCTATTCCCACATCCACCCCATCTGGGGCACTTCAGTCGAGTGTGGCCTCTGGTTCTTCTACATTGGAGTTGACCACATCAACGGTCTTTTCTACTCGCACGGCTACCATCACTGCCTGCCCTACTACCGTCCCCAACTGCCCTGCCAGTTCAAAGACAACATTTGTGACTACAGAGACAATTCTGGTATCCACCACAATCTGCCCTGTCACCGAGACTGCCGGTCCTACCCAGACAGCATCTGCTTCGCTATCTGTCACTGGAGGTGCTGGTGATAATGGGAATGGAAATGGTGGCTCAGACCTCACAACTTCCACCGTCTATAGCACTCGTACTGCTACCATCACCGCATGCCCATCTTCAGTGACCAATTGTCCCTTGAGATCAAAGACCACATACTTGACCACTGAGACCTTGGTTGTCTCCACGACGGTCTGTCCCGTGGCAGATGCTACAGGTACCAATGTCGCTGTCGCTACCAAGCATACTGCACCTCCTTCTGTCACTGGAGCAATTGGAGGTGGCGATAATGGCGCTCCCAAGCTGACCACATCTACTATCTTTGCTACTCGCACGGCCACCGTCTTTGCCTGCCCTGAATCTGTGACCGATTGTCCCCTGAGATCAAAGACCTCTCACGCAACCACCCAGACATTCGCTGTCGCAACTACTGTCTACCCAGTCTACCCAGTCTACCCAGTCTACACATCTGTCCCAGCTGAAGATGTTGACACAACCACTGTCCCTGTGACTGTTGCAAGCCCTCAAGCTACTGGTGTTACTCCTGGATCTCAATCTGGCTCTGGGGGTGTAGGATCAGGCTCAGACTCAGGCACAGCCCACACTACGACCATCGTCGTCGAATCTTGCTCCGATGATGATACCTGTACCGGGTACACAAACACTATTGTGGTGACCCAGATAAACACCGCCGAGTCCACCGCGGCTCCCGCTCTGCACACCCCATACCGGGCCTCTGGGGCTGGAGCTAGTGGTGCTGTCTCTGCCTCCTCGACTCATTCGTGGTTCCCTAGCAGCCACCCCAGTGGACTGGCCACGGCTACTGTTTCGACTGCGACAAGTGCAGTGACTCCGGTGTACACTGGGGCTGCATCTGTCGGCACTCAATCTTCGATGATGCAGGTTGTTGGTACTATGATGGTGATTCTGCTGGCGATCTATATTTAGAGAGTTTGTGGGAAGATGTAGATGCAAAGTTTATGTTGTTCTGGTATTTTGTCTTCACATTAATATTTTATTATTACATATATATTCTGGTTGAGTTTGAATTAAAAGATCCTTACATTTATGACGTGGGTTTCCTGATTCTATACCTACATGTACATAATGTCAGGTGCTGCTCAATTTGCCTCTGCTGGGTCCTCTGAATAAATAGCCCGTGTCGGTATAGACTTGCAATTCCATCCAAGGTTGTTTTACTTTTTTTCAATTAGATGCACAATTATACTTTCTGCGGTGGAATGCTAGGTAGGATAAACGTATAAATTAGCTATTCAGCTTTGATGTTAATAAAATTGTCTTTTGTAGTCCACTCTCAATGATAGTCTTCAACATAGACAAGGGGAGTTACCACAGCACACTGACAGATTATTTCTGAACCTACTACCAAGGAAGTAGTCTTATAAAAAAAGGAAGATGCATGATGCTACGACACCATGAAGTAAATGGTGCTCCATGATCATATAACGATATAAATTTATAGCTAGCACATAGATTTAAGCCTAATATCTTCATAATCCACCAAGTTCATTAACAATCCACAATATTTTATAAGTGATAAGGAGGGTATATACAAGAAACTCTCAAAAGTGGTGCAAGAAGGCAGAAAACATAGAAAGCATGAAAACATAAGAACATAAAAACAAATACAGGTCATCTGGTCCAAGCCAGTGCTATACATTACTCAGTCAATGAGCGCATAACATAAGTAGTCGGCGCATCGAGAATCTCCCTACGAAGATCCGCTTCCCAGAGAGCCGTAGACGACTCCTGCACCCGGAGGGTCAAACACGAGAACAAAAACTCATTAACTCTGTACCAAGACAAAGAACTCAACCGATTAGCAACCTTCAACATGCGGCCCGCGAACCACGGGCGCGCAGAGGGCGAAGTAGCAGTCGGGAAGTACTGGGAGAAGTCTGGGAGCTCCTCTACCGGAGCAGTGGAAGCAAAGCTGTCGGCACTGGTGGGCCAGCCATCAAGAGTGCCGTCGCTGCATTCAAGCAGAGTCTGGAGCATGGCATCGACGGAGCCATTCATGCCGACTTCGCTGTCGACCATGGATTTCTCGATTGTGTCGAGGAAGATTGCTGCACGCGCTGGGGTGTTGCGGTAATCCCACATCGCGGCGTTGAGTGTCATCAACGCTGTTAAGCGGGCGACCATTTGTTTTCGGTCGTCTGGGCGGGTGAATCGGGCGCTCGGGGGCGCCGCGAGAATTTGGTGGAGTATGGATGTTTCTTGGACTGCTGTGTGGCGGGTTATGTATGACGATTGCGGGTTGTCGCGTTGGTATAGGGCGAGTTGTTCACAGCGTCGGAGGAAGTCGAAGAATTCTTCGCATTGGAATTTAATCTCGTCTACCGGGTTTGCTTCTGGGTGTGGTGGGAGCATTGTTCGAGGTTCGGGACTGGGTGAGACTTCTGAGAGGGCTGAGGAGGTGGAATAGGGTGGGGATGGCATTGAGCGGGGGGTTGGGATTGGATGGGGTAGTGTTGCTAGAGACTCAGATGAGATCGGGGCGTGTTGATTGTATTCATAGAAGAAGCTGGGCCCGTGGGTCTCATATCCCGGCAAGATGTAGTTCTGCCAGTTGATCATCATGCCGATGCGAGTGTTTGAAAATGCAGCGGGGCCACCACGCGCTCGTATCATCTCGCGTGCAGCTCGCATGTGCACCCGGCTTATTTCCTTGTGGCCTGGTCGGGGATCGCAGTCCTCTAAGGCCGCGGCGCTTAGACAGGAAACGATTGCAACGTCGGAGATGTCATGGGGGTTGTCAGCGCGATGCTCCTGGAGCACGGAGACAGCACGATCTTTGTGAAAAATAGGGGTTTGCGCTTCGCCTTCATTGCAAAGTATTAGCTGCATGTACCGTAATGGTGTTTTGGAATGCGACGGTACCTTTCATTGTCTCAGGCACAAAGGCCGATGTATAACCACTGTGGGCCATGGAAGACCGGTAATGGGATCCATAGGAGGCTGGCATATCGTTCACATAAGAGTCAAATATCCTGTGTCCATTTTGATCCACTTCTATAGGTAGAGTGTTGAATGTGTCAATTCGGGCATCGCTGATCATAGTAGTTGGTGATGGCATGAACTGATAGGGCATCGTGGAGGGTGATGGCCATGGGAAATTGTTAAAGTATAGGTCACTAGTTGGAGAACTTTGTGAATGTACATCGACAAAGCCATCCAGCAGGAGAGGAACATCTTGAGAGTGGGCAGAAGATGGCCGAAAAGGGGGAAACGAGGGCATATCATTGGATTCGATCAACGCAGGTTCCGATGAGATAGGGGAGACAAGCACATCGCAGTTAACCTCGACATTGAGCTCTTCTTTGCGAGTAGATTGCTTTCTGGTCGATCTCCTTGCGTGGGGTTGACTGTTGTTTTCACCGTCTGATTTCGCTTTCTTCTCTGTTTTTCGTTGCGCACCCCGAGTCTTCTTGGGTCTCCCACGTTTTGGTCGTGGTGCCTCCTCTTCACTTTCACTTTGACGAGCGCTACCTTTCTTTTGGCGCATATATTCTTGCATAACATGGCGCTTCACTTGGGTTAAGTTGGTTCGACTATTGTTCGAAGAGTCGATGAATTGCCACCGCACGTTGGATGCGTCCGGCGCATTGCTGCCGGCCTGATCAAGGGAGGTTGACATCTTTCTGAAATTGCCTAGGTAAAGACAGGAGAAACAGATATGTGTAATCAAAACACAGGAGCCGTTCGTCTCCTTGTGGGGTAAAGGAAAGACAGTATGGAGAAATTTTCGATGAATATAATCGACGGGGCGAATCCAACGTCCCTTAAAAGGAAAAGGATCCAAGAATAGAACCGCAAAGTTACAATGGGGCAACTTTTCTTAACCCATGATCTAACGTAAAAAGGATTATAGTAACTGCACGATGGAGATAACTCGAGACAGAACATTAGCCGGGATATGATTCTCCACTCATCGTCTTTTGACGAACTAGACCAGACTGGAATAGCGGTCTTTCAACATGCTGGTCGACACGTGTGGAGATCAGCGGTGCAGCGAGTCACAGACCGATCATGGAGTAGATGCGTATGAGCTATGCAACCTCTTGATAGCTTGGGGGCCAAATGCACCGGTATATACTATGTACTAGATTTAAGACTCCAACCTGGGCATCAGGGTCGATAAGATCATCCCCTGAGCGGGCCTTGACAAAATCAACTTCTCATGTTGTCCTCCATAATAGGCTAGGCTTGATCTATCCAATCCACATTTTAGAGCAAGTAAACTGTCTCCACTATGTTACATCGAGTCATCAATTCCGTGTGCCCGGGTGTACAGCCGGCATTCTATCCGGTCTGACGGTTGAATGCCCGTTGCCCGTGGGTTACAGATTGAGGAGGATCGTCATATAGTTCCCTCGCTTACAACATAGAGAAACTATAGCTTTTCTCATACCTTGCAGCTTCTTTTATCTTATGCAGTGTGATGAACACTGAATAGAACCAGATGTGTGGAGTGAACCACACGTGTCAATACGTTTCTTAGGGCCTCGGGAGAACTCCGTACGTTAGTGCCTTGGCAGCCAAATCGAAGCATTGCATGATTTTCCCAGCTGGTTTTGATTTGTTGCAGGGAAACCCTGCAAGGGGCCATGCACATCAATGGATACAGAGTACGGAGTGTCTAGACCAATATTTAAATTGTTTTTTTTTAGTGGGGGCTGAAATGGAGATCTCTGCAGGGGGGATATCCGGGCTGTTTCATAACTTCAACGTGAGCTACTTGTACTATTATTATCTAAATTTGCTGATCATCTCGTCTATATTGCGTTATACGTCGCTTAACTGCGCTAGAGACTGACGAAATCTAGCTGTGCTGTTATAATGATGCAATAGCAACCAAAATATCCTAGCATCCTCCAAAAAAGTCTCTATATACACACGCAAAGCTCTTCTATTGACCGACTACTTCAGTGGGGTATAAACGTTAGGGTTACGGACTACTCCGTAGACTACAGGGACTATCAAACTGCAAACTCTAAGCTCTAGATATATCATTATGTAGTACAACATACAGACTGAAGTTTTGGAAATTTAAACTATGAGACTATCCCCAATTCTCCGCCCCCACGCTAGCTTTTACGCTTGCGACATGCCCTCTTGGGCACCCTTTTGGTCGATCACCGGCAATTACTCGCCATATTTCCGGGATATCCGTTCTCCAGAAAAATAAATTATTCGGTGTTTGTGCCGAACATGCGCCAATCCCATTCTATTGAGAGGTAATCTACAGACGCATTGCTGGGTTATCAAGGCTGGCCCCACTCACAAGGTACGTCCTCTAGGCTGTTAGTGTGCTCTAGGGAGCGCCTTGTGGCTTCAAAAATACTGTACTGGTCAAGACAGACTCTACCCAAGCGAATTTGCTTGAGCCACCATTCCACGAGAGTTTCAGCGTAAGACAAAACTTCGCCGGTGTTTTCTCCGGAAGTACCCTTGACTGGCAATGAAAGGCAATGGAACCCTAAACTATGCAGGGCACAATCACCAATGATTACATTCCCCATCTGAATCTTGCAAAGCACAAGGTTCATGATCTCTGCGTCGCTTTGCCCATCATCACACGACATACTATCGGGCAAATGCACTGTAACCCAGCAAAAACCGGGTACGTCGTCGTGCGGATCTGCAATTCGGCCCCTACCGTTCATGAAAACACTGGCTTGAAGTCTAGAACCGGACGTCATTCTGTAAATTAGTACGAAGTAGAGAAGTGCGACTGTTGTTTTTTCTTTTTCTGGTTTTCTGGTTTTCTTTTTTCTTCAACTAGTTGATTGGTGGTAAAAAAAACTGCTCTCTGTGGATTATGAGAGAAACGTGAGGGACCTGAGACCTTCTATACGTTGAATACGGAGACAAATTACAATGACTTTTTTCTAGTCTTTGACGTGGCTCCGCAACAATCGGGTCTTTGAGAGCCTTGTGGATCGAGTCTACGGAGTATATACAACCCCATTTTTCCTTATCTGTTAACAAAGGCCTTCCTTATTCTTTATTACTTTACAAACGTTGAATCTGACACTTTTGAGAGTTCTAATTTATTTCATTTCGTTCATCTCATCAATATAGGTGATGTATATTTCATTACTATTTACTCTGTACTCCGTACCGGAAGACCTATGATACTAGTCTAGTTAGATTAGTACATCGGCTATGGATTTTATCTATTGCCCGTGCATTGTTGCCACTAAGGTCCCATAATTTGATCAATTTGATATCCACAGTGTCATTTGCAATTTTAGTGGGTAAATTTGCTCAACTAATGACTTCGGGTAGAGCCGATGTCTCTCCTATTTTCTTATCGGCTACTCCCGATCGAAAAAGTTCCTTGGGCATGTGTGCAAATTGCTGGGGCGGGATGTGATTATCTTCCGGTGTTGGAGTAGGCACCAATGTACCGAATATCTGGTAGTAAGATGAACCCCCACTAATCGTTACTGAAAATCTTGATGCAATGCGCCCTTCATCTGACCATAAAGCAAAGAAAGCCGGCCCCATCACTCTGAAACTAGATCTACCGGTTTCAAAATTAGAAAACAGCAATTGAAACAAGGTATATGGTACATATCTATGTAACATTGTATGAGAAGTGAAGCATATACTCCTTTTGACCATGATCGCCTTGGTGGAGTGCGATGCCATTGTGGAGTTGTGCTCTATGAAATACTCCGTACGGAGTACAAACGGTAGAGCTACTATAACGTCCAAAGAAAAACAACAAACCAGCATCTGCAGGTCAGCTAGCTCAATTTACTTCGTCCCGCTTCATATTGGTCAAAATAGCCGGTCGAATGTTCTGCGCATGGGGGCCAAAACAGCTAATTGTCGGGCAAACTAGTGTGTGAGGTCCATGTGCAAGCCAGGACAGGATATCCTAGCGAGGTCCAAGCACAAGTAAACAGTCTCCACGCAGATACACAGCATACATATTGGAGAGCATTTCAAGAAATTAGAATAGATCGAAGAGGAAAAAGGACTGGGGTAGAGGAAGTACAAGGAGATTCGGAGCCGAGGTTTAGCCCGTTTATTCCACTATCGGCGCAAAATTATATTTCATCTGGTTTAGTTGAACACTTAGTTGAACAAGTTCAATTTCAATTGAGGTAATCAAACGGGATTAATCAAAGAGATATTGGGAGGACCCTGGAAGTGGCTTTTTCCCAACGGTCTGGCGTCTCCCCCTTCAGGGCTGGCTCCTGTTGGCTGTAAATTTCCACTCGAGTGTAATACAATATTCCTTCTGTATCTTGAAAATCTCTGAAAAATAGAAGTCTAACCTGCTTAGGAAAGTAAACCTCAAACACATATAAAGCTTGGCATCTACGAAGTAGAGACTGATTTGCCATAATCTCTAATTTAAGCTATACCTACTCCGTACATGTATATACTCTGTACGGAGTACCTATACGGGACATCAAGAATAGTGCTTCCCACTTCTTAGCACGTCAGTTAGTGTAGTTCCTAGGTCCATAGGTACCTGCGCTTTGCATGGGTCCGTTTAGCAAACGAGCACATTCTCAATCGCCAATGAAGCTATTACAGACAGGGCAACTCCTGCTAGAAGAAGATCATTTGCTTTTTTAGTCACACCTGCCTAGCTCAGCAAGCTTTTGTAGCTTTGACACCCTCTTTCATGTGCCCGTGGATAAGTTTCACCACAACTATTGGCCCGATCCTCCAGGGCACTCTAAATTACTATGCATATCACCGGCTGATCATTTAACTACTGTGCCTTACATCCGGGAGCTATCCGGCTATTCCTTTTACTTGAAACGTCTCGCCACATGGTGGTTGATGGCACTATCCCGTCACCGAAGGATCTTCACTTGGTGATCCGCAAATGATGTCGCTGGAAGAAAGCTGATCTGGGATCAACGGCGAGCCCATTGCAAATGCCTAAACCATTACGTAAATCGATTATGGTGTTCTGTTGTAACATTGTTGCCATTGGGTTTCTGTATGTCGTATGGATGAAAATCATACCTCGCTTGCTAACCTGTTTGTGGGAGTATATCATCTGAAACAGTGGGAGGTCGATCACCCTTCCCCTACATTTGGCAGACCTGTGCCTATATCTGCATTTGGAATAAAATTGCCCTTTGAAGAGAGGCCGGTGAGATGCCAGCCATACTTTTGGCCTGAGCACAAAGAAAGCAATTAGAAATGACCTAAACACAACCCCCCTCGAGAGGGCTCGATTGTTCATTACGTTAAGGCTGGTGGTTATTATTATCTGCCGAATCTTTGCATTTGGCTGAGTATTTACACCTGTAGATGTCTCCCGTTTTATATATGCGTGAACGTCTATATAACCAAGGTGAAAGCACATTGCCATCTCACTCATGCTTGAATTCATTGCTGGAATTTGGATGCATCTACACTTCAGTGCAAGTATCTAATTAGTTCTCTTAATAAACCCTTTGAAAACCAGCCGCAATCTCTAATTTAGCATGTGAAAAATAGGCAATAGTTACACCGTTTGACAAATCCCACCGTGCGCCATCGGCCTCTGTATCTTGAAACCAATCATTGTGTCTTTCCTCAGCAAGGTGATGAAGGCAATTGGAATTGGCTGGAAAGCTGGAAATTTACTATAATGGGCAGTGGTAGCATCATCGAGCGTAACAACGCGATAGCTACTTACCTAGTCTGATGGATGGCTATGTAGCTATTTATCTGCAAGCCCTACAAGAGTGGATGGCATTAATGTGGAATCCAAGGTACAACAAGAGCGCATTTCAACACATACGCGTTCCATGGATGAAGTTATATTTATAATGACACATTGGAAGGCTTGAAGAGTGATAGGGTACATGATGCAAGTTGTTAATATTCAAATGATTATCGACCATTTAGGACCGAAAGGCAACCGAAAGGCAGTGAAAGAATTGCAGCATTAGTACCAAAATTGCTACATTTCTAGTGCCAATTTGCAGACAAAGAGGGTGACCGTTGTCAGATCTCGTGCTCTTCTATATCAGTACTGGGTCCCGGTCTGACACTAATATTCTCTGTTTTTACCGTAGAGATCTCTAGTTGAGCTAGGGACATTCGCACGTCCAGTATATTTGACACAAGTAGTTTGCTCTCTTCAGGACTTATCTGTGGAGGAGTAGAAGTGAAGTGGAAGAAGTGAAGTAGAAAGTGAAGTTGAGGAAGTCGCTGTCGCGTGTCCGGGATCTGCTCACCGCCTTCGCGCCCAGTCCGCAACTCCGACAATGTTCAACCCAGACCTCAAGGCACTGGACATTGAATCAAGCTGGAATCAAACAATCTGTAAGTTTAAGGGAGGGTTTCAGATTGTTTCCTCCTTATAACTATCAACCAAGCAATCCCAGGGAAGAGATTGGACCAGACCCCATTTCTTCGATCGGCGGTGGGATCGCGCCAACCCTTCAACCCGCGAGAATTCAACAGTCAACACAAGACCACCGAGAGCACTCTCCCAATCGCATAAGTGGGATCGCACAGACAAGAAAAATCCCGAAAAGTCATCTGCAATACTCTACACCCTCGATGCAATCCGCATAATGTCTCCAGCAGTCTCGGTGGAACTTATATCGGTTTAGTTTTGCCCGCGCGATCTTCGCTCGCATATTTGAACCTCCTGGAGTCCACCCAAGCTTCATTTCTCACAAATACGAACGGCAATTAGTCTAGAGCTACTTTCTCGAACCTGCGCAAAATAGACCTCTCCGCTCCACTCGTGGCAGCCATGGCGGAGATGGAGGCGGCCGCCGGCGCAAACCACGCGAACGGCTCCGCGGCCAAAAAGTCTACAACCAACCCCTACGAAACGAACCCTGATCACATTCCCAGCAATGACCCGTTTATTTCCCAAAGTGCGCAGTATGGCCGCTACACACCCCGCGCCGACGATTTCACCCCTCGCTTCATGAACTGGTATCGGTCTGACCCGGCCGTGAACTCGTTTTGGGAGAAGGTCGCGCAGCAATACTGTACCCCGGAACACTCACTCAATATATCAGGGCCGAGGGAGGCATTCGCGGCTGGAAGTATAATTATTTGGGTTGACCGCCAACTCGCCGATGGAGCGGCGGCTGAGAGTTACTCATCCGTGAATACGAATGAACTGTCAGCTGCCCAGAAGGCAGAAGACTCGCTCAGAGAGATTGGAGTTACAGTGCCAGTGGTATATTTTTGCGGGACGATTGAGGGGAGGAATGTGACAATCGAGTCCCGCATTGCGGGCGTCTCGCTAGAAGTTGCGTGGAGATATCTTGACGCAGAGCAGATCGATATTTTCAAAAACCAGTGTCGCCAGATCCTCCAACGACTCGGAACAATCGATTCCCCCCAAGACGAACCGTCCTATATATGCCGTGAACTCAATTCCCAAATTCCACCCTCCGTCGAGACTCGCGAACGAGATATCCTATTCACAGAAAAAGGCAAGGAAGAGGAACTATCTTTGACACACAACAACTTCGTTCCGAGCAATATCATTATCCAGGACAACCGGGTGGTGGGGATTGCTGGCTGGCGACAATGCGGATATTTTGGCACCGTCAGAGCCAAGAAGGTCCACCGACTCTTCAGGGATCTAGGGCCTGCATCTCAAAATGGCGTGACCAGTTCTGAGAAGAGCGCGACTTGGACCGACCTCTACGATGATGCCTACGACCCCAGCAAGGGCATCCCGCTAGTGGCAAACCAAGACACACCCCTGCCGTCAGTCAAAACCGAACCTACAAACTCTACCCTCGACAAATTCCCAGCGAGCGACGACTTGGACACACATTCACTGGGTTTTGATGGCACAGCCGACTACGCAACGTCCAAAACAGTGGCGAACCTCAAGCACGGGCTGACATCAAGAGCGTCATCATCCGACCGCTCCTCCCCAGCAAATTCCATCAAAGCAGGAAACAAAAGGCCCCCGACAAGCACTAGCAAAAAGGGAACTGCAAAAAAACCTGCCGCTAAGAAGCGCAAGGTGAATGACCCGGACGCAGACAGCGTTGATGGGCGGCGTTCCAACACACCAGTTTCCCGGGCCAGCAAAACACCCGCCAAGAAGCAGAGCTCTGTCTCGATAGCAGGGTCACCACCTCCCGAGGAGAAGAAAAAGCCACAGAAGAAAAAGAAGAAAGGGCCCAAACCAGCTGCTGCCCAGGAAGATGACGACTCCGACAGCTTTGACGAAAACGCCATCTTCTGTATTTGCCGCCGACCTGATAACCATACGTGGATGATCGGGTGTGACGGCGACTGTGATGACTGGTACCATGGAAAATGCGTCAATATCGATCCTAGAGATGCAGATCTGATTGAGCGGTATATCTGTAAGTGTCAATGAGCAACGGCTCTATTCTATTCAAAACTAACTTCAAACACTAGGCCCGAAATGCGTAAGCGAAGGAAAGGGATGCACAATATGGAAACCAATGTGCCGTCTAGTCGAATGCCGAAAACCAGCGCGCGCCAAGACGAAGCCCCCGAGCAAATACTGCTGCGATGACCACGGCCGGGAATTCATGCGTCAACAGACTCAACAGCTTAAACATCGTGCCGGTCAGACGAATGGTCTGTTCGAAGACCTGGGTAGCATGGGTGGCATTCTTACAGCCGGAGACCTAAAAGCAGCCATTATGGGTGTAGCATCTACACAGGAATTCCGAAAGCTCGGAGATCGCATCATCTCCCCGCCACCACGGGTAGACCAAAAAGAACTTGCTGTGGCTGGAGTCAAAACCGAATCAAAGCCGCAGAGTGGCAGGTGGTTGGGAGTCGACGTCCATGCCGCCGGCTTGGAATACTCGCACGATGAGATTGCGAAGATAGAAAAGCTGCGCACGCAGCGTGACGAGCTCCTTCATCGCAAGGACATGCTTGCTGCACGCACAACTTTCCTCACACTTCTCAAGCCACGTGCCAAGGGTGTAGTAGAGAAACTGAAGCAGCACGAGCCGAAGGGCGGATGGAAGGATATCTGTGGCTTTGACTCGCGACTCTCGTGGTCCGACGAAGAATTCGATGAATGGCGCCTCTCCGACGCTGGAAAGAAAGCTCTTGCGGAGGGAACGGCTGAAGCTTTGGCTGTGAGTTCTTCGGCTGGCACCGATGCCGACGGGGACACGGCGATGAACGGTGACGGTGACGACGATATCACATTCTGGACACGTGGTGTTTGCACTAAGAAACGCTGCGAGAGACACAAGCAGTGGGTCAAAGTGCAGCAGCAGGATATACTCTTCGAGGAGGAAACGGCAGAGCAGGACCTCGCCAAGTGTGAGGAGGAAGGTCGGTCTGTGGTGGAGCGGGGTGTGATGAGACGATGGGCCGAGAAGGATAATCAGGCTTGAACGTCGAACTGATTTTCTCAAGAGTATTCCATGGCCAGCCAGATTCCACAAAACAAAAGCTTGATACCCCTTGATTGCGGAGAGGCAAGAAATACTCATGGACTGGAGTTGGAATTTTGCAGATTTTAATATAGCAGGATGATAGTGGCCAGGGTTTTGGGCCAATTGCATACAAAGCGGCGCTTTGCGAGGGGCGGATCTGACATGTTTGAAGGTAATTTTTTGTAAGAGTATGAACAATTGCATCGAGATCGATCAAGGCCATCTTTTTCTGACAGCGACATCATGGCAAATTTTATCATTCATTGCTCATTCCATATTCCCCACTTGCCTAGACTCGTACCAACTCGATCTTTGATCACTTCGACTATCTGGGCTCCTCTCAAATCAGAGAGCAATAGATAGGTATCGATGCCTTGGTCTAACGTCTTCATGAGCAAGGTGGGAAACAGGGAGGGGATGTCCGAATGGAAGATGGAGTGGATTCCATCTTCCAGCGGCTGCCTCGCAGCACTATTTCCATAGGTAGTAGCGTTTCCAGTCGACGGCTGATTTTTATCCCACTCTGGATTCATAGTTCCCAGTCCATTAGTATTGACAAGAATGATTGAGAGATGAGAGGCGTGCACACGAGACAAACGCGTCAAGGTGCGGAGTGTAGCTGTCAGAATGGCCGCACCTCGAGCCGGGTTGGATGCTCGAATTACTCCTTCGGTCAGGGTATCGAGACCCACGACAATAAGGATAATGGGATTGTTGGTGGACGGGCTTGTGTCTGTCGGGGTTCTCTGCTTTTCTCGGTTTTTTTGGATCTCATGCAACGCTTCCGAGACCTTAACGATGGCCTGTGCAGCATTGGTGAAGTTGTGCACGGGAAGTAACTGCACAGAGTCAAGTCTACGGATTGCATCATCTGTTGGTAGACCAGGTTGGTCATGGAAAGAAGACTGCAGCTCATTAAGTAGAGTCCGTGGGGCAAAAGCCTCGAAACTTCGTGGGTGAATAATGAATGCGCTCGGTTCAGATGATGGATGGATACTCCGTAGTTGGTTTGTGAGAATGCATCGAGGAACCTAGAGTAATTTTAGTCTAATTGAGAATGTACAGCGAGATGTATTGGGCCAGTCATACCTGTCCGATATACTCGTTGCTTTCGTTGCTTCTCATTCGCAGCCTGGACAAGCCGAGGACAACCCCGCACCGAAAGACTGCAGCCTCGGAGGATTGGATACCGTGCTTCCAATCATTCTTGAGGTTCCAGTCGGTTTTTGCCGTTGTCTTATTTGAAGGAGGAGCTGTATTTTCCATTGGCTCTGATTGTCGGAGTAGAGAATCAGCAAGGACCGGGAATGCAGGCTCTGCTGAGTAGACATTTGGTGCGCTCGACATGGCTCACTGCATATAAAGCCTCGTCAGGTTGTCATGGATCCGATATCAGGATACAAGTATGCACGGAGTAGAAGAAGCGAAGAGCGAGTGGTGGAGACAAAAGCAAAAGTGGATACAACATCCCCCGATTTGGTCTAGCCTCACCTATGAGCTTCCCTCCGTTTGTCTAAGTTGTACTTGAACATTCAATACAGAATAATCTCTTGAAATTGATTTTGGCCATGGAGTAAAGATTTCATGTATTATGGTAGAAATGGATAGTTAATAAAATGCTAACGATACATTGCTATGGAAAAATGGTCAAGCTCGCCTCCACACTCCACGCCCATCATGCACCCAACCCCCGTCCCCGATGACATCGTCCAAAACGGCTAGCAGATCCTGCCGCATGGCCTCCACATGCAGGTCGCCGCACCTGAACTCTTTCAAACAGGGCAGATTATTCACAGTATACCCAATCAGAGAGTATGAGGTAACAAGTTCCATCCACGGATCGTTAGGATCCATGGACCCTCGTTGTTCAAGCTCAGTAATATGATTATCCTGAGGGGGAGCCAGCCGTACATCAAGGCGTTGCAGACAACGCATCTTCACGACAGCATCCAGTACAATTTGCGAGTGATTGTAAAATGGAAAGACGGCTGTGTAGGAAAAGTATGTGAGGCCGCGTAAGAGAATTGGCAGGTCAATTGGGCGTTGAAGCGTACGGGTTGATCCGCGTATGCCACTTGTACCCCACTCTGCAAGAACAGATGGGACACATGAAAGGAAGTACTCGTAGTGGTTGTATGCTTTCAGAGAAGATGACTCGTTAAAAGTCATCGATGTCCATGGTCGGGATGCTAGAAGACTAGTACAGTTCTCCAGGTCAGGTAGCTGGGATGAATCACGGGGTTTGCACTCCCGTTCCAAAAGCAGGATCTGGAGGGGCATATCAAATGCCCAGTGGTGTCCATCATTGATCGGGCTAGCTAGAGTGTTGCCAATGAAGACTGGAGGCCCTATTACTAGAACACGGCGAGGGTCTAGATAGCGGAAGACTCGGCGCCACCAAAATGGGTCGACCTGACGATCTGGGTTTTCATCCACGATTGCGACGAGAGATGTCACATGTTGACAGAGATCCGACTTGATAATAAATGAGTGGAAGTCGGGTTCATCATGGAGGTTGAGTCGGACATGAGTAAATAGTTGAGGCCGCACAAGTTGAAATAGGCGCCGTGAGCACAGCTCGAGATGCTTGAGGTCTTTTGTAGGAGATTCGGTGAGCTTCAAATTCGGTGTATGATGTAGTTGTTCAAATGATGGTGGCTTCGTGGATACATAGCAGATAATTTGGTCTAGAAGCTCATTGGGGAGGAGTTCCAAAGGAGAGGCTAGCACAGACATGGCAAATTGCTCATGTCGAGGGTCTCGCCCCACATTACTAGCAATTGGATATTCAGTATTCCGTACTGCCCGGTATGACAGTATACTAAAGTGCACTAGTAGACTGGATGGGAGTAGTTGTCGGCTGAGAGAATGGAAGTGAAGTGCCGGGCTTCCCCACTCCAATCGATGGGCTGGCTCCACTGAACTTTTTGTAATCGGTGACTCAGCGGATGGTCTTTCCAATGGCTTTTGCCAAATGAGAGTTATTGTAGTTGTGGGAGCTCTGTTGAAAAGAGTAGATTGGAAGAGGAATCGGGGGATAGGACAAATAGATACAAATGTTCAGGGGACTACAGAAAATGTATAGAGGCGGGCAACCTCGTGGTCCGTGCACTCTAATAGATCCGAGACCTCCTGGGCAAGTCAAGGCCTTTGTCGGAGATAATGTGGAACAATTTCACCCCCGCATTGTCATATTATCATATTATCATATACCTATGTCTGTATAGGCTCATCGTTAAGTCTGTGATATGAACAATTGCTTCTTAAAATGGGATTACTGCCCTAACCGCCCAAAACAATGGGGATATCGGCATGCAAGCTACAAATAGGAGGACACTAGGAAAATCACAGGGAAAACCAGCCAAAAATGTGGAGAGCCTCAGCGTTTTCCTGTGGGGCAATGCCTATCACGGCTGGATTCGTTGTAGAGCGCCCCGAATGAGATAGCAATGGCAATGCCATGCCCCTCTTTTAATTCATATGTTCCCCAAACTTCCTTTCTTTCTTCTCATATTCATTTATTCGGGTAGATCTTTAAGGTAAGATACTGTCGCATCTTATGGAAACCATCTTATGGAAACAACGCTCATCATCTCTTGCAGTCAATCTACATACTCCATTCACAATGGCTCCTCAACTTCACCAGCGTCCCCCTTTCCGCGCAGAGCACTTGGGCTCTCTCTTACGTCCGGACCAGCTTCTTGACACCAAGCTCGCTTTCGAGGCTGGGAAGATCCCTGAGTCGCAACTGACCGCTTCCGAGGACAAGGAAATCAAGGCCATCGTTGAGACCCAGCAGAAGCTTGGCTATGCTGCCATGTCCGACGGCGAGTACCGCCGTCACAGTAAGAGATCCGAAGAGCCATTGGACGAGTCGCGTTGACAGATATAGTGTTCTGGGGTACTTTCTTCCCCGGGTTGGACGGCTTCGAGGAGGTCAACGATGTTGATGTGGATGACTTCCGTCCCTATGCCCCCGATATCGCCGCATTTTTAGAGGCCGGACACAAGCCCGGCGAGAGTGTCATCTGTACCGGCAAGATCAAGCACGTTGGTAGCACCTACATTGACCAGTTCAAGTATCTCGCCAGCCAGGTCCCTGCCAACGAGGTCGGAAACCTGAAGATCACTCTTGCCGCACCTAACTGGTACCACCTGCGCTACCGTGAGGGCAAGGCTTACCCCAAGTCTGTATACACCAACGACGAGGATTATTTCGGCGACATCGCCAAGGCCTACCAGGCCGAGCTTCAGATTTTGTATGACGCTGGCTGCCGTAACGTTCAATTCGACGACCCTAACCTGGCTTGTAAGATGTACCCATGCAGCAAATATCGATTGACTAAACTAACCTTCTACTCAGACTTCTGCTCTGATAAGTTCCTCAATGGCTTCAAGGAGGACCCTCTGAACGTGTACTCCGCCGATACCATGTTCGAGAAGTATATCAAGCAATACAATGACTGTTTCACGAACCTGCCCGCCGATATGCACGTGGGTGTTCACCTTTGCCGCGGTAACTTTGTCGGCAGCCGTCACTTCTCCGAAGGCGGCTACGATCGTATCGCCATCAAGCTCTTCCAGGAGCTGAACGTCCACACCTACTACCTCGAGTATGACACCCCCCGCGCCGGTGGCTTCGAGCCTCTCAAGTTCCTGCCCACCCACAAGAACGTCATTCTGGGTGTTGTCACTAGCAAGTTCGCCAAGCTTGAGGATAAGGAGGAGATGAAGAAGCGTGTCATTGATGCTGCTAAGTTCATCGCTGAGGGTAACAACATCTCCCTCGATGCTGCACTTAACCAGGTCGGTGTTAGCCCGCAGTGTGGTTTTGCTTCTCATCGTGAGGGTAATGCTATTGATTGGGACGGCATGATCAACAAACTGCAGCTGGTTCGTGATATTGCCAATGATATCTGGCCCAACCAGGCTTAAAGTGTTTGAGCGTAAAAAATTAAGACCCCTTTCTGTTAAAATTTTCATTGAGAATGCCATTCCCCTCGTTACTTTTCAACAAACATAGCAGGTGTTTGGGATTTTTGGTTTTCAGGCGCTTGTTTACTAGATACCTTGGATGAAGGTTATGATATTTGTCTGAGTAAGCACTTGATATTTTTGAACATAGTCAACGAGTTTCTGTTCAGTTCAAATTCTTTCTTCTCCTCCCGTTGTAATGCAAGAATCAATAACAGTTCCTGTCTGATTGTATGAAACGCGAGGCGCAGCAGTAGCCTTTTGATCAAACACCCTGCATCAAGGACCTTGCCAACTCAAGCTTTTGAGGCATAACAATCTTCTCTTTAACCAGCCTCTTAATAACACGCACTGTCCACCCCTGGCAATTCTCCGTAACAGACTTGCGATTTTCCGCTTGTGGAGGAAGTACCTCCTCGGCAGCTTGTTTCACCAGCCTCGCTGCCCTGGCCTGTTCTTGAGACACAACAGCCAGCGTATAGACGTTGGAAGTGAGGCCAGCGTCAACGACATTGATCTTTTCAGCCGACGGATCGTATTTCATGTCCTCTGCATCACCCGTGACTTGGTAAACATAGCCATAGTCAGGCTCGTTCTCGTCGGCAAGAAATAGTGCCCAGTAGTTGGGCTCTCCGGGGGCCTGTTCTTCTTGGACGAGATAGAGATAGAGATGGGGATTTTCCACAGGTGGTTTCAACTCCTCTGGATTAGAAGTGTCCTCAGTCCACTCCCGGGCACCCCTCTTCCTGAAGTATGTACGGCCATCAACCTCGCACACTTCTCTGAAACCCCTTGTCTTGATGGTGGTTCCCGGCGGTGGAAAGTCGGTCATCGTCTAGGAGAATTAGGCATCAGTATACTCTTTCCCTTTGAGTGTGAACAGTTTCACTGATACCTGCTTTGTAACCTGCTGCAGATAGTCAAATTGGTTGAAATTCATTTGAACGAACTTGCATTTCGTTTGAAGTTGTGGTGACGAAACCAATCAAACGTATCAAATGTGCAGGGATCTCTCTTGGGCTTTTGATCACATTTTTACGTCATTCAGGCTGTTGAAGAATACATACACAACTGACTGAATCTCTAAATGTCTACCAGTTACAACATGGAAACCTGAAGACCTCAATATAAATAATGCTCTTGTTGGCGCTTCCAACCATCCTGCTACCTTTTTCATATAGCGCAAAACATCAATACTATGACAATAAGCCAAATTTAGCTATATCTTTCAAAACCATTAGACAAAGCAGTTTAGCTCAATTTAGTATGCTAAGTCTATATACATCTCCTCCACCCAAAAGACAACGGCTTACTCTGCCGGTCCCTCAATGTTGCCCTCCTTGATATTGGAGCTCTTGTGGGTGTGCATGTTCTCGATTTTATAGCGTGGCTCGTCGTCTGACGAGCTACGGCCCCCCAAGTTTTCAAGAATAAGTCCGACGCTTTTACTGGTCCTAGATTGCGCCCCTATTATATTTTGTTAGAAGGTGGTTCATCTCTCCAAGACAAATATGTATCTTATAGAAAAAGGTGCATCATACCGCCGACCGGTTTGTAACTAACCTTGTCTCCTTCTTTGTAGCGAGGCATTGGCATTGTTACTTTTGGGCTAATGGTGATAGTGATAGTGGTAGTGACTGGCGTGGGAGTTGTGAACTTGAATATCTCGAGAAGATGTACTGACTTGTGCAGATTTGAGTGAACAAATAGAGTAAGACAGTCTTTCGATGATTGTAGATAGAAAGAGGCTCTTGCAAGAGTCGACTCTAAACTGTCATTCTATTTATATTTCTCCAGGACGGGGGAACAACTTCCGCCATCGTCATGTTGAGGTAGGAGGAGAAACAAGGTGACTGGGTTGGAATTGATCCACGGCTATATGAACATCTAGATCTAATGCGGAGGTCGGCTCCGTGGAAACGAGATGGGAATTTGATCACACATTTGAATCAGAAGTATGTCATTTGTTTCTATTTTCTATAACCAATGCCAGAACTTGTCTGTCTCCGTTGTAGCAACTATGTATATAAGGAAGCGCATCCACAATTGACAGAGGGTATACAAACAATAACAACGATAGGTAAAGAGCATATTCAAATTAAAGTATTAAATTGGACCCAACAAGCCCATATAAGAACAGAGGGGATATCATAGAAGTGAAGATAAACAATGGAAAAAGCAACGAGATAACTAAGGCCAACAAATAAAAGACCACGAAAATAAAAGCCCAAATGCTGCGTCGTCTTGTCATCAGAACACGGACATGAAGAGAAAAGAGAAAAACACTTGATAATGCGAGATGTTGTACAACGAAGCTGCTCTAGGAGAGCCTCTCGAAATCACAGCGGTGTATCTTATTTCTGGGGCTGGGTCTTGACATTGTTTGAGAGCCAAGCCTAGCAAGAGATAGCACGGTTAGATTGAGATTCCCAAGTAGATAGATCCGGGACACGACTTACAAGACCCTCGAAAATACCTGTTCCATCTGTTGCAACACTAGGCGCAACGTACCACAGCTTGTCCTTGAGCTTAGTCAATTGAAGCTGCTGAGTAACTTCCTCTGGGCTCAAGTCTAGAAGTGGGTCAGTGGGGAGGTTCATTAAATTTCAGGAACGGGAGATACGCACGGCCGGGAATGTCTTGCTTGTTGGCGAACACCAAAAGCAGAGCATCCTTCATTTCACGATCGTTGATGATCTTGTGCAATTCCGAGCGAGCCTCCTCCACACGCGCCGTATCGCTGGAATCAACCACGAAGATCAATCCTTGTGTACCAGAGTAATAGTGTCTCCAAAGCGGTCGGATCTTGTCCTGACCACCGACATCCCAGACATTGAACTTGACATTCTTGTAGGTCACGCTCTCGACGTTGAATCCGACGGTGGGAATGGTGGTCACATCCTGGTTGCTGAGTTTAAGTTTGTAGAGAATTGCTGGAAGGAATGTTAGCCAATCTTGACCGAGGTCTCCAATAAAGGCTCAGGAAACATACTCGTCTTTCCAGCAGCATCCAAACCCAACATGAGGATACGCATTTCCTTGGTCCCGAAGATCTTGCCCATCATCTTAGATACTTGTCCACCCATTTTTGCGGGAGTTGACGCGGTGTCGGACGTGCTCAGGAGCTGTTTGGCGGAATATCAACAATTGCGACCCGCGTATGAATTGCGGGTTTGTTAAAGAGGATGAAAGACACCAGATGTCTCCGTACAAAGTGAGTTCAATTCAGACAGCTCCGCCAACAAAAGGATTGAAAAAAGAAAAAGAAGGTGCGTTGGTGCGTGAGGATCTTCAATCCAATTTCCCTGAGGGCGGGGGAACCTAGAAAAGGGGCTTGGACTGGGCTTACTCATCATAGCCCGCGGCCACGAGGTACACTAGGCAATTTCATCCTCGTATTAGTTTCATATATATCACTCTCTCAACCTTGATTTGTCCATTGCTCAATCGATGCCAATGAGAATGGAAGTCCATCTATCAAAACACTTCGATGTTATAAAAATGGCCAAGACCCGTGGTTGTGGCCTTTCCCTGCTGATGATCGGCATCGGAGGAATTATTACTCCGATAGTATATAGTGTAGCATGTGATTCGTATAACATACTCAATGACACTTGCACTTCTACTACATACATATCCAGATGTAGTCAGTATATTACCAAAATATTTCATAAGGCAATACCAATAGCTTTGAAGCATGGGTTGTCGTGCCACTTTAGATCCCCGTCCATCTTCAGCTTGTGGAATGTCGTTACGTCATGGCCAAATGAAGTCACACAGGTGGTTGACATATATAGCTGATAGCTCTCTTTTTTATTTCTGTCTTGGAATAATTTTAATTGTTTGAGACTCCTAAAAATCATGCCTGGTGAAGGACACAAGTTCGAACGCCATGCCTCAGTCACGCAGCAGCGTCGACTGGCGCTACAGTACGAGCGCAACGCTTGGTTAGGGCCGCCGTCAGATGTATGAACATTTCTGAAGTAGCAGTAGGAGCCACTCCATGAGAATACTAACAGTATACTAGACTATCTACGCTGGTGTCTCCAGCAACTTTGAAGATCACTATACATCGACTATAGCAATTGCAATTCGGGACACTACATATTTACTAGACTTCATTGAGAAACAGTTTTCAAATGGTCAAGCATCCGCAGAGCAAGCTACCGACTTCATCATTTCTGAGCTGAAGGATTACTCTATGCACCATCTGGAGAAAATTGTAGGAATATCAATGCCTGAACAGGTTGCAAAGCACTGCCCTCGACTGTGTCCTCGCCTTTGGGCGGAGCTCGACATCGTGCCATTGGTCATGTCAAATGCAACCCTAATCGACAGAGTCAGCATCGAACAGGCTAGTGAGAGCCGAAACCCAAAATCCAATGGATGGGATGAAAAGACGATCGATGAACAGGCTGAATCCATGGCACGAAAAGGTGTTAGGTTGGTTGGTCCCGTTCAATATCATAAAGGAGTCATTGAGTCTGATTAAATACAGACTATTTGGACCGGAAAACACGCCTCTGTTGCAAGTGGGCTTCCTCGGGCTTGTGGAAGTGGACACAGCTTACCATGTGCGACTTGCGGACCTGAGTGATTTCCAGAAAACAGTCTCGGATAGAACTTGGAGCGCAGTGCAACGCTACGCCACTGAATTGAAAGAACGTAATGTCAAAGTGGCATTTTTTAGTTCCACACCTCAGGGTGGTGGCGTGGCTTTAATGCGGCACGCTCTCTTGCGATTCTCACATTGTCTAGGCACTGACATCAAATGGTGTGTCCGTGCCTGTACCGAGATATCTGTGTGATTGTAAGAATAACCACTAACTAAACGCTTGCAGGTACGTCCCGAAACCGCGGCCGGGGGTTTTCCGGGTAACCAAAACGAATCACAACATTCTACAAGGTGTCGCCCGTAGTGATGAGCGATTAACACCAGAGAACAAAAAACTCCTGCAAGAGTGGATTGAGGAGAATGCCAGGCGATACTGGACCCGATCAGGTGGACCTTTACTTGCACCATCAGAGGGCGGTGCAGATGTCATAATCGTCGACGATCCCCAGATGCCAGGCCTCATCCCCATCTCAAGGAAACTAGCTCCAGATCGGCCAATCATTTTTCGAAGCCATATCCATATCCGAAGTGATCTGGTTGCGCAACCTGGCTCCCCACAGGCAGAGGCCTGGGAGTTTTTGTGGGATAACATTAAACATGCCGACTGTTTCATCAGTCACCCTGTGGGCCCCTTCGTGCCACGGAATGTGCCCCAAGAAATGGTAGGCTATATGCCTGCAGCAACTGACTGGTAAGGGCTGAGAGATCTGATACTATGCTTTCATCTTTCACCTTGCTGACGGGGACACAGGTTGGATGGACTAAACAAAACTATGCGGGACTGGGACATCGCGCACTATGGCCGCATATTCAACTCAGCCTGTCGCAACGCGGATATGCCAACTATCCAATGGCCCGAGGGTTAGTAGCTGAACCAGCACCAGCGATCATCGGAGTCCTCGGGTGAAAACTAACACAAAACAGATTCATATATCGTCCAAATCGCACGCTTCGACCCGTCAAAGGGTATCCTGGATGTGTTAGTCTCCTACGAGAAATTTTACAACAAACTAGTGCTCGAAGCGCCAAATATGGTCCCTCCCAAACTATTAATTTGCGGCCATGGATCAGTGGATGATCCCGACGGAGGACAAATCTACGACGAGATAATCGACTACCTGAACACAAAAGTTCCAGATATCCGCCACCTGATCTGCGCGGTGCGATTGAGGCCATGCGACCAAGTCCTGAATGCCATTCTCTCCAAGGCCACCGTCGCACTGCAACTATCTACATCCGAAGGGTTTGAGGTAAAAGTCTCTGAGGCAATCCACAAAGGCAAACCAGTCATCGCTACGCGTGCCGGCGGCATCCCGTTGCAGGTTACGCACGGGAAGAATGGATTCCTGGTTGATGTTGGTGATACCGATGCTGTGGCGCAGCGGTTGTTTGAGCTGTGGACAGATCACGATCTATACCTCCGTATGTCAGAGTACGGCATCCATAATGTAAGTGATGAAGTGAGTACCGTGGGTAATGCACTTGACTGGATGTATCTCTCTACTAAGTTGTCGCGTGGTGAGTCTGTTAAGCCTAATGGACGTTGGATCGATGATATGGCGTTTGAAGAGCTTGGTATCCCTAACAAACATGATAAGCTGCGGCTCAAACGAGCAGTCGAGGTGGAGAATATGGGCTAGTTGTACTTGTTGTTTGACTCTCAATCCTTGGCAGTATGTATGTACAGACAAAATCCGGACTGTCTGTCATAGGAGAAAATTAATTGACATACAAATCGATCTCACAAAAACACAACAACATTAAAAGTAGTAGTGGGGGTATCACAAAACCAGAAAATAAACACCAAAGAACAAACTCACCAAACTCTCAGGGCCTTCCAACAACCCGATACCTCTCCCTAGCCATACCCCCCTCGGCCCCCTCAACACCGTAACCCTCCCCAACCTCCCCGACAATCCTCGCCGGCCTCCCACCAACAATACACCAACTCGGCACCACCATACCAGGCGGGACAACCGCGCCATCAAGCACATAGGCATAGTCCTTAATAATAGCCATACTGCCTATCGCAGCGCCCTTCCCAACATGAACATGATTCCCCAGCGACGCCGCCTCAACAACAGCGCCCTCGCCGACAAAAACATGGTCGCCAATCTTGAGCGGGTAGAACGAGTGAATGCCACGGTGTAGTCGGCTCGGAGGACGCAGGATCGCACTTTTGGAGATGTAGCTGTATCGTCCGACTGTTATCGCAACGCTAGGCGTGCTGGGGTTTGGGGCTGCTGGTGCAGCAGGGTTGTTTGCATCGGTGGTGGATGGGGGGAGTGTTGCGGTGCGGAACAGGTCGCCGCGGATTACAGCTTCGGCTTGGATTACCGTTTTGCCACCAAGGATGATGTGTTGTGTGCCGTGGATTTGAGATCGGCGGGAGATTTTGTTTCCTGTGTCCTGTTTTGGGATGGTTAGGTTGGGGTTCTTTTTGTTTTGGGGTGGGTCGGTAGAGTTGGTGTGAATTGGTGTGAATTGGGAGGGTAATATAGGGAGTTATCTTACGGTCTCGATGTATTCACCCTTTGCTGCTTTTGGTGGAGGCATTTCGAGGAAGATAAGGGGGTTTCCTGTCGTGTGATGCTGCAATTGTGGAGTTGGAGTTGACACAAATATAGCTTGACCCCGGGATAATAGATGTGGCAGTATAGTCCTAAGGCGGTGGATGTAAACAACTATGACGATTTTGATAGATCGATTGCAATGATCTTTCCAAAGTTGATTGGATTTTTCGAGATGTTCTCTGTGCTACTCTACCAAGTTGCACTCAAAAGGCAAAATAAAACCAGTAAATTATTCATGGACTATACATTACACTGCTATAAACAAAGCTTCAACAATTTCTGGATATCCTGGCAACAACCAGTTCGTCGAAAACAAAACAGTCAAAAAAAACAAGGCATATAATCATAGCCGACCCAAAGTTAGTTACCTCCACATAACATGGCATGTCCACATTTTGATATAGGCAGCTTCACCTAACAAATTCCAAAAGAGACACTCTTAGGAAGATGGAGCCTTCTTCTGCTCAAATGGACCATCCCAGTGCAGCTTAAGCGACATAGGGAAGGGGAAGTAAGCGGTTCCGTCACCGCGGAGGTAAACGTGGTAACCACCCTCCTGGGGGATCTTCTGAAGCTGGCCCTGGGCACCGGGAGCACGACGGAGACCCTGCAGACGACCGACAACACGCAGCATAGCAACGAGAGCGATCTTAGTGATCTGCTCACCGAAGCCGGTGGTGGGACCCTGGCCGTGGTTAATATATGAGTCGAGAGGACGGTTAAGATTAACACGGGTGGGCTCGGGGAAGACGCTAGGGTCGTGGTTGGCCTGGTTGAAGGAGGCAAAGACCTGCTGACCGGGCTGGATAGTGTAGGTCTTGCCATCTTCCTCGACGGTGACAGCTTCCTTGGCCTCACGGAGGGCACCGAAGGTGCCGTTCAGACGAATAGCCTCCAGACAGTAGCGGTACAGCTTCTCGTCCGATTCGGCGGAGTCTGTCTTGGCGAGGCTGTTGATCTCAGCCAGGTGGGCCTTGTTCTCGGGCGCGGTGTAGAACTCGATGATCTGGGTGAAGACCTGGCCCTGGCTGGGGACCAGGCCGACGATCGTCGGGACGATTGCGGACCAGGTGATGTCGGAGGCACTGGAGCCGGCCTCCTTCATGCGGCGGATAGCTTCTGTTCCAAACTCGCGGAGGGCATTGTCGTGCGGGCGGAAGCTGTCCCTGATGCCGGAGAAGAGACCGCTGTTGGTGTCAGCCTTGACGGTGGCCTCAACGACCTGTCCGAGCTGGGTGGAGACGGCGGAGGCGGCGCGGTTCAGGGCGTACGAGCGAGGAGCGTCGACATCGAAGAAGAGCGCGGAGAAGATGGTGGAAAGGATCATGTACATCTCATGCTCAGTGAAGAGACCATGCGGGTTCTGCTCGGTCTTCAGGGGAACGCCGAAGATAGTAGAGGCGAAGTGGACGTGGGCTAGGTTGCCGACATCGCGAGTGATATCGACCTGGTTGATCTTGCCCAGCTGGCCACCCTTCTCGGCAATCAAACGCTCAGTGATGTCTTCGTAGAAGGTTTTGACGAGCTTGGGGAACTCCTCGGTGTTGAGAGCCTTGCCGATAGCCTCGCGCTGCTTGGTATCGAACTCGCCCTTACCGAAAAGCTCAGACATGGAGCGGGCCCAGCTGGGACGGAAGTCCCTCTGGTTCTCGAGGAGAAGCTTGGCATTCTGGTGAGAGGCCAGGTTGACACGAGGCTCAATGAAGGCAGGCCTGTCCCAGGAGTAATCCTGCTCACGGCCCAGGTCCTTCATGATGTTGCGGTTCTCGCTGGGGATGGTCATGGGGTAGTGGGCGTAGATAGAGTCAGGCTTGTAGTGGTTAGGGAAGGCGCGTGTGGCCAGCTTATAGAAGATACAACCCTGGTTGACGTTGAGATCGTAGCGGCACTCGTTGTAACCCCAGTTGGTCAGGTTACGGGGGTTGTAGTCAATGGTATAGTGACGGTCACCACGGACAAGAGCAACGGCATCAGACAGTACAGCACGGGAAATGGTGTAAGTCGGGGCGATACCGACACCAGGGATCATGGGCTCCTTGGCCTCCTCGGTGACGATACCGGGGTACAGCTCAATATAATCGGGATGATCGTAGAGGTGACGGAGAGTATTAGCAATCTCGGGGTTGGAGTTGACCTCCTCGAAAGTCTCGTAAGCCTTCAGACCGAAGTGCTTACGGAATTCGTTGAGAGAACCGACATTCCATCTACGCGAAGCCTCGATACCGAGAATCTCGATAGAGCGCATGGCCTTGGGGACGTTTCGGGGACCGAAAGAGCTGGCCACGTCTTCGGTGGCATGAGTCAAAATGTTTACAAGCTCTCCATCATCGAAGTATCCTTCTTCGTTACGCTTCAGGCGGGCGAAGGTACGCTTGGAGGGGTCAGCCTCGAGCAAACCCTCAACCTTCTTCATACCCATCAGTAGCTCAGGCATTGTGACTTCCTCGGCAGGCTTGCCCATAAGGTCATAGTAGATCTGCTCAATCCACTTCTCGTCACCCTGACTGATGGCCGAGTGCCAACGGTAGGCCAAGTTGAACTCGACAGAGCACTGGTTGCCGAGACCGGAAGGAGTGGCACCGGCCTTCTCAACCTGGGCACGGGGATCCAAGCACCAGGTGGAGTTGGTGCGGTTCAAGTTGACAATGGTGCGCAGGTAATCATACAGAGTGATGTTGATGTACAGACCGCAAGTAATAAGACGACCAGTCTGGAACAGGTCTTCATCACGCTTAGCCCAGGCTTTCTTGGTGTCCTCCTCGGACAGACCAGGGCGGGGCTTGCTGAAGCGACCATTCTCGTTGATCTCAGCCAACTGGGTAACAATGTGGTTGTGGAAACGGTTCAGCATAACCAGCAGAACACCACAGGCAGCAGGAAGGGCCTGCAGACGACCTTCAGAGAAGCAATCGGGCTTCAGTCTTCCGTCCTGGTGGGAACGGATCAGATCCTGTTGCTCCTGGATATCACCATACAAGATGGACAAGTCAAGGTAGGCTGAGGTCTTGTTCAAGTGCTGTTGGCGGTAGTCGGTCTGGAAGATATCTATGTACGGAAATAGTTTATTAGCGCCTGAATTGTAACTTTTAATGGAATTGGCCTACCGTGAATAATAAGAGAGGCCCAGTCAAAGAAAACACTGGAGACCTTGTTCGGGTGTGGGGTGAATTCCTGACGAGCGAAGAGGGTATCAAAAATCAGACCAGCGTCGGGCAATCCACTGGGCTGGATGGTCAGGGGAGCAATGGTGCGGCAGTATGGGGTATTAGCAGCTCCCAGCCACGGGAGAGTAGGGTTGTTGTTAGAGCCATCGGCGGAGCGGTACTTGTACTCGTCTCCCATGTAACTATTCACATCGTTAGCGCGAAATTGCAAAACAGAAGTCTCCAATTGGGGATTTCTCACGAGAGAGGAGGGTGAGGAATTGAGTTCCATAGCTCATCCAAGAATACACTAGTGAGCTCGGTACGGTTCTTGGAGTTACCGGGCAAATCTGCAACCATCTGGATTATGCGCTCCATCAAATAGGTCTTGTCATCAACAAGTTCACCGGAGGTTTTGCTCGCAATCAAGTCTTTGACTGTGTTGATATCGCGGAATCCCAAAGACTTGATGTCATTGATGAGACCGGACGACTTGTCATGCTTCAAGTAGGCGCCATCACTGGTTTGGTTGGGCAATGGCTCATTCGAAGCGTGAATTGCTTGTGCATACTTCTCGAATACAGCAACGACCTCGGCACGCTTCACGACATGGTTTTCCTCCTTAGTAGATGTGGACTTGCGAGTAGGTGATACCTTAGAGGCGCGCTTGCTGCTCTTGTCTGTGGTCTTAGGCTCGGTGTCACCATTGGAGTCCTTGGTATCCTTAGAATCCTTGGGGTCCTTAGACCGCTTGAATTGGGTAGAGATTCTCCTCAACATTGTGCAGAATAATGACACAAACAATTCAAGAGGAGGAATGAAATTAAAAGAAGGAAAATAAAGTGGCTACCAGGTGCCAGATCAGGGGGAAATAAATCAAAAGCTCGACGGTGCTCTTTAAAACGAGCTGCGCGGGCGACGCAAGTCAGCTGCAGGACTGTGGAGCGTCCCAGAAGTAGCGGATTTGTTATCGCCAATAGTTGATTGACTGTGACAGCATTTGATTCGATGGAGAGCAATTGGTCGATCTCTTTTCTCTCGCCTGAACCTAGTCTCTGTAACAAATATCCCAGCCCCGCATGGTACAAGCTCAATTCCCAAGTGGGGACTCTATAGTGGACTCTCGATGATGAAGTGTCTGAATATAGTAACTGATCGTCATTTATGGCTTTGGATACCTAAGAAAGGGGGATGTCTGTTCTGGTTTGTGTACTCCGTACAGAATACCCGAATGTACTCGCCAGGTGGGAATCATACGATCCAAAATAATATAATATGGCCAAGGCTGAGTGGCATGCATGGCACATCCCGGAGTTGAGCTGAGAAGCAAACAAATCTAGATCTATACGGAGTACATCACCAGCTTCAGAAGAGAAATCGGATAACAGACCAATGGCCGTGAAAATGCTGAATGCTGTAATACCGGACTATAATCGGCGGTGTACACTAAGATGTATGTGTACGAGCTGATATCCTACAGAAATGCAAAAGGATCTAAAGATCGAACTAAATCGACATCAAGTGGGGAAAGATGTTTGGACTTTTGTCCTGCATTTACGAAAAAGAAATCCCAATTTAGTCGGTGGCTGGCTGGAGTGCTGTCATACTTTTGTTCCAAAATTTGCTCCAATCAGGGTGATGTTGTGTAGAATATGTGCTGGTGCTCCTCCATACTCCGTACTTGGTAGGACTTGGGATGCAAGGAAGGTCCTAAATGTGATAGAGAAACAGACCTGTCCATGCAAATTTTTTCGTTTGGTGTTGATCGTCGCAGACCCACCTGGTCACCCGCTTACTATGGATTTTAAGTGGCGAACGGGCCGCTTTAACTTGCACGAACCACATTGTATCGTCTGTCATTGGTAGCTGAATCTGCCAGTCATTGTCAATTATTCAAAATCTAATTCATCTCGGCTCATCCACTTTCAGGGTCTTATTTTTTGTCTATTTCACTAGCCTCGTGGCGTTTTTCTCGGTAGAACGGGAGTTTCCACGCGAAATTGGGAAATCCCCCCTTTTCTTTGAAAGAATAAAGATCCTCAAGATATGAGTGTTTCCTGTTAGAGATGATGTTTCCTCATAGTTCGGTTTTCGGTTATGACGAACCACGGATCAACCATTGTCCGGGGACATGGCCACTCCCGCATAACCCGTGGATAGGATAATCTATGCATAATATCGCCTGGATCTCAGATCAGCTGCCAATTCATAAAGGTCCCTTGTTCAGCCGTATATCCGGATAGTCCGTTGGCTTCCTTTTTTTTTCGGGATATGAAGAGCAGGCTAGAAGTCCCACTCTTCTTCCCCTTCGGGTATTGACAATCCTTTTCAGCTTGGAACAGTTCCACATGGGATAACTCGTGGATCTCCATATAGCCAACCATCCCAGATGTGATCAGACTTCCAAGGTCGTATTATATATAATCATTGTGATAACAGTGACACCTTCAGAAACTTTCTCAAGCCTGACTTTGAAATGGCAGCAAAGATAGGTCCACCAGTGGGTCGCGGCCCTGGGCCGTGAAGGACCATGAACGACCAATGCGTATCGATCGATACCAGCGCTATAGCAAACTAGCGCCTTAGTTAGACCCGATCGCTCAAGACCGAGCCAATGCCGCGGAACACTCTCAATGAACGCCCCCTCTCACCCCTTACACCTCCTGAATCATTGAAAGCTCTCCCAGCCTATGTGGAGAACGATCGACAATAATGTCCCGAACACCACCTAGCATCACTTCCTCCCAAAAACTCATAGGGCCAATGACTACTCGCGAATGGAGTGGCAAAGAGTAGAATCTGCTCGTCTCTCTTTTGGTCTCTGTTCAGCTCTCACAGAAATTCCAAATTCACACGCTATCCAGGTCCAGTCCGTGCAGCCCGTATCCCTCGTGCAGAATTTCTCGAGTCAGGTTCAGCCTGGTTCACAACAATCTCGCATATCCAGCAATGATTACCGATGCGTAGCCATTGGGTGAAATGCACTTCCGTTAGACCTAAGTAGCGTTTCGTGTAACCTGCACCTGCACGCAAGTCACCGGTCATTTACAGAAACAGAAACGGACCCCAAAAGTCAAAACAAAAGGCCTATGTTGTGATAGGAATGTGCCAAGTCTGGGGGGCCCGCCCGTCAGCCCGCTTCGGTTTGACGTACTATGTGCTCCGTACTCCGTATTATTTTCACAAACCTGCAGCGATCGGCTAGTGGATTGGAGATTCTTATCCTGCCAACCCCCTTCTCTGCTGGGGCCGATGTAGAACGCTGATTCGTGTAATGCTGGCTGTACCCAGCTGCATAAAATCGTCATTCCAAGCTTGAGCTTTTCCCCTCTCTCGTATATAGCCCCCTTCAGGTCTTATCAGGTGTGCCTGAACTTGCGACCTTATTTTTTTTGCTGACCGACCATATTGTCATTTGCTAGCATCATGGCTTATGAACACCAAGGCCTGTCCGGCATGCCGAAGCAGTTTGTGCTTTGCTTTGATGGTACCGGAAACAAATTCGCTGGTGACGAGTCGGATAGCAATGTGCTCAAGATCTTTCGCGTAAGTAGGACTGCGAGCCAAGCGTTTGAGCCCGTGCTAAGAAGTCGCAGATGCTTGACCGCAGCAAAAGTCACCAGTACCATTACTATCAGCCAGGCATTGGCACATATGTGACCTCAAAGTCGCTGACTAGCCATGGCCGAATTCAACGTATCAAGTCCGCCTATCAAAAGGCCAAGGACTCGGCGGTCGGGTCTTCCTTTGACGAGCATGTGATGGGTGGATACAAGTTCCTCATGCGATACTATTCCCCTGGAGATGAGATCTTCTTCATCGGGTTTAGTCGTGGTTCATACATCGCGCGATTTCTAGCAGAGATGCTGGACTATATCGGTCTCCTCGAAGCAGGAAACGAGGAGCTAGTCCGCTTTGCATGGAAGACATTCGCCAAGTGGCAGCAGCGGTCTGATGATTCGGAAGAAGAGCGCGAAGAAAAGAAGAAGCTCTTCGCATACATGAAGGCCTTCCGTGAGACGTTCAGTCGTCCTATCTCGCGTATCCGTTTCATGGGTCTATTCGACACCGTCAACAGTGTGCCGCGCTTCGAGTCAGCATGGATGCAGCGCACCAAGTTCCCCTACACGGCACGCAGCTCGGCCAAGGTGATTCGTCATGCCGTGGGTATTGACGAGCGCCGCGCGAAGTTCCGCCAAGATCTGATCTCTGGGGCGCGTCCAAAGGAAAAGAAGAAACACCGCCGTCGCCCCCATTTGCCCACAAACCATCTGCACCTCTTCCACCAGGATCACAAGGAGAAGTCTGAGGAGGAAACCCCAGACAACGTTCCTGCCATTCGGGTCAATGACAACCCTGAGGAGGAAGAGCAGGATGAAGAGAAGGCCAGGCCTGAATTCACTACTCCTAGATATGAGCCCAGTACTGGAGAGACATACTACCATGCCGGGCGCCGCGGCTCGCATAACCAAGCTTCACACACATCCTCACAACCGCCTTCCCGCGCCGGTAGCGAACGCGGGACAATGCAGCATAACAAATACCGCGCACCCTCTCCCAGACGCAGACTTGCTGTTCCCAAAGCATCAATGGATGATCTCCACTCAGTGCGAAGCAGAGAGTCCTTCCACAGCGTGCACTCCAACACGCTTTCCGTGCAAATTCCCATCGTAGAGATCGATTCAAGCGACGACGAAGACGACCAAGACATCCACGAAGTCTGGTTCCCAGGCTGCCACGCAGACATCGGCGGCGGGTGGACGCTCTCGGAAGGCGAGTCATGGGCGCTCAGCCACGCGCCGCTCGTGTGGATGACACAGGAGGCGCAAAAGGCTGGACTTGAGTTGGATGAGCGAAAGATGAAGCAGTTCCAATGTCTGGAGGAGTACGACGGTGATTATAGTCCCATCCGGGAAGAGATTAATACCCGGCGGCCGAATCGGTGCGTTGAGCCTCATGCTGAAAACGATAATGCTTTCCGGTCTATGCCTGATGAGAAGGAGCGCACTGCTGCCAGTCGTGACTTCTGGCATGCGCTGCATACCTCCAGTACAAAGGGCCTGCTGCATGATTGTCTGATGTTCAACCAAGGTATTCCTAGTATGTCGGTTATTACGTGGCGCATTATGGAATGGTTGCCGTTCCGTCGTATGGATCTGCAGCCGGATGGGTCGTGGAAGCCGATTAGCTGGCCGTTGCCTCGTGGCGAGGTACGGGATGTTCCGCTTGATGCTGAGATCCACGTTTCTGCTATCCGGCGTATGCAGGCGGATCCCAAATACCGTCCTGGTAATGTGATTGTTGGTGGTGGTGGTCGTGGTATACGTGTTGCACCGGAGCAGTATGGTATGGGTGAGTGGGTGGTGTTCAAGCATGAAGGTGATTTGGTGCGGGAGACCTATGTCCGCAAGAACATATCCAAGTGCAAGGAGGGCGAGGAATAGACGAACTCTAGAGATATCCCTGTCGCTCTTTTTTCTTTCTTTTGTTTATATGCCATTGACTTGGCCTTTTTTATACTGTCTAATAGGTAATTTGGAGGAATTATATTACATTCGATGTATCTGGTTGGCGCCATCTGGAGCTGCCAGAAATCCTGGGGTTGACACTAAAATTGCCTTGAATTACTTAGTTCTTGGTATCTTGTCCATCTACACCTAGCAAAAAAAAACGGAATATTTGGAGCTGTTCGAATCGAATATACCTTCCCCACCGACTAGCTAAGTCGAGCAAGGATTCCAATGCAAGAGAAATTCATATAGCGCCGCAGCCGCCGCTATCCTGTGCTACTCTCACTCTAGTCTCACTTCAGTCTTGTTTACACCTTACTTGTATCTAATCTAAGGGAAAAAGATGCAGACCACACAGGATCAAAGGCCAATTGGAGCCTTACTCAAAATTCTGAGCACACCAAATATCACCTGCGATTTGTCGCAGAGCTGCCTGATTGATTCCGATATCTCTATTGGTCGGTTTAGGCGTTCTCTCGAAAAGAATATCGAAGTGGATGATAAGGGGAGCCCCAAAAATTGTAACTTGCCCCTTACTTTTCTTCATGACTATTGCCTGTGTCCGTCGAGATTCCTGGCTCGCTGCGTTCCATTCATACCGTTCGAGTTTGACGAGAGGCTCTCTTCGATTAATTTTCATGGCCAAAGCAACTCTCACATTGCCTCTAGCTGGATCAACCCACATCTCGACATCGCGGCTGAGTCTCGCATAGGATCCTGACAGAGTAATTTCTAAGATCACCGTAGGCCTCTTGGGGTGGCCTGGGGGCGCTCTCGTCGGGTCCCAAACGCTATCCGGCTCCGTTGTTTCATTGGGGAGAGCAATTGTTGAGCCAGAGTAATGGAGAAGGGCGTGGTCTAATTTCATAGTTTGTAAAGCATACGTAAAAGCGCTAGTGAGGGCAGAAGTCCCCACGTTGTGGGCGATCGTTTTCATATTGACAATCAGGGCGTGTTTCTCCGGTTAGAATGATATATGAATGAACGAGATTGGAATTTCGTCAGGGTTGAGGTAGTCCTGCTCGAAAGTTGCACCGTCGATGTAAAAAACAATATATTCGTACATAGATCATCCAGATCCCCATTAGGGACAACATTTTGAGAAGAATTAAGCCTGGGCATTTTGTTTTCACTGTTTAGGGATACCATTAAAAAATTAAGTGATAGATGAATGTTCGGAGCTGGTTAAATCGATCCTATACCATCATTCATCATATCTACGACATTCAACATAAACCCTTTCCCATGGATTACCACGTGGAGGCAGGTATGTCTTAGCCTTAAACGATTTGACAGAACGTGGCCATCAATATCCTACTCACTCAGCCTGGTCCCTAGTTATACATTATCATTGGCCTATATCTAAATCGTAGATATAAGCCCGCCACAGCTACATAATCGGGTGGTACCTTCATAGCTAATGATTATAATATCAAGAAAAAAAACATTGTAAAAAGACATCATAGAGAGAAATATAGAAAGATAGCTAAAAAGACGTGCAAAAAGACATGAGAATGTCATTCATGAAGTCACCAGTTTATAATCGGATCTTTTATCCCGATAGAAAGTCATATATATCTCGGCTCAAAGTATATATATAGGCTAAATGACATACTTCTGACCAATATCCATGGATGTAGATGGATGTGAATAGATGTTAATAGATGATAAGAGAGAGCCAAGAATAGTTACTATCCGATAGGACCAAAAACAAGAGTGGGTTGAGATCCATACTAAATACTACATTATCTACAGAGTAGACAAAATGAATGGAAAAAGGAGTTGAAGAGAAAAAAAAAAAAAAGGCCAAGAGGCTCAAAGAGATCGACGATCCTCACGTTGAACGTTGACATTCTGGGCCTTGGCTTCTCCTGTCAACCTTTTTTTTTTTTCCTTTTCCACATCCTTAACCTCACCATTTTCTCCCAGGAACATCTGTTTTCCTTTCACTTGGCAGGTCCAAGAGTCTCCTCATTTACTCTATGCCATGATGCGAGGGTAAATCTCGCATACCCCCTTTTTTCCCTCTGTTATTTCTTTACACATCATGGAGTCACGACCTGAAGAGATGCGCCGTGGGACCAACTCCGGGGTTGTTCCCGAGGGTAAGGAGGACGTCATGATCGGTTTTTCACAGGCACCACCCCGGACACGATCCCCTTTGGCCCGATCGCATCTCCGATCTCGATCACTGGCTGGAATCCCGGGCATGCCGTCTATGACGCGCGCTTATTCCTCCCCAGGGCTGGACTCCCAGGGTCGTTATATTTTCGTCAATGGCCGCGGGGCACCAGTCGACACGAAACGATATCCCCTGCAAATGCGCCCTGACGATTACATCGACCGCATGGGGTCCCTCAACATCTCAGAAACCATCTCCGAACATGCTGAATTAGAAACCATTCCCAAATTGCCGTCACAGCCAGCCTCATCTCCTATCCTGATGCCGCAGACTTTCCCCCGCATCGGTCGCCTACGTCCGACTTCACCCCTTCCTTTCCAGACCCCTATCAGCCCCTCCTTGCATTCCTCGCCCATTCTGGGCTCCAAATACAACGAATCTTACCCCAACCCTTCGGGCTCCGTTTCCTCCATTTCCGTCCCCTCAACCCCGACCAGCCTTCGCTCCCGAAGCCCCAGCATTTCCTCACTGGAAACAATCCCCGACATCCCTGACGCTGAGAATGAGGCCCTTGAAGAGGAGCGGATCGCGCAGTTGAAAGCCGCGGCTGATGCAGCTGACGAGGCAACTTCTGCCAACCGACGGCGCGGCGCATCCGATGCGCCCAACTCATTCACTACGATGCGCGGGGGATCGGGCGGATATGTAGCTCGGAGCGATAAGCGCAAGCGATGGAGTGTCTGTGGTGCCGAGCGACGGCAGGATCTCGACCTGGAGACCATTTGGGAAGACTGAAGAGTGTTTCCCAGTCGAATACGAGTCCACCGGATCTCCCCGCCTCGTCTACCACAACCAAGCACCCCTTGTGCTCCCACATTTGTCTCGTGGTGGAGTTGATCTCCACTACTTGTTATCGGCTTTTTTTTACTCTCAGTGGCGCTTTGTTCCTTTCTCTGACTTTCCTTGATACCCTTCCATTACCTCCGGCTCGTACATATTCTTCGCAGTCCGGTTTTTCGTTTCAAAAAGCGCTTTCGTGGAGTTGTACGGTAGTGACAGTGGTCTTAAACCTGTACCCGCTTCTAGCGGCTTAGCAGGTTCAAGCAGGCGCATGGTTTCTTTTTGTATCTATTATGCTGGTCATAACTGAGCTCTGTTTTTTTTCCCTTTCTGATTTTGCCGTTTATTTGACCCGGCATCTTCAATGCGATGTCTTTCAGAATCGCTTTATCAATGCAATTGGGCCTTCAGCCCCAAAATAATCTATTGTAAAGTGAGTAGATCTATTGTAACCCACGATGTAGACTGGCAATTGATAAGGACATCCCGAGGCAGGTGTGGATAACGGTAACCAATCATCCGATGAATCCAAAATCTTCACTTCATCGTCAAACCTTCCATACCCATCTTATCTCATTTTGCCACTATATCAATCGCATATCTTAAATTGATTTTTGAAATCACGGCATGGCTTCAAGTCCCCATATCGGCGTCATCGGCGCAGGCATTTCAGGCCTCCGCTGCGCCGACATCCTCATCCAAAACGGGGCCCGAGTAACAATCCTAGAAGCAAGAGATCGCATTGGTGGGAGAGTATGTCTTCCTTCTACCCGGGAGTAGAACCGCGAGAGTCAAGTCGGGTTTAACTTTTTCGTCGATTAGGTGCACCAATCAACAGTTGGAGGTCATGCAGTGGATCTGTATGTACGCCCGCATGACTATGACTTGGAAAGTATATCTCAACTAATGCTCAATTCAGAGGCCCTAATTGGATTCATGGTGCGGGGGAGAACCCTATCATGACCATAGCGGAAGAAACGGGGACTGTGATGTATGACCCCGAGGGTGGAAGGCATGTCTCCTACTCGCGAGACGGCCACCCAATCAACGACGAAGTGGCGGCTCAAGTCCAGGACTTTGTATGGAATACCATATCAGAAGCTTTCAAATACAGCAATCAGCATGGAGAAAGCATTCCCGCCGAGACAAGTCTTTTCGATTTCTTCTGCGAACGAGTCCAGCAAACCAATTTCTCAGATGAAGAGAAACAGCTGTGTCTCGATGCCTGTAGGCTCTGGGGTGCATATGTCGGCGATCAAGCCGACAAGCAGAGCTTGAGATTCTTCCGTCTGGAAGAATGCGTTGATGGGAGTATGTGTCTTCAAATCATCCCGGTTACATATCAGACTTTCTAACATCCATCAAGGCAACTTCATTGTGGCATCTACATACAAGCGCATATTAGAGCACGTCGCCAAAACCGCCGTCGCAAAAGCTGACATCCGCCTCAACGAACCCATCACAAGCATCAAAGCGCCACCTCGCAACAACCAATCGCAAACAAAGCACCAAGTAACCGTAACAACAGCGACAGGAACAACATACGACTTCGACCAAGTAGTCGTAACCTGCCCATTGGGCTGGTTGAAGCAAAACACCTCGGCGTTCACGCCGGCACTCCCACCCCGTTTCGAACAAGCAATCAAAAACATCTCATACGGCCGATTGGAAAAAGTCTACGTGACGTTCCCGCGCGCCTTCTGGCACACCGACAAAACCAATACCTCAACAACCAACACCGTCTTCGCCCAATTTCTCGACCCATCCTACACACCCCACCCAGCACACCTAGAATGGAACCAAGAATTCGTCTCGCTCGCCTCCCTCCCAGAACCACACGCCCACCCGACCCTTCTCTTCTACACATACGGCGACGGCGGTGCAGAGATAATCAACCGCATTTCGAAGCTAGATCCCTCATCATCTGAATACAGAGATACCCTAATCGAAACAATGCGCCCCTTCTACTCTCGACTCCCCGGGTACAGCGCGGAGCATCCGGATTGCGTGCCAGTGGCGCTGCTTGCTACGCAGTGGCAGAAGGATGTGTTTGCTGGGAATGGGTCGTATTGTAATTTCCAGGTTGGGATCCAGGAGGCGGATGTGGATGTTGAGGTTCTGAGGTCTGGGGATGGGATTGGGCCGGTTAGGGGACTTTGGTTTGCTGGTGAACATACAGCGCCGTTTGTGGCGCTTGGGACTACTACTGGTGCATTTTGGAGTGGGGAGAGGGTTGCGAGGTTGGTTTGTCGTGAGGCTGGGATTGGGGGGATGGGGATCAAGGATGATTCTTTGCCTTCAGCTGGGGATGGGGCTTGAATTAGAAGAGGAGCAGGATTGTATTTATACTTATTAGATGAGGAATTGGCAAATATTTGGCTATTGGTGTTGTGGGTTTAGGTGGTTCTTGCTTGAAGAACTATACCTTGGAAACCCAGGTAGGTAGTAGAAAGATAGTTACTCTACGTGTGTAAAACTAACGAGGTGTGTCGATTATACAATGGACCCAGCAAGTCGAACATTTTCATTCATACTTAAGTAAGGTATTTAAGGTCGTTGGATTCATTCAAGGATTAGTATCTTTCTTGGGAGCTTTTTCCACATTTGTTCACTCAAACCCCCCATCAAACGGCAGGCCAGGAGGACCAGACACGTCCACCGAGTAAAGCATCATAGACGAAAGATAAAGAACCATATAGATCCATATGCATAAGAGATGCACAGAAGAAGAAAAAAAAGAACAGGCCCGAATAAAAAGTATATCATGGACAGGGTTCACGTGACAGTGGCAATGACCGCTTGCAAGCACACATCATGAAGACGACAATAAAAATAGAAGAAAAAATACATCAGGGCTCCGAACATAGGAAAATCAGTATCACAAAGGAAATGAAAAATAAACAGATGCAAAGATGACATGCAATGGCGCTTCGGAATGTTGAGGTATCATACATCCCTTCCTTATCGCCAGGCCCCCTGGCTCAACGACAGGAGACCCTGCACGCAGTCCAGGTCATCTTCTTGACTATCCCCCGACCCACCGGCCATGAAAGCTGAGACTTCTGCACTGAGTTCTGGCGGGGCTTTACCCTGTGAGCCGGTCTGGAGTGGTCGATTGCGTTTGCCGTTGGTCGAGATGCCGAGACCGCGATTACGGTTAGCGTCGCGGAGGACCGGTCGTGGGATGTGTGAAGTGTTGCGACGACGAATATTTGTCGATCGTGTGCCTGGAGCCCAGTTCTCCTTATCAGAGTCACCGGGGTCTTGCTCCAGATCCAGCTTGCCAGATTTGGAAAATAGAGGCTTAGACAGCTTGGATGGGTTCATATTCGCCTTATTTCGGCCCGTCTCCAGTCGCCCTAAAGATGAAACAGTGCGGGCGAGCTTCCGCCTCTTCTCTCCCATGGACTGAGAGATTGGCGTGTTTGGGTCGCCGTGGACAGCGAGACCGTGTCGCCCTGAGGCACTCCGAGGTAATGAGCGCTGGCTGCGAGACTGGAAGAGACCCGGAGAGCCGTTCGGCCCGCTGGTTGGTGTTGATAAGGCACTTCTTGCGTCCGTGTCACAGAATGATTCCCAGTTTCGTGGATCACGAGAGCGACCGAAAGCACGATCTTTCTCGGCCACACCTGCCCGCGGCGTGGCTGGGAAGACGGCGCTGCTGCTACGTCGCAGGCTTGACATCTTTGTTCGGCGAACTGAGAACATCGCCACGCGGTTCTTGGACGGTGATGGTTCGTTCTCTCCGCGGATTACTGCCTTTCCATCCGATGACATCGCGATGCGCAAGGCATTGCGGCCCTTGGGCGGAGACGGCGTTAGCTCGCCCTCTTTGCGCAGCAAAGCCTCTCCATCAAAGGACATCGACAAGCGCAGCGATGGGGGTGACTTGGTAGGTGTGGTTTGTATGTTTTGTGTGATCGCTGCCTGCTGCTCATATTCTCCCTCGCCCCGGATATCCGACACCGAACGTTTTCTTTTTGGTACCTGCAGTAGAGAGTCTTCGGAGTGGTCATTCACCAGTTGGGAAAACTCTTCCTGTGTGGTGGGCGGAGTTTCCCCAGCAGCCTCTGTCGCGACGCTTGTTTGAGTGCTCTGTGGAAGCTCATGTTCATCTTTATCTTCAGTTACCGGGTCCGAGTCATCTGAAAAATGTAACAGTCCCCCGTGCCATGGTTTTGGTGCCATTTCCTCGCGGTGATCGTTGATGTCAAACTGCTCTGCCCCACTCGAAGACCCCGGCTCCGTCGACGCGTTATCATCACTGAAAGGCTGACCCGATGAATCGACCATGCCCGACCGCGGGGCGAGTAATTCGTGAGGCTGGAGGGGTTTGGATTTCCGACGATCGTTCTGGCGGCGATTTTGGAACCAAATCTGTTGAGCCAGTTAGAAGTGGTTTTTGTGCGTGAACTCTTGGCATCGCATACTTGGACCTCTTTCTCGCCGAGTGAGACGCGATTCACGATACTCGTGCGGGCTGCTTTGTCTGGTTTGGGGTTTTGCTGGTACTCGGATTCGAGGATTGCGTGATCCTCCGGACTGTAAAATAGTTCATATCGGGTTAATTGACGCGTTCATAGTATGGACCGCAACCATAATAGCATACCTAGTTCGACGTCGCTTCTGGCGGGCTAATAGTTTATTGTCGACACGAGGAGGAAGGTTCTGTGTGAGGGTTTTTTGTGAATGGACGAGGAAAGCGTAGTTAAGAGGATTGGAGTCGGTGGCCGGGAGAGAGGGCGAGGATGAGATCGCCACCGAAGGCTCCGGATCAGACATGATACCTAAGAGAGCATGGAGGGGTTGGGAGGGTAGAGAGGAATAAACACGAACACCAAATCACCAGATCAATAAAAAAAAGACCAGAGACAGAAGATGAAAAAAGCCGTGAGGCTGGCATGCAGAAAACGGTATCAAATCGCGTCGCGGTGTGGACGCGGAGTAGAAAGAACGTGGCCCGCGCTAGTAACAAAGTGCTCCTCCGAGGTACTTGGTACTTGCACATACGATTTATTTCTTTAATTTGATTTGATATCCTTTTTAAGTCTAAATTACCTACTCCGTACATCGATTTGAGTCCTCTGAATGCTACTTTTGTATTTGTCTATATTGACGCGTTGGGCTGGTAGATTGGTTTGGGCCCACACTTGGTATGAGGTTGCAGTAGTCTATACAGTTACCTGCGTGAAGCGTGAAGCGTGTCCTCGCGTTCAATACAGTCATATTTGAAATCCCCCTCGGATTCAACACACAGAAGATTGCTCTATGCCATTTGCCTTCTTTGCCTTATTTCACCTGATCTCCATATGAGCGTCCAACGCGTGGTGACGCGCCCTCACGTGACCCCACGAGGAAGACTTGCACGTGGTGGAATGTGATCTCTCGGAAGATTTTTTTTGGCAAGGGATGTGAATCTGTTAAAATTAAAAGGAGATACCGTCTCTCTTGTGTTCTCAGATGGGAGATGAGAGGGCATTTATGGCTTGACTCCCAAGTGTAAAGCCCAAGTGTAAGACCTCTAGTGCGCAGTGGGTCACCGGTGAAGTAGTACCCTAACTCAGAAAAGCAAAGAACATCAAATGTAGTCAACAGCCTACTTAATAAAAGTCGCAAATCGGAATGATCGGATCTGAAGGTACCTATTTCGCCCCCTGGGGAATCAAAACTTCGGGTCAAGTTTGGGGAAAATCACCTCATCCATGGGCCAGCGGCACAGTTCCATTGGTCGTGTTTTTCTTATGTGCCTACATAGTTAGCTACATTCAACCTCACATATATTATGAACTAGTTTTGTACAGCCTTTCAGAAGAAATAAGTAAAAATGCTGACCCTTTCGACAGCAGTAATCGACTTCCTATGTTGTACAAGATTGACCAACTATAGACCGCTTCGACCGCAAATTTGCCATCCAACCAGGAGCATTCCAATGTTTGATCGGCGCGACACTATGCAAACTTGCTCAGAGCCCCTAAATGATCAAGTGCGCTGCATTTTTACTAGCTACGTCATCGGTCTGATGTTCATGTTCTTCCTAGTGTACCAAGTCGAGTGTATTAATTTGCTCTTCGTTAGACGCACGCCGAGCAAACCAAGGAAGAAGTGACGACGATGCATATGCATGACACCAACCAGAAATGCAACTGCTAGACAAGAAAGAGAAAAGTATGCCTGCAACGAATATAGAGGATGCAGGTCTGCTAACAAGTGCATACATGCATACATGCATACATACTTACATTAGAGCCAACCGAATGCGACTCTGGGGAAATTCCATTGATTCGACCGACGCCTACCGTGCAAGTAGATGTTACACGGCTGGCATCTGACGATGCAAGGTGCTCTTCTTACCCCAGCATCGTCATGAAAACGCTCTTCGTGCCATCTCATACGTGGATATGGATCTTGTGCTCATGAACGTTGTGGCTATCTTCGAAGAGATCTACGGCTGAGCGACGCTTACTACTCCTGTGCATCAGTAGCTACATATGTAGTAGATCAGTATATCCCTTTCGCTAATTATTATTTAGTCGTTGGCCAAAGCTTTAATTTCGCTGACTTGACGATCAATGTGCAGCATATAGCACCTGCGGTCCGAGCCGGGGTAACTCTCTGGAATTTACTAGCATTTTAATCCCCCTATTCATAGTATTCCTGGGCCAGTATGGAGTAGCTGGGACCTAAGCAAGATTCTAGTTGGGTTTGGGTCTAGATCCTAATAGCCCTGGGGTGAAATAAAGTAGGAGTCTAGAATACCAGAAAAGAGTAAATACAGCCGGTTAGAATCTTCGAAGAATGCGTCCATCAAAAGTGCAATACAACCCTTGCAATGATAAAGTAGGGGAGTGGAGCAGTGGAAGTTAATCTTGGCCGAGTTTAAAACAGTGTCATCTGTGCAGAATCCGAACATGTATGGAATCCCTAGATTAATCTCAAGAGAAATACGAAGGTTTAATATATTGTAGATCAGTAATGGGCAACTAATGAGAAGGCATCTACCTATGTTTCAAGTATCTCGAATCCCATGATCACCGTGCAACAGAAAGTAAAAAGGACAATCCAGCCGATCAACATTCCGCCCCCGGGCCTATCCCTTCCATCTCACACTGTTGATTGGTCCAAGACAGGGAGATGCTCGATACCCAACTGAGCCAAATAAGCCAAAAAAGAGGAAATAAGAGGAAAGATAATAGCTCATCGTATGCATCGTATGATGATGCACGTCTCTTCCCCGCTTTGACGCTTGGACATGGAGATCATCCCCAGATCAATTGATATTCCCTGCCCATTGCTCATAACATTTACAATTATCATCTCCCTTGGACTCTCGGATTCTCAGATTCTCAGATTCTCGGACCTCTACCTCTGTACTCACTTCCTCGGATGCTGACTGGTATTTCGGCTCCTTTTCATTTTATTTTTTTCTCTTCTTTTTGGAAAGATCTAGTCTAGTGTTATACTACGATCACACTCCCTGAACCGGGGCGGCGACCGGGCTGTGACACCCATATTTAACTTGCGATCACTAGCAGATACGGCATCAAAGTCCTTTGAGTCCGGTCTCTTATTTCGCTTTCGACCTTGGTCACCATCACACCTATCTCATCGACGCGACTTTGACTACCAGTTCGTGCAACAAAGAATCCTGGACTCCGAGAGATGGCCGAAGACACGAAACTGAAGAAGAACCATATGGCGATTGTCTTGGGCATCGGGCTTGGGGTGGTGCTACTCATCGTCCTTAGTTTGATGTGAGTGAGATTCGATAATTTGCATCCTATTGCATGTTTTATCTCTTGTGTCTCCCCGATCCCTCCCCATTCTCACCGATACATTCCCTCCGTTGGTGTTACATGCTACATAAGCCATGCCAGTCCATCTCATTCTAACTGTGTCGTCCAGTCTGACAATAATCATCAACCGCCGGGACAGACAGTCATTCCTGAGCTCAAGGAAAAATCCCAGTGAGCGGTTGCGCAAGTTGGACAAGGTCTCGCCAACTTGCACGCTCGAGAAGTGGTGGACGACCACGAAGGGGAATCTCGGACTGTCTGAGGCCGTGGATGGACAATTCGTTTGGTATGTTTACTCTGCTTTGCCGGTAGAGTAGTGGCTGACGTTCTCTTCAGCGCCGTTTGTTTGGAGCAAGTAGACCGCACACAGGAAATCCGTGAACTGCGATGCTTGCACGTTTTCCACCGGGAATGCTTGGAGAAGTGGTTCTTGGGAGACCATTTCAATTGCCCGCTGTGTCATCGGGCCTATTTTGTGGCCGACACACCTCCCCGCAACGATTATCTGTGGATGGTATGACCCTATACCAGCCAGCGATCTGAGGGGACGGGATAACGCAATCAACGACGTGATGAATAAATATTTTTGGCTGTGAATGATCTTCACGATAATATAATGACCAATGTTTTAAGGCGCAAAGCCCTCAGTAAGAGGCATATAATCGGTGTTGAAGTCCCAGATCGTATTGTAGTTCGACCAATTGAGGAAGTTGTCGAGGCCTGTTGTGACATCGTCCACCACATGCTGCTGCACAGGCTGTGGATCGAGTAGTTGATCAAGGATGCGAGACAGCTTTTTCTCGGCTTCTTTGCAGGTGTGGTAATTGCCGTGACCGGGACCTGCGACCCACGATAGGAAAGAAATAAACACGCTGAGGTTTCGGATAAGCTCAGCGCGCGGGAGCGGAACAGCATGTGGGCCGGGCTCATGGGATTGCTGCAGGAGTTCAAGGAGAAGGACACTGGCGGAAGGAACGCCGTACGTGAGGACCTGTATTTATTAGCAAATGTTTCTCTTCCATGAATGGCAACCGCGGCTAACATACGATCCAAGAAAAGTGCCGATCTAGATCGACCATTGGGGTTCGGAAAGAATTAATCTGAATGACAATGGCTAGCACCCGACGAGATACGTCGCAAAGATCCGCTTGCCCGGTGTTTGTGTGCTTGACGACTGCTCGATAAAGCAAAAAGCAAGTGTATAGATAATCCAGATAGAAATAGACAATCGTAAGCCACCCATCATGGTAATGGTCGTTCGATCGCCGGTCATATCGAAGTTGATCCGGAGTGGATCGCCATATGGCGCGCGATTTTGCTTGAATCTCTCTGTTATACAAAGATCATGTCAGCACCAAGGAAACATGTGAATTGGACGAGAAGATATACTTACTCAGACTTCTGAATTAGATTGTGTTGCTCGCGAGTCCCCAGTACAACTTCAAGAGTTTCTTCCCGAATGATAGCCAGCTGATAGCGTACACGAGTTGGGGTTACTGGGTGTAACTTCCCTTCAGTATTCCATCCGGCGCTGTCTAGCTCGGAAATAGCCTTGCTAAGGACATCCCCACCTGCAGTCAGGACTTCATCGCTCAGATCCAATGGAGCAGCGAGTGTGCAGAATCGACCATTCATCAATGGCGGTCGTCCAACGAATGTTGCTATCATTTTGTCCATGTAGAAGGCAGCAATAAAGCAGCGCCTCCGCCATTGGCGAAGAAAGAATGGACAATTTTCGATGCCATTAGTCTCTAAGTGTATTCCAGCTGCATAAATCGTAGATACCAAGTCACCCAAACGACGCCATGCTTGATAGCCTAACATATGGTCAGTAAATCGATAGGAGAACAAATTATATAGAAAGGGAAAGCCTTACTGGAATCACCGTATTGTTGTGTTCGCAACATAGCATCATTGTATTGCAACATTGCCAGTAATTCATTTGCCGACGATGTCTGGTCACAGAAACCAAGGCATATTGTACTTATCACAGTCATCTGCTCTAGTAACTGGTCTTTTGCTCGAGGATCATCCGAGCCCTGCATAATGTCAGGGTCGTTTTCTAGCGTAATGACCAATTGCATTCCGCAAATAGCGAAGATAGACCCGAGGGCCTCCCATCGGAGGTTGCGACCGGTGAAAGAGGAACAGTACTCCTCAACCGACATAGACTTGTGCGTCCGCATCGGGCGGGAGGTATTTTGAAATATTTGATTCGCCAACTCTTGTAGTTGTGCCGTCGGATCGCTGGAGAACCCGTCAAAGATATCGCGCACCGAGCGCAGGAGTTCGTCCATTACCCTTTTGGGTACGATGTTGCTCCATGTCCGAACAAAGAATCGTGCAACCAGCATATCACACACAGTGAGATTATACAAAAACCGCAGTACATCAACCCCGGATTGAAGTCGATCAGGTTCCACTACCAACCCTGCAGAGGAATCTGTGCTTTCTTCAGCCTCGAACGAAATCTCACTGCGATGCTCAGTTAAAACTGCAGAGTAACTTGTCGAGCCAAGATATCCAGGAAGAGCTGAGGGTGGTTCCAATGGTGCGAAGAAGCGCCCATTCCCCAGTGACCCTGAGCCCGGGCTGGAAGCACTATTTCTACATATTAGTATGTGCCTATCATCTGTCACAGGAGATACTTACTTTGACTTTGGTTGACTAGTCAGTCGACTAGAAACTATCGCAGGGTTGACTGGATCGGAAGGTCTCCGCCTAGTCATCGGAGCTGGATGATAAAAACATTTATCGCTGATTCTTTTTGCGGTACATCGGCGACAGATCGGCCGGTCATGGTCACATCGTTGTTTGGATCTCCGACAGGGTTCACACGACTGCAAAGTGCCATTTTTGCGCGTTGCTGGCGATGCAGAACGCCGGTCGTCGTTTCTCATGGCTCGAGAGCCAATGCATAGAGGTATATGATTAATGCAAGAAAGGGACGCCGGGAAAAATGATACCCGCGATGGTTGGCAGTTTGCCTCGTCCGAATTAGGCTTAGCGTGCCACATCTAGGAAGTCTGAAGTATGAGAAAGTTGCTAGATTCTCTTCTTTATGCTAATACCTGGAATAAGGTATATTTTATTTGAGATTTAACCACATTTCCCTTGAACTCGGACTGCGTGGAGTCTTGTGCACTGTCATGTGGTACATTCGTTGTGAGTCCTCCAGAATACCAGAATATTACAAACATCACAAAGCTTAACAACAATTAATACACATACATCCCCTCAATATATGTCAAATTGTATTGCCCACCCAAGCAAAAATCTGAAAGCGACTCTGGGAGTTAAGTGCTAAAAAGCCCCTTGTTTGCTTCCACCCAGTCTTCGAACTTTGTGGAAGCCTTCCCCGTGTATAGCTCCACATTCTCCACACCAGTTTGGTAGTATGCGCGGTCCGTAAGCTCGTTCGATGTGCTTGCAGACTTTCGGATCATATATTCCCCAAATGGTTTAGGAATTCCACCCGCAATAAACTGGCCCAAGGCCTCCTCCTCATCGATGAGAGTAAGCTTAACGTCTTTGCCGATGATCTTTCCAATGGCCACAATAGCGTCTCCCTGGGCGATGACCCGTGGGCCATACAAATACACCTTCTTCTGGCCATTCTTTGGGCCCTGTACCAAGATCGTGCCGCCCACACGGCCTATATCGCCGGGTGTGATACAATCAAATTGGAAACCAGGTGCCCAAATCCTCACCTCACCAGCTTCAATCCCCTTTTTGAAGCGCAGTAAGTTCGTGATAAAGCCACCGGGTCTCAAGGCAACGTAGTTTTCAAGTCCAAATATCTCGTCGAGACTGACCTCAACCTGCGCATGGATGTAAGGGATGATGTCAGCAGGAGCAACGTCTTTTGGCTCTCCTGCGATGGTGTAACTGCTGAGGAAGACGACAAATTCAATGCCGGCTGACTTCATTGCTGTAAAGGTGGCTCTCATGTGATCAGAGGTTCCGAAAGCGACATATGTGAATGCACGCTTTGCCCCCGATGCTTTGACAGCTGCAGCGACGGAGTCGGGATTGGTCAAGTCCGCTTGGATTCGTTCAAATCCACCTTCTTGTTCTTGCTCTGTGCTCAAACCAGGAATTTGTTTCTGGGTGTCTCGCATGGCCAGGAAAACCTTGGCTCCATTCTCTCGGGCAGTGAGTGCCGCGACAGAGGCGACCCCGCCGGTGGGGCCAAAGACGATCACAGATGACATTGGGAGGAGATGGTCAAGTGAAACGGTTTATGATATATCAGATAAATGTATAAGGCAAATGTTGATGAATAGTCTGAGGACAATTTACCATTTATAGGGGAAATGATGTAACTCACCATCGCCCTCGGGCTTTAGATATTATCTCCGAAACCCTGTGTGCTTCTAGGCGGGCGGATTTGACTCTCTATCCGCTTTAAAGTCCGAGTCCAGGCCTTGGTCTCCAATACATTGGTGACTTTTCCTGCAACTTTGAATGTGACCATCTAGGAGTTGTTGAGCACGGTGTTGTATTTTTATCCGAAGTCATTCACAATTCTATAGACAATTAGTCTCAAGAAACTCGCTTTTTGAAGCATCAGGAAAAAATTACTAATACACCCCACTAAGCGTATTGATCCGCTTATAGTCACAATCAAGTCTCTTTACACTACCGTATTTGACAGGTATTTAATATTGAAGCTTAGGAATATACGTTTATCTCTATTATTGTCTGTATATTTTACTGAGGCTGCATGTTCCGTGTTAGAAGAGGCACAACTGAAAGTTATATCAAGCTCTAGAACTGCTTTTGACATGATATATGCTACCTTTACTGATCCCCTGCAATATCCTTTCTCATAAAAACCGTCCTTGTATCCCAAACCTTCCCATTCTTATCTGGGTCCTGATAATAATCCTGCGCAGTCTTGATCAATCGGTAACCTCGACGAGCATACCATTCCTGGTTTATAGTCTACAGACCATAAGTTACTTGACCGAGGACATCAAATTGTACAAATAGACTTACCTTTGGAATGCCACCATATGTGACATTTGCGAATTCTTCTCTCTTCTGATCATCTTTCTGTACTGTGTCTAGCATCAATATCTTGGCTAGTAGTGGCTCTCGGACTGCCATGGCCTCGACCTCATCCATTGCAGCTCGCCCGATTCCCCGACCCTGGATGGACCGTCTGATGTAGAATGTCTTTATCCAGAAGATGTTCACGGCCGGCAGATCAAGCTCAATGTGCTCCACATCAGGGTTCTTGGAATCCAGTGAAATGTGGCCAATGGGGATGAAGCTTTCTTTTGTTGGCTGGCGTGGGACAGCATTGATTGTTGTCGCTGTGTCTTGAAGCATTTCATTCTCCTAGTAGTCACATGTTAGCTATTTCCTTGGGTTTGCACTATTGTCTTTACTTTTGGCGATATCGCTTGTGACTCATCTGATGGCAAAACCTTTCCCCCAAAATGTCAGCGTCCTAGACTCATGTTTTTGTTGAATACAACAAGATTAATATTTGGTGAAACTCACAATCCAATAAATGCACTTCTCGCCTTTGAGCTGTTGCTTCTTCCATTTTGTCTCAACCTTTCCCTGGTCCCAATTGCATTCGACTCGCTGCGAAACGAGGCATTTCAGGTGAACATCCGAATTGGGATCCCAGGGGAACAAAGTTACTTTCGAACTTGAACTCATTGTGGTTTAAAATATACACTTGAACGTTGTAAGTATAACAATTAAAGAGAAAAGCGACCTCGGGAGGCTCTTCGTGATGATTTATAAGCTGGGGTTATCATTGATTTCCTCTGCCACTTCTTGGCGTTCCCTTTTCGTTCTAGTGCTCACGCCTGGTCGCCTTTTGCTCCTGAGAAGACCTAATCACGGCCCCGAGTGCCCTGATCCATTCACTGAGCATGAGCTGAGCTGGTTGGTACAACCAACCGACTATCAAGGACTAAACCTCGTCCATGATATTCCTCGTCCATGATATTTTCCTGATTGCCACCATCCCAAAAACATTTTTGATCTTGCTTTGATACAAGCACAGCGACAAGCCACGTTTCCCCGATGGCTTGACATGCATAAACCCACCACATACCTAAATTCGATGGGCCTCTATAATCTATATCATGCGCTACAACTACATATCCTATGAGGGATACTGGATCTCGCAGTCTATCCGTGGGTAATTGTCAAATGAGATATACATCATTTATTATATCAGGGTATTTTAGCAAGAGAATCCAGGCTGAACATCATGCTTGAATGAACATTCGCCATGGTCAAACTGTTGAATATGGAAAAGCATCAGAGCAAAGCTGCGATTGCGGCAGCAACCACAGGAGCAGCTGTGATAAATGCACCGGCAGGTCCAGCGGCCGCAGCACCGGGTGTTTCAGTTGCTGCGGGGGCCGTGAACGACTTCACTCCTCCAGTGACGTCCAACTCGTAGTAGCTGCTGGTTGCCACCGAAGTTGTCGCCTTGGAAGAGGATGAAGAGGCGGTACTACCTCCTCTTACGGTCCCACCCATGCTAGCGCTCATGGTGCAGCTGGCAGATTCGGACCAGGATTTGAAAGAGCAGTCATACGTTTCGGTGATGGTAACATCGTAACCGTCTGAGCCTGAACTGGTGGCGATATATTGTGCGGCAAAGTTAACGGTCTCGGGACCTTGAGTGATCGTCCACGAAGTAGCAATGTCGCAGTCTGATTTGGCAACGCCATCCGCACAACCGACATGGTATGTGGTGGCTTTGGCATTAATACCAGCAACGCTGGCAGCAAAGCTGGTAATACCAGGGAGGTTATTGTCCCACGTGGGGGAGAAGATTGCAACGGTGGTGCTGGTGGAATCCTTGGCCTGAGCACCGAGTGATGCGAGGAACGCAGCGGCAAGGATAGAGGAACGCATACTGATGGTGATTTTTCGGAAATTTCAGGGGAAAGTGCAGCAGAGAGGCAAGTCGACTAAAAGTTCAAGACGTCGGGGCAAACGCTTCCCTTTAAATAAAAAACAAACCAAGCTACTGTGAGCCTTCGCTTATCCGGCAACTGTGGACGCCTGAGCTAGGTTAGTGTAGACTAAGAGGGTACGTACTAGTAAAATGTGCTAGAGCCTGAGCCAATTTCTCACGTTCCACCCATTGGACCTTGAAACGTTGGGGCTGAACGAGAATAGGACTAGCATTAGGCTACCTTGCTAGCGTTACAACGGAGTAGTAGAGAACTTCGATTTTGGGGCCGCCGAAATAATACATTACGGGGGCTGTTACGGTGATATACGATATTTACCATCATTTACCACAGTATTGTATCTTACATACATCGAAATTACACAAGTGCATAATTCTAGATTGACACTACAATCCTAAAAGGACCTGCCAAGCGGTGGAAAACACACCTCCCCCTGAATTAATATTACTCCTTCAACTAAGAGGTACAAGAAGTATATAGGGGCACCCTATAGCTAGTATCGCAGCACAATAGACCAGTCCTCGTCATGCAATTTTGACACCATAGACTTGATATTGCTGAACGACACTCTCCATCCAAACCCCCGCGCAGTTTCTAATACCCAGGTATGGTCCCAAACGTATATTAGGACCGAATATATATACCGCTACAGCCGGAGGTTCTGATTGGTGTTATGATCTTTTGGCCTAGTGGTGAAATGTTCTTCTATAATAATCACCCAGGTGTAGTGGCTTGACTTTAGCTCTGGATTACATTCACCAAGTCTGAGTCCGGGCCAAAATATACACAGTGAGCCTGACTCTGAGCGCCCTCATAGAATCAGCAGCTAAGACAAGAAAGCCCCACCCGACAGAGGAAATATGGTACTTATGTTGTATAGCTACCTAGGTACTCCGTACGGAGTACTTGAGTTCCCCTACCACTTCTTGGCTTTCCCTTTCCGTTTTAGTACTCGGTCCTTGTCGCTTTTTGCTCACTAAGACTGAGGACGTCCCTGAGCATCCTAACTTGATCACGGGCCATCACATCAGCGTGATCCACTCACTCACTCGTCATCATCTGAGCACTCTGATTTGCTCACTGAGTGCTCACTGAGTATAGGGCACTGAGTATAGGGACGAACGGCCTAAGTAAGCTATATTAATAAAATGCGACATGCTAATCATAACATGTGTAACTCTTCTTAGTTAGATCGCCTATCACAAATGGGCTGGCGTAGTTAACGTGACCGTTCGATCTAACGGTCTTGATCCTATCCAAGGTGGGGCTATTTAATTGACCTACTATTTTCTTATTTCAGTCTATGCTCTTAGGCATACATCTCGGAATACTTCGCTCATAGGCCCGGCGATGCCCTAATCGGGTTTGGACTACTACTGGGGCGAGCGGTTGAATGGATTTCCTTGAAGATCTAGAACCCTTCGTTTATTCACCTCTACTCTACTGAACTACTTCGGCTTGCAGCCGCTTTATATCACAGCCAGTCTCATATTGAGTTTCACAGAGAACCTCTCAAACTGCCTTGATTTCCGGCTCATTCCGCTCCGCTTGACTTCATGTCGTACACCATCACTGATTCTTCGTGCCTTTCGTTTGACGAATACCCTCGGCAATTGCATATCTGACGACAGGCACCATTGAACATCTCTCTTTTATCACACCTCTCGCTTATCATCTCGACTCACAAACCTTGTGATTTCCGTCACTCGTCGACAACACAAGTGCATCCCTAACTTGAAGCGTGTTTGGTTCCCTCACACAGCAAGAACAAGCGTCTAATAGTGCCCACACCAACCAGCTTTGTTATAGTCTCTTGAGATTCTTGTCGGATTTATTAGCTCGTAGAAGTAAGCTTCTACAACAACTCTTCAATCAATCTCACATCACACCATACACTTAGACATAGCTCTTCTCCACAACCCCGTCCCCTCCAGCAACTAGGTTTTTACTTCATAGCCGGTGAGGGAAGTGGAGCATACAAGTGGGGAGGAGACAAGGGGTGATTCATTCATCATGCTTTCGCTTTACGCTCTCACTTCCCTCTCACTATCTGTAAGGTGGCATCCAGGCCTCTTCTCTCTACCTGCCACATCCAGAGAAGTCAATTGGTAGGTATACAAGATCAAGCACCCCTTGGGTTGCTATGCAGTTATCTTTATTATTGAGTTTACATGACTACATCGGCGATATATCTACGGGTGTGGACGCTTGTATAATGATGGGAGTTTTGGGCCGCTTTTTATATTTACAAATGGCCGGGCTGGTTATTTACAAATGGAGCCAGCCCTCCTTCCCAACCCATATGCATATATAATTATACAGGGGACCGGCCCCTTTCTCCTCCCATACCACCCGTGACAGCACCCCGACTCAACCCTGGCAACCAGCATTGTTGCCGGTGGTTACGGCGCTCTCAGACCCAGACTGACTACACTACAGAATCAACGGTCAGCACGTTGTTGCTATAAATCTAATGTAGCAAGCTGTCACATACCGTTGAATATTGAGCCGAGTCCACCAAAAGAACAGGCGTGTTGCCTCTCTAAAAAGGAGTGCCAACGGGGTCACTCCGCTCCGCCGACTTGGAGGGCAATTATTGAGCCCTTCTCAGTTTTCAGGCGAAGTAGCTCAACACTCACGGAGTCCTTGGTGGAGGGGAACTGGGGCTAAAAGAAAGTGTTAGAAAGAGGTCAACAAGGAGGCCTGAAAAGATCCAGACTTACCGGCTAGGGCGGGCAACACAAAAGACAATAAAAAATGCATAAGAAAGACATCTTGATGATGGTACGTTATACTTGCAAAATGATGTGGAGGTGAATTTCTTCCGTGGGCTACAAAACAGTTTTGTAGACTACAGGGGAAGCAATGACTTGTAGGGAAGGTACGAGCCTGTAATGTGACGTAAGAGCTTATTCGGGTAGGTACATTTTGGAGAAGAGGCAAGTCGGTGATCCGATGATATATCGCGTGATAAGCTCTTATATTATCTTGAAACAGGTACGTATAAAGCATTATCACTAGACCTTGCCAACTTCCACTAGACCAAAATTCTTTTAGTCCCATTACCCCGTCACTCGGAGTAGTGGGACTCCCATATAATCCCAGGCTAGTATAACTCTGTCAGGCATTTCCTGTTTTAGCCGTATGATAATGCCGGATAATCAAATAAAATTCAGATTATATAAATGATTGGCTATAACACTTACACAGATCATGTCTTTCTATATATTTAGACTATTTACAGTCCTATGAGAGTTGGCAAGGCCTACATCTAACTCCATCGCGTTTTTTAAGCGGGCCGGGATTGGGGGTGGAAACGGAGTATGAAACCCCTCAAGAACGTATAACTACCTAGGTAACGAAGCTAAAATCTAACCAATCCTAATTGACTGTCAACAACTTATAGAGCGTAAGGTGCTTTCTCCTGTTTTAATATCGTATTCATTGTCGGCAGGCCCTAGTTACCCAAGAGCTAAACATACTTAGTATGTGTTGATTCTGCTTTCGAAACATTTTGCTCAACCTCGTCGGTTGACGACGGTTTGGTCTCCTTCTCTAGCTCCGGCCTCACAGATGATTGAACATTTTCACCTGTGACTAGCTGGTGATCGAGCCGAGCCTTTTCCTCGTCCGTGGCGCCAGTAAGGTTAACAGCAACCTCCTCGCCGAAGTTTTTGGCGATTTCCTCTAGGGTGAGACCAGCAGTCTCGGGGAAAAAGAAGTAGATGACTACAATTTTGTTAGCGGATTTTGGTTGATGGGTCGATCTTGATGTGGTCGGGAAGAAAACGTACTCGGAATGAAGAATGCTGACCAGCAAATAATGACAAGGTAGTATTTCCAGCCCACATTGCCGAAGCCCATGGGGGCAGTTTGCAGGAGGATGAGGATGGCTAGGCGTGTCAGATGGAATTTGAAGGCGAGATGATAATGAGCAACTTACAAGCAAATTGACCGAAGAGAGAGAAGCCCATGCCAATTGGGCGGATTTCAGTCGGGAAAATCTCTGAAACGTAGAGGTACATAGTGGTGTCGCAGAAAGTACTGTAGGAATGTTAGCTCAATGCATTCAGCCATCTTGATACGTTGAACCTTGACTCACCCCTGGAAGGCCAGATAAAGGTACATGAAGAAGATACCGAATCCATTTCCGACTTTGTTGGCTGTACCAGCATACTGGGCAGTCATAGCAGCTAGACAGGATGTAGAGATGATAATGCCAACAAAGCCGATCATGTACATGCCGCGCCGGGAATTGACTTTATCATGGAGCCAGGCTCCTAGAGGATTGTAGATCAGCCCTGAGCCAGGTTAGTAAACGGGGTACAAAGTAGATCCTGGGTGTTTATCCTCACCAGCTGTTGTCAGCCAGACGGCACTTAAGAGCAGAGGCATACCGCCCTCCATGCCCAAGTTTGTGTACAAAAGAACGGCGTAATTGTTCTATCTGTTGTCAGTAAGATACATACACATTTCAATTAGTTTAGATCACTCACGATGATCAAGGGTCCGCCAAATTCAGCACCCCACTGGGTAAGGAAGCCGATAGCCATTCGCTTTCGGTATGTTTTCCTTGTAAAGACAGCCTTCCACACGCTGCCATAAGTAGCCAATCTCTCAGCCTCAAGTTGAATTTGCTCTTTCGTCTGGAAGAACTCTTCCTTGGCAGCCAAGTTGTTCGGGTCATCTGGAGATTCACGGAGCCGTTCGAGAACATGCTGCGCCTCATCGAATTTACCCTTCGAAATCAACCAACGAGGTGAACGTGGGAGCCAAGGAGATCCCAGAAGGAGCACCAACGCAGGCAGACATTGCAAGGCGAGAGGGAATCTCCAGCCAAACCCAGACAGAGGGCCTGTTGCATAGTAGCAAGCATAACCCACCCATCCTGAAAGCATATATCCAAAGACCAGGAATATGGCGTGGTGACCAACAAGCCAACCACGGCGCAGAGCACTCGACATCTCGGAAAGATACATAGGGCAGACGGTTACAAGGATACCGATTCCAAGGCCGCAGATAAAGCGGCCAGCCTGAAACATACTGAAATCTGTCAGTGCCAGTCCTATTTCAAAGCAGGAGAAGTGACATACGCCAGTGAATTAGAGCCGGCCTGAAGTGCTCCCCCAAATAATGAAAAGAAGGCACCGAACTGGATGTTTGCCTTTCGGCCAAAGAAATCACACGACCACATTATAAAAAGCGCACCAACAGCGCCGCCTGCACTGAATACACCGTTTGCTGTCGATATCGCGGGGGTAGTGATGGTCGCGTATCCCGGTTCGCCCTCAACGGGCAGGCCGAAGTAGGCATACCATCCTGGTTGGCCGATTGTACTGGAGATAATCGAAGAGCAATATCCATATGTCTATTTGTGTAAGCTTAGTAAATTGCTGCCAAGTGAAGTTATTTGCGAGCTCACCATTGACCCAATAGCAACAAAAACAATAACTAGCCTGTTATAGGAACTGGTCTGAGACCCGAACCTACCCATGATGATCTGTTGTAGTTCTTACGACTCGCAAAAAAAAAATAATCAAGGGTATACAATAGAACAGACCAGCATCAGGTATGAATGAGGGAAAAATTTCAGCACATGTCTGTAGCCGACAACAAGAAGGGGGGCCTCGTAGGGGTGTTACTTTGTGGAGTTATGGCCCACTGAGCTGCATAAAGCTCATGAAAACACGACTGCCGATCACGGCACATAAACCTTGAGTCCCGACTCTGAAATTGCCTATAGTGAATACGTTGGAAGTTAATCAATGTTCATTTGCCGAGTGAAATTCTATTCCCATGCTGTGTATGTACCTATACCCCTGTATGTGGGTGCATGTACCCAAATTTTAGGCTGAGGCTGCGGCTGCAACTTGCCCGATTGGGGGTGCCGCCGCTTTAAGCGCTCAGGGTCATACTACTACTTCCTCACTGACCTCGGGAGTATTTTACAGCACAGGACAATTATGCATTTATATATTCCGTTCCTCTATTTTATAGACTCATCACCACTCACTCTTACTCTCAATACCCGCAACCCTATAGAACAGGAAAGATTTTGTGGCTATTGTAACAACTGTAGCAAACTGTCAGTGTCCATCTGGTTAGTTACAAGTCTGCTGTAGGGTCGCCTCAGGGAAGGGTCACTTGCAAATGTTGAAGGAATGGCTGTGTTGTAAGAGTCTATAACAAGACGTAACAGTCAGGGAAAGTTATGCTCAGTAGTTTCATGTATATGAGCAGTTCCAGCGGCAGATAATAAAGCTATCTGAGTGGCATTTAGACCAGCATAGTGGGCCAGTTCTTGGTCCAGAATTGAATGGAACGCGATACTTCCGAGAACCTGTGTGACTGTGGCCCCGAGGTACTGGAGAATAAATTGAGAGTAACGGCAACGGGCATGAGATCCGGCTTAATCTCGTACTGCTAGCTGGACTATGAGAGAGGGCATCTGCTGGGCCATGCCGACCCCGAGACCCTGGATGACTTGGAAAGATGAAAGTAGCCGGTTCTCAATTGTACGTCCTTGTTCAGATTAGAAATCGGTGGTCGCTGGAACCTGGGGCCTATTCGGCCCGGGGGCGGCCCCGGGGGCACCCGTCCACAGGGTCTATGGGTCTACGGGTCTACCTACGGAGTTTGACTGAGTCTGACGCTTATATAATTCTCAGGGGACACCTGGGCAAGTGCCTAGTTTTCCCCTGTGAGCAAAAAGCGGCAAGAAGGTGAGTACTAAAGCGGAAAGAGAAAAGCCATGTTGCGCGGTCTGAAATTCGGTGTATAATATGTTCTCCGTGAGGGTGCAGTTGCGGAGTCACATTATAGTGGGGATCCATTCCAAAGCTAGGCATTGAGTCCACAAATTACATATCCACTACAATGTCAGAAAAAAGGTCCTTGCGGTTGATGCTAGTGCAAAGTATGTAGTTCATTGCATAAAGTTTTATTCAGGAGACTACCGCATCCTGGGCCCTACTTTTTATACCATTTGCTCACAACCCCAACTAGCAGAAACGACAATAGAATAGCGGAATGATGGCCCAGTCTCCCTTTGACACCCCATTTGATCAGCTCCCGAATCCAAAACAGGTTTGGCTAGGAAAGCCAGGTAGCCATGAAGAGGGTCTGGGGAAACTAGCTATTCTTACCCCTGAAGTCGTTGCCGCAGCTTCTGCCAGCGAGATCAGATGTGGTCGACGCGTGACGATGGGATGGGAAATGACGAAATTGGATTTTCCCAATCTCAACCGCCAGCCATGTCATCATCAGATTGTGTCTCTTCTGGGAGGGGTAGCATTCGATGATATCTATACTATGAACCCACGTGAGTTGAGAGAAATTCGCTTTTCTCCCCTCCGTTTCTTTTTTGCAATATATTAACTATTTGTCAGAGCAAAGTAGCCAGTGGGACGGTCTGCGCCATTTTTCTCAGGCAGTGCCTGGTCAATCTGAACGTATGTTTTATGGCGGAACAACCAGTGAAGAAATCAAGGATCGCCAAAATGATCGAATTGGTCTCCAGCATTGGGCCCGAGAGGGAATTGCAGGTACTCATCCCCTTCATGAAACCACTGATACTATCTCACACCATTATAATAGGACGTGGAGTCTTGATTGACTACGCTACATGGGCTGAGAAAAAGGGGATTAAATATACCACATTCTCGACCCACCAAGTGCGTTTTGCCGACATCCTCGAAATTTCCGAGGAGAACAATATCACGTTCCAAAAGGGTGATATTCTTTTTGTTCGTATAGGAGTCACCAAGGAGTGGGACACGTCCATGACAAACGCCCAAAAACAAGCTTATTCGGATAACCCCAGCCCAGAGCATGCTGGAGTTGAGGCAACCACAGAAGTCCTCCGCTGGCTGTGGGACACCGGGTTCGCCGCCATCGCCAGTGACGCAATCAGTTGGGAGGTGAGCAATATGAGAAATAGACCCCAAAGTTCTTGCAAGTCGATCAAGGAAAGCAACTAACAGACCCACAGGTCTACCCACCACAATCTCCTGATATCTTCCTCCATGAATATGTGCTTGCTGGATGGGGAATGCCGATCGGTAAGTTGCCGGAGGGCTTTTCTCCGAGTTTCACGAGAACCATTATACTGACCGATAAAAAACAGGGGAACTGTTCGATCTTGAGGCGCTGGCACGCACCTGCCAAGAGCTCCAGCGGTGGAGCTTTTTCGTGGCATCCGTGCCTTTGAACATGCCCGGTGGGGTTTCCTCGCCTCCGAACGTGATGGCTATCTTCTAGGTCTAAACTTTCTATGGAGTACAACATATCTGTACAATGTATGTTGTATGGAGTGGTTTGCCACATAACTAGTCAATCAAGCATCCGATAATTGCCGGCACTAGGCAAAATTTCCTAGTGTGTGAACCTTATTGCCCGGCTATTGACTCGGGTGGTGCCGCCCCGCTCCAGGTGTGTAAATGCCATGCTAGCCCAACTACAAAGTACCTAGATTGTACGAAAGAAGCGCTTCCGGGGAACAACGAGGGCAACTCGGGTGCGATCAATTGCCTTGAATACGTTGTAAATTATATAGATTGTGGGCCGAAGGCTCGGGGCGAACGTACTACTCCGTAGTGGGAAAGGAACTACTATTTACACATCGGCATGACAACAGGTCCTGCTTCAATACCCGCTTAGCACACAGTATGAATAATAATATGCAGTGCAATTACCTAGCAGAGATAAAATAGAGAGTACACTGTGGATTTTGCCTCGTATTTTTGACTTCGCTTTTCCTTCGGGGCCAGGCTGCCAGAACTTAGCCAACTCTCCACCATCTGTGCAAGTTCCACTATAATTGACGAACCTGCATCATCAAATCATGCCGTCGTGGGTCCTTAAGAAAACATGCTCTGCGCCACCATGGATGATGGAGCCGTTTGGGTCCACTTCCCGTACAGACTAACTCAATTTCAAGTCTAGATTCCACTCCGAACATCGATATCATCAGGGAATATGCGAGCCTTTTTATGCATATGTATGTATGCCTAGGCTGAGTTCTTGATATAGACATTCGATTGACTTTATCCCAGTGAGTTTAAATATTTTCTTGCTAGGGAGACAGGTCCTCTATGTACAATGGTTCATTTAAATGACAGCATGAAAGCTCAAATACACACCACCATGTATTTTGTGTGCAAAGTCTCCAGCTTGCACTAGGAGTTACCTAGGTACACATTGTGCAATTTTCTCATACGTTGTCTGAGCTTCTTACATTATAGTGCCAAAGCAAGGCAACAGAAAACAAAGTTAGCAAACCGAATTGCCGAGGAACGAATCGTTTTCTATCATTTTACTCTCCACGGACCTCCTGCGTCAAGAAATAGCCTCGGATATATGTTTCTGTTTGTGAGCAAATAACAAATTTCTGTTGGTTCTTCTATTTCAGGAGAGCCGATCGTGGGTGATCAGTAGCCCGATTTCGATTATGCAGCTCGTAAAAGCATGTCCGTTTGAAATTTTAAACAAGGATCCTTGAAGCAAATTTTCGGGGATTTTGAATTTCGAGGTTCTTAGCTGCAGAGGTCATTATATTATTGCTTAAAGTCGGGGCCATCTTGAAACACCTGGCCCCCGTTGCTGATTCTAAACTTACAAGAATACATGATGCATTCTATGTCATTGTTAGAACGAGACTCTGGGGATGCGTCCATTGATCGGAGTGTGCAACAATGGAACTACGCTTGCCAGTCATTATGTATCATCGGCATGACAGCCTTCTTCGCTCTTCGTGTTTATACTCGATTGTTCATCCTCAACGGATTTGGGAAAGAGGATTGTGAGTGAAATATTTTCATAGAACTGTACAGAGCATAAATGCTGACAGCCTTTAGGGACATGTACAGTTGCTTGGGTAGGACCACCATATGGAAAGAAGGCAACATGGGCTAACGAAATATCTCAAACAGTTTCTCGGTCTCTGTTACTCAATCATTGCTCTCCTCAGTATGTCTCTAATGCCACAGGCGACAAGCTATATCTAACGCAAAGACAGTGGGTCATTATGGAGGAGGTTTACACTGGTGGGATGTACCCGATGAGAACAAGATTCCTTACCAAAAGGTATGCAAGGCACTTCCATGCTCGACCATCCCAACTTCTGACTCTCTAGACTATCTACGTAACAATGGTCATGTACGGACCAACAGCCTATCTCACCAAAGTGTGCCTCCTCTGGATCATGACTCGTGTATTCAGCCCCTTCCGAAAATGCGTCATCTTCATTAGGATTTTTATGGGCATCATGCTGGCCTACTACATCCCTGCTGTCATTGTCAAAATACGAATCTGCAGCCCCATCGCCAAATTCTGGGACCAGAGGATTGACGGTACATGTTTAGACCAGACATCGATCATCTTGGCTGATGCCGTCGTTAGTGTGGTCAGTGATATGATCATTCTCATCTTGCCATTGCCTTTGACTTGGACTCTGCAAATTTCTACGAAGAAGAAGATGCGGGTTATGGTTATCTTGGGGGCGGGCGGCGTGGCTGTTACGGCCAGTATCGTCCGCTTGGCGCTTATTGTCATTACCGGACAGTCGAAGGATGTTTCTCGTGCTTTTATGAGAATCAATATGCTGGGGTATGTTCCTCTCAGCCTATTCTTTTGACTATACATTCTAACGGAGACATTCTTTCTAGTAACGCAGAAGTCTCCATCGGCATTATCTGCACCTGTCTCCCTTCCCTTTCGGCTCTCATCATCCGCATGTACCACGAATATTCCAGTAATAAAGCAACTCGCGAGTCCGACTATAAAATGAGCTCGATGCAAAACCAGGGCACAGTGAGCCGAAGCAATAATCAAATGAGTGCTAGGGTGACAGCAGACTCAGATGAGGACGGGCTCATGTACAATGCACAGGGAAATCCGAAAGTTGAGACAATCATCCGCGGTAATAGTGAGCAAGGAGGTCCGCCAAAATTGGCATTCGATGGCATAGGAGTGACTCGTTCTGTTGATGTATCGACTTCCGTGGGGCCTCAATGACACAAAGAACGATGCCAATTTTGATCTAATTATAAAACAACCTAGAAACATCAACTATAGAGATAGATCAATATGTCTCATATATATAACAATATGCCTCTTCTTCTTTGTGATATATTTACGTATCATATCTTGTTGAGAAGAAGCTGAGTCCTACATTATGCCTTATACCGTCAGGACTAATGCAAACGGCCCAGAATCAACTGCTGCCTGCTCCAGCCTGGCCTGGATATGCAGGCCACCGTACAATGTCAGATGCAATTTCCCTTGTTTGCTCCCTGTTTCTGGTCTTCTGGCATCCCATCTATAGCATCCATGTATGCAGAGACCGTCTGCTTCCTCTAGTCTACTTTCTCGTGGCACCCTTCACTTCATCTTGTTTCTCTTTGAATATATATTTCTTTTGCGTTTATTTTCCTTACCCCCGTTGGTATTATTCCAATGCGGCTCTACCAAGCCTGATCTAGTGTGCAATTATGCTCTATAATTCATTTACTATGAATACTTGATACCCTGAAAATCTACATATTAATCCAAAGTTCAGTCCAGGGCAGGCCTTACGGTACTACGAATATATTCATTCACAAAGATACTGCAGTGATATGTCAAATATTATCAAGTCGGGTTGTATTGATAGATAATAATATCGTACTGGGTTGTTTTAGAACCATCATCTTACTAGCGTAAACTGCACATGTGGGTGGGTTTCTTACGGAGGGGTACCACTCCCGTACAACATAGATTCCTATACACAACATGGTATCCTCCATGTTTCTCACACATCTCCCAGCCGAGATCATCTACATAATTGCCAAGTTTCTCAAGGGATCACGTCACCTCAAATCTTTAGTGCAAAAATGTCGGCGGATACACCTGCTGCCGAACACAACCCTCTACGACAACAACAGTAGCTCATTACATGGTTTCCCCCTTGTATAGGCCGCGAAGCATTGCTCTGAAGTGACTATCCGCCGAGCATTTGATGCTGGAGCTTCCACACACTTTTGCCATTACAACCTTAGAAGGTCGCTTGTCGCGGCAGTGAAAAACAGTCACGAGACTATCGTGCGCCTGATACTGGAACAAAACAAGGATTCTAATATATTCATACAAAACCAGAGTTGTGAGCTGTGTGAAGATCGGAGACCTGAGGTGGCCTCAGAAACTACACATCCACTATATTTGACGGCAGTGAGTGGCAACGTGACCATTGTCAAGCTCTTGCTTGCCTATAATATCCATTTCAAAGATTGCCACCTATACTGCAGAATAGTATGTCCCTATATTGTATTTACAGCTGTAAAAAACGGACACCTAGCCGCTGTGCAATGTCTCATCGAGGCCGGCTACGCCTGCAACGACAATCGAAGCAGACACTCGCACGAGACACCACTATATGCTGCAGAGAAGAGTCATTCTTGGGAGGAGAAAAAATGGCGAACCTGGTCTTGGATCGGGGGTTGTTGACGATTGACCCTGAGAGCATCGAAGCGCAAGAAGGACTATCACACGCTGTCCATATGGGGATGACTGGGGTGGTGAAGCGGCCCCTTGAGCGAGGAGTCGATCCCAAAGTACCCTTGCTCGAAAATCACCCATCCTTGCTGGCAGCTGCAACCTATGGCTTTTCCACCGACGAGGTAATCGAAGCTGTAGCCATCATCCTTGATCTGTTGATAGCCCATGGTGCTGTTATCGAGGAGTGGGGTTATCTTGCCACAACTCCCTTGTACCAGGTCATGGTGCATATCGATTGGGGGAGAGAATTGGATTGCGATCAAGCAAAGGTACGACTCTTGCTGGAGAGAGATGCAGATCCCTCCGCTAAGCATGGTGATTACTGGAGTGCCTTCGTGTCAGAGACATGCGATGCCTACGCGAATTCCGGCTCACTATACAGGAGTAGACAGTCAACTCACAGTCCCGATACCAGGGCATCGGCATCAGCATTAACACCAATTGGCTATTATCCCTGGAAACTAGAAACGCAGTACAGAGCTGCGACATGCCAAGAGCGACATTACGACGACCCATTTCTAGCCTGTATGAGACTGGGCGATAAAGCAGTGCTCAAGCTTATGCTCGAGGCAATTGAGAATGGGAGTCTGCACTTTCTACCCATTCTAGAAGATTATTACTGGTCAAAAAGATATCCATGCAAGTAGGAGAAGATTCATTCACAATATCAATATGTTATCTGCAAATAAAGTGGCTTGAATAATGCTGAAAGGATCCGCTCAAAGGTATAGATGGAAGAAGTACTCTACGCAAAATGGAAAACACGCAATCAAAATCAAGAGATCTTATCAATCCTCTTCCTACCAATATCCATCTTGGATTTCAATCTAGATATATCGTTAGTAAAGTGGGCCAAAACAAGTGCAAGAAGTGAGAAAAGGGCGTGGACGAACATATCAGCCTCCTCATCCGCCAACCTCAGCAGATCATTCTGCACCTCGAGCTCCTCATTAATCTGCGTGCCGAGTTCCCTCTGTCGAATAATGATCTTCCTCAACTCGTCCACATTATCATCCTGGCTCTGCATCATCTGCCTCTGCAACTGTAGCACACCCTCGTTGTCAAGTTCTCGAGTCCGCTCGGTCTCTTTGCCAAGGACCCTGCCCGTCCGTGTCGGCGTCCTACGCCCACTGAACGCATCTCCAGCGACATTCCCAGCATTGATTAAAGCTCCTTTATCTTGGATGGATGCGACAGTATGATCAAGCCGGCTCTTAGTTGCCATAGCATGCAAGAGATCCTCCAGGCCGTCTTTCTCCTTGCGCGCATTAATGAGCAGGTCCTTTCGTCGGCGGATCTCGCCTCCACCGAGACTGGACGACTGTGATTGGGAGCCCTTATCTCCGCGTCCTAGGTTCTTCAGTCCATCGTCCAGAGTGGTGATCATTGTCCCCGCACGGACAAGACTGCCCTTCGCCTGTGCAGAGCTCTCATGTTGCTTCTGTGGAGTTGTCTCCTGGTCTCTGCGAGATAGTTGTAGTCGTGCATCATGGAGGTGGTTTTTCATGTCGCGGTAGTAGTCGAGCCATAGCGTCGGGTCTGTGATGGGTGCGTTCGTAGCGGCTGGGTCTGTGATTGCGGCGTGGAGTCGGCTGGAGGTGGTTGTTGATCCAGTGCCCGTCGATGCGACTGCGGTGGGGAGGTTGAGGAATGCACGCCACGCGGGCGAGGTGCGCCAGCGCCCATCTTCGGCCTCGTTAATCGCGCGAAGGTACTCCTCTAGGCCGCGGCGGCGGTCTTCGCGCAATCGATCATTCGAGACGGTTTTTGAGAACCATGTTTTTGAAGGTAGGGGAGCTGGTGGAGGGGCATTCGTTTGGGAGATGAGGGCACTGTGGAAGGTTGCGAAGTCCGAGTAGCGTTTGGGAACCGTGAAGGAGCGGAGCGGGAGGCGGAGGGTGATGTGGTAGACAGTGTATGGCGGGGAGGTATGTGAGAGGGTGGCATTCGGTATCGATATCTCAACGGTTGGCGCCATTTTGATTAGAATTGGAAGGAAAATGACATTATTCGCAAAAGTTGAGGAAAACAAAGAGATGACGAGCTGCCCAGGAGAGGTCCCTGGGGGCGCATGACGCAAACCTTGGAAAGCTTAGACCAGCCTGGTAGGCACCCGATATGCCCTATGATCTATGACTAGCCACTACATACGTATAGAACACAAGACATTGGCACGTTGTAACACGGAATTAATATTAAGTAACAATGGGTATCTCATACATGCAAATCAAATCCATTTAATCCCAGACCTCTCGTTCCTGCAACAGATCCCGCTGGCCAAAGAACTCACCAACAACCGTGATGATCATGTCGAGCAGGGCATGGGTCTGTATCGACCAATCGTCTTCTTCTTCTTCCTCGTCGCAGCTAGCAGGCATCTCGGCAGAGTCTGAATTGTTCTGCAGCCGAGCTTGCAATCGCGCCTTGGCTGCCTCCAAGTCGGATTCTTCAAGTGATGCATCAGGCATGCTAGAGTCTTGTGCTTCTGCAGGCTCCGCCAATTCTTCTTGGTTGCTTTTCTCCTCACTCTGAACTATAGGCTCCAGTCGAGCTTCTTCCTTGGTCTCTTCTTCGCCTTGGGCTGTAGGTTCGGGCTGAGTTTCCTGCTTGGTCGCTTCCTTATCCTGGACTGTAGATCCCTGCTGAACTTCTTCCTTGGTATCTTTCTTATCCTCGATGAGATTACCCTGCTGTGTTTCCTCCTTTGGTGGATCGACCACAGAGGAATCGACCTCCTCCTCATACTCGTCCATCTCTAGCTCTTGCACCTTGCGCAAAATTGTCGCGGCTCGTTTGCCCAGATTTCGAACAACTCCCACCTCTCGGGTAGAAAGCTGCCCAACCTCACGGCACTTCCCTAACAAGCCCCAAGCCCAGGCTCCAATGCGCCGTACGCGCTGGGTGTCGTCGCCCCGCACAACATCAGACATCATCCGTGCTAGTATTTCCAGCACTTCTAATACGCTGTCCATGTCCATGCTTGCCAGTTGAACCATGCGTGGTTCGACTGTGACCAAAAGCCGGCGCCATATTTTATGCGCAGATCCGGCCTTTCGGGGGAGACTGATAGGGTGGTCATTGTCAAGGGTGTTGATAGCACCAGCGGGTGGACTGCATCGCAGGGTCGATCGCAAGAGGAGGAATCGATGTCGGAGAAGATTGTTGTAGGATTTTTGCGTATCGGGATAGAGTTCATCGAGCTTTGAGGGGGAATGTACGGCCTTGTTTTCGTCCACATCCTCCGCAGGAGCAATATAGGCTTCGTCCTCGTAAAAGCCTGCTGGCAGAGGAAGGTTATTTGGTTCAAGTGGCTTCAGATCGCGTTTCGTGTCCGATGCTAGATTTGAAGAGTCTGTAGTTTGAGTAGGCGCAGAAAAAAGGACCGGTAGTGAGTTTGCTTCGGATCTATCGAGCAAAAATTAGTTCAAACTTGAATCAAGATATGCGCAGAACTTGGAAAGTCTCGGCATCGTCTAGGGGGTTAAACAGAATCTTTTTAGATTCAAAGTCAGACATACCGAACCATGCGTAGATATTCCAATCCATCCTCCGGGTCATCATATGGCAATTCATCGCCTCCATCATCCAACCCCGGGAATGCGCTCTTCTGGCCATAGAGGGGATTATGGCGGGGACGCTCATAAGACGTCGTCGAAGATTCGTCATCGTCATAATCGTCGTAAGATATCCGAGGACGTTTCAAGGAGGGGGGTGACATGATGGCTTTTCTCTTGTTGGGCATAGTGAGGTGAAGGTGGTAGGTAGCCCTGTAGAATTGAAGGAGCTTGGGCCAATCTGCAGACCGGCTTAGAGTCCTTGCAACAAATATGGACTTGACCACCTATTTCCTTAATGTGATAAGAGACTCAAAACATTAAAAGGGGTTATTTGCTAATTTGAGACTGATATTTCCGATTTTTTTTGGCTATTATAATCGTAAATCTAACTCGAAATTGGACATGTATACAAGCAAACCAAAGGCGGTGTACAATAAATTGTTTATCGAAGGCGGGGACCTGCATCTGCCGGAAAAAAAGATAAGGATCGTCATCGTACATGCTCAATTATTGACTCTCAATTCACCCCTCATGTCTTTTTTTATCATTTGCTCTCCATATCCTCTCCTTGGACCTGTTTCTACTAGTCTCAATTGACAATCTGTCCTACTCTACTTCTCAATTAAGTGAAGGAAAATTGACCTAAAAATCCCGCTTTACTTGAGATGACCTGTGTCTTTGCCTCTCTCGGAAGCGGTTCAGTCTCTCTGTTGCCTCTTCGTCGCCATCTTCATCCCTGATTGTTACGCAAAATTACACACAATATTTCGGACACGCTGTTGCCTTTCTTTACGATGTCTATTTGAAAACTTCTTGTTTGACTTGGAAAATGTCAAAGCTGGTCGATTCCTCCGAAGTCATGACTTCTGGCCGATATGTTCATCTCCCTACAGAGGTCTTAGTACTGATCGCCGAGTATATTCATGAAAATTGGTACAATTCCGATCCTCACATCTCCCAATGCACACTTCAAAGGTTCTGCTCCGTCTCTCGCCAGTGGTACTCTGCTGGCATTGAATCTCTCTACTCGCGGCCTCAACTTGATGAAGGGAACAGCTTCTTACTTTTTACCAAAACTGTGTGTCCACCGATTCGCTCCCGAGAACGAAAAGTGCACCTGGGCTCGCTCGTTAAGGTCCTGAACCTCGGAGCATTGGTGCATCACAGCTCCAATAGCCTGACGGCACGGCTCCTAGGTCAAGTGAAAAAGAGCCTAAAGACTTTTGTTGCTCCGAGGGTCTCGTTTTCGTGAGTAAATACTGCGTATCACGGCATAACATACAGTCTTAAGCTAACCTCTCTCTGTAGAATCAACAGCCTTGCGCCCTTAGCAAAGTGCAAAGAGCTTTCCTATCTTTGTCTTAGCTTGGTGGCTGAGCCAATCCCGCTTTCTGCTATCAAGAAAGCCATTAGCAGTCTTGACAAACTGAGATTCCTCCAGCTTTCATCTTCAATGTTCATCACGGATGACGGTTTCAGTGAAAATTGGCCACCCAATCTGGGATACCTCCAGGTTGGCGGGCAATTTGATCTCGAGAAAATGTCTTTTTTCAGGTGGCCCCCCAACTTGATAGGGTTGACATTTTGTGGTTGCGAAGATCTGGACACTTCCGTTCTGGAAGAGATTCTTATCAACGAGCAGCTCTGCACCTCGCTTACTGAATTGACTATTCACCGTTTGAACCGCGAGATGTTTAAAGAGGGACCATCTGAGATCTTATCAGCACTTGTTGCTTTGAAATCTCTTCGGATACCCGTCGATTTGCTTTACGACTTACTCATTCTTCCTGCGTTTGATCCAATGGGGTCTCCAATGTCGATCCGTCAGCTCGAGCTCACAGCACCATATGATGAAAATTTCGCTACGGAGATTGATCCCGATGAGATTTGCAAGGCCTTGAAAATGAATCTTTCTCGAGTGTGCTATCTTGGTATCAGCCCTGGCTGTCTTGGGGTAATACCGGAAACAACGCATGCCAAAATTGACAAGTGGGTGTGGAAGAATATTGATAAGTGTCCTGAGGAGGAACTTGATTCTCTACTTGACTTGGGTCTTGTTGTCATGGATAAGGAGCCGATTTAAGTGTTCATGCATTCTTATGCATTCTTTTATACACCCGTGGACGTCCATCTGTTTACATTAGCCTTTTATGAATCATGTGACTGCCCCTACAGCGATTTTCTGAGCGTTACACAATATCACAACCTGCAAAACAGACTTGATGAAGCGATAGCAGTAGTAGTTAAACTGGAGAAGATACTTATTTCAAGAGTATAATGATGCACCAATAGCGACAACCTCGGCTGAGCCGTGATTAACTTGGGTTTATTCCGTATTTGATTCAAAATCCCCACCCCTATGTATTTTTAAAGCTTCAAATGAAAGGGAAGTGTAAGGTTGAGAGTTGCAGATGTGGAGAGTGGGGAAATGGAATTTCCACGGGAAAGACCTGGCACGGGAACCTAGCAATGACGTACATTTCCTTTTTGTACACATTCCCTACTTCCTGGGCACTACCACAATGAGGTCGCAAACCCTATGGCGGTCATTTGGCCTATTGCAGCGCCAAACTCTCTCTTCTCATAAAACCATAACCCGCCGAGCTATCCAAACAGCTAGTTCTCGACCGGTCCCCAACTTCGCATTTGCATTCGAGTGAGTCTTAACCGAACGCAATCCACTCGATCTTCTTCTCACATACTACAGCATCGATGGCGTCCTCCTCCGGGCCTCGAAACCTATACCCGGTGCCGCCGACTCGCTGGCTCTCCTGAAGGAGCAAGGCATCCCCTTTCTTCTACTCACCAACGGCGGCGGCAAACACGAGACAGAGCGTGTCGCAGAAATTAGCGAGAAACTAGGGATTCCACTGGATGCTACGGACATTGTGCAGAGTCACTCGCCCTTTGCTGAGCTAGTCAAGGGATCGGACGAGTCGAGCGCTTTGGAACACAAGTGTGTGTTAGTGGCCGGAGGCGATGGGGATAACTGTCGGCGCGTGGCAGAACAGTATGTCAAGGACCCCTTTCTGTTGCTGAATAGTATAGGCTAAGCAATGGTCATAGGTACGGTTTTAAGAATGTTGTCACCCCTGCGGACATTTTCATGGCCAACCCTGCTGTCTGGCCGTTTTCGAATCACTTCAGCGACTATTATAAAACATTTGCTCGACCGCTTCCGACTCCCATTGACTTCAATGATCCATTGAAGAGTCTAAAGATCGACGCTGTCTTTGTGTTCAATGACCCTCGTGATTGGGCATTGGACACTCAAGTTATTATGGACCTCCTCCTCTCGTCGCAAGGTCGTATAGGCACATTGTCTGAAAAGAACGGCCGAATTGATCTTCCCAACCATGGATACCAGCAGGACGGCCAACCCCATCTGTACTTCTCTAACCCAGATCTGTGGTGGGCCGCCGCCTACCCCTTGCCCCGTCTTGGTCAGGGCGGATTCCGCGAAGCGCTGGAGGGTGTTTGGGCTGCGACTACAGGTGGCCCCAGCAAAGGTATTGAGTTGAAGAAGACCGTGATCGGCAAACCTTATCAACCCACCTACGAGTTTGCAGAGCGTCAATTGCTTCGGAACCGACTCAGAACATTTGGAAGCTCTGCAGAGCGCACACCCCTGGAAAGAGTATACATGGTTGGTGATAATCCGGAGTCGGATATTCGAGGAGCCAACTCCTATCGTAGTGAAATTGGCAGTAGCTGGCACTCGATCCTTGTCCGCACTGGAGTATACAGTGGCGGGGAGCCCGCTTGGATTCCTCGGACAATTGCTGACAATGTGCACAAAGGTGTTCAATGGGCACTGAAGAGCTCGAACTGGCCTGCTGCGTGATTATCAAGAGACGCTAGACACTATATTGATTGAAGATCAGCATGAATATGGCGTCAATTGTATATTTATGTGTTTATTCTAGATAGCTACCAGCATCAACCCACACAAGCACGTAGAATGCATTTCATTCAAGTTATAAAGTAATGACAAATACTCGAATGACTGATTTAGATGCATGTATGTGTATACATTCAAGCTGGTAGAGTTTAGATCTGCGCTCAGTCCCCACACCGCCTACCCCTCTTAGGGCTTGATTATTCGGCGGGGTGAGTCAACGGAACACTTTTCTCTGCAGCTTTACTTACAATCAGCCTGTTGCATTAAGTCCTGCAAATTCCCCAGGATACAAAATTATTGAGGTAGGATCCCCCGCCTCCAACCCAACACTTTGCCCCCTCTAATTGTCCACGCAGCACAATGGCCGACTCCGAATTGCCCCACCGTCCCAAGCCCGAGGCCCAGGATGCCTCCGCTCCCGCCGCGGAAGGCGAGACCAAGAGCGCAAGCAAGAACGCTCTGAAGAAGGCCGCAAAGGATAAGGCCAAGGCAGAGAAGGCTGCTGCGCGTGCGGCCCAGGAAAAGGCCCAGGCCGCCGCCCAGGAGGCCAACGACACGGCCAAGGATCTATACGGTGCCCTCCCAGAAACCGAGGACGTCCTCCCCGCTACACGATTCAGCGAACTCTCCGAGGAACACTACGAGAAGGAAGTGACAGTTGTGGCGCGTGTGGACAATGCGCGTGTGCAGAGTGCTAAGCTTGCATTCTTGATGCTGCGCCAGCAGGGACAAAAGGTGCAGGCCGTCATTGCGGCCGCGGAGCCCATCTCGCGACAGATGATCAAGTACACCGGCGGTTTGAACGTCAACTCGATTGTGCAGGTCACCGGTATCGTGAAGAAGCCCGAGATCCCCATCTCTTCCGCATCCATTAGCCACCTCGAGATCCACATTCGCAAGGTCTACATGATCTCCGAGGCTGCGCAGATGCTTCCCATGCAAGTCAAGGATGCTGAGCGCCCTCCCCCCGAGAACACCGAGGAAGGTGCCCAGGTTGACGCCGAGGGTGCTCCCATCGTCACCCTCAAGACCCGCCTCGACAACCGGGTCCTCGATCTGCAGACCGAGACCAGCCAGGCCATCACCTGGATTTCCAGCGGTGTTTCCCAGCTCTTCGCTGAGTACATGATTAAGAGTGGCTCTCGCTGGATCTTCACACCCAAGCTGGTCGGTGCCGCCACAGAAGGTGGTAGCGGTGTCTTCGAGGTGAAGTACTTCAAGCGCAACGCCTACTTGGCCCAGAGTCCCCAGCTCTACAAGCAGATGTGTATCGCCGGTGATATGGAGAACGTCTTCGAGATCGCCCCTGTTTTCCGTGCGGAGGACAGCAACACCCACCGCCACTTGACCGAGGTATGATCTACTGATATATATGCTCAACCAGAAAAAAAGAAAACATATTATTCTAACATGACTTATAGTTCTCCGGTCTCGATTTCGAGAAGACCTTCCGCGGCCACTACCACGAGGTTCTCGACTTCGCCGAAGACCTCCTCGTCTTCATCCTCACCCAGCTCAAGGAGCGCTACGCATCTCAGATCGCCATCATCCAGAAGTCCTACCCCAAGGCCGGCGACTTCAAGCTCCCCAAGGACGGCAAGGCCCTGCGCATGAACTACATGGACGGAGTCGCCCTTCTGAAGGAAGCCGGCGTCGACGTCTCCGAGCAAGAGCGCTTCGAGAACGACTTCTCCACCGCGATGGAGAAGCAGCTTGGCCAGATCATCCGCGAGAAGTACGACACCGACTTCTACGTCCTCGACAAGTTCCCCATGGCCGTCCGTCCCTTCTACACCAAGGCCGATCCCAACGACAAGCGCTTCTCCAACTCGTACGATTTCTTCATGCGTGGCGAGGAGATCATGTCCGGCGCCCAGCGTATCAACGATATCAAGGAGTTGGAGGAGTCTATGCGTGCTAAGGGTCTTGAGCCTAACCAGGAGGGCTTCGAGGATTACCTCAATGCCTTCCGCCAGGGTTGCCCCCCTCACGCTGGTGGTGGTCTCGGTCTCAACCGTATTGTTATGTTCTTCCTTGGCTTGCCTAACGTCCGTTTGGCTTCGCTGTTCCCTCGTGACCCTCAGCGTCTGCGTCCTTGATTTTGCGCTGTGTAGGACTATCTCATAACATTACAAGCATATAAAAACAAAATATTTTACTTTTCTTCAAACCATATATACATTACTTTTTTCCCCCACATACTGGGACTAATATAAAGCACACAACCTTGTGAGTCGGCAGCTTCTTGTCTATCTACTTATACAACGGCCAGGCAGCGTTAAGAATCAAGCTTAGAAGTTAGCTCCATACACCAATAATTGCTACACCCTGAAGAAATACGAGAAACACCAAGAGTAGGCATGAATATGATGTGATATTTGGATGAAAAGTTGCATTGACAAGTTTTGAGGGGTGGACGACGCAATCCAACGAACCAAGACACATGAAAAAAGACACACGCTCTTGTCCCCCCAACCAGGATTAAGCACGTAACAAATAGAAAAGCAGAGGGAGAGATTAAGACACAGAAGCAATGACAGCGGCGGCAACGCCTTCCTCTTCTGCCCGGACGGTGATCTTGGTAGTAACACCGGCCTTGCTGGAGTAGGCCATCTTGATGAGAGAAGCGACACGGCCGCCGGAGACGGTCTTGCCGAACAGCTTGAGTGTGTGTGTGCTGCTGTTGAGGGCGACGTCGGTGCCCTCGAGGGGCTGCAGAGATAGCGCCGAGATTAGTTGTTCCGTGGCATCTGTTGGGAGAGTCAGTATGAGTATGTATAGAAAAGAAAGATGAAGAAGACTTGTACGTACCGTTGATACCCTTCATGTTGCTGAGCTGCAGGGTTTCGCTTTCCTCCTCGCCGTTGGCACCAGTCTGTTCCCAGACGTGGTCGAAGCTGCCGGCGAATGTCGGGATGACATAGTCGCTGCCTGTCAGCTCGAGGTCCTCTACCTGGTACTCGTCGTCGTAGCCACTGTCCTCGGGCTCGCCGCTTGTTGGGTCGATTTCTTTGCTGGTAAACTTGAGGATGTTTGTGAAGGAGGTGATGGGGACGCTGTTCTCGCCGGTGAGCTTCTTGAAAGCAACGTATACAACACCAGGCTGGTCTGTGGGCAGCTTGGGGGCAGGGATGATAAAGTCGTCCTCCAATACGTCCTCCTCCTCTGGCGTGGCAGCCACG